GGCTCTTTGGTCCCGCCTCTCGACCGTCAATCAACAGGTGTACAGGTTCCTGAGCCTATTGGGCTCTATCATATCTACACTTGAAACTGTGTATGGAGTCAGCCTCCACCACATCACTCCCTAATGCATTCCATTTGTCAACCACTCTGACACTAAAAAAGTTCTTTCTAATATCTCTGTGGCTCATTTGGGCGCTCAGTTTCCACCTGTGTCCTCTAGTGCGTGTGCCCCTTGTGGTAAATAGCCTGTCTTTATCTACCCTGTCGATTCCCTTGAGAATCTTGAATATGGTGATCATGTCCCCCCCTAACTATTTTGTCTTCCAACGAAGTGAGGTTTAATTCCCGTAGTCTCTCCTCGTAGCTCATACCTATCAACTCGGGTACTAGTCTGGTGGCAAACCTTAGAACCTTTTCCAGTTTAGTCTTATGCTTGACTAGATATGGACTCCATGCTGGAGCCTCATACTCCAGGATTGGTCTGACATATGTGGTATATAATGCTCTGAAAGATTCCTTACACAAGTTTCTAAAGGCCGTTCTTATGTTAGCCAACCTGGCATATGCTGCTGATGTTATCCTCTTGATATGAGCTTCAGGGGACAGGTCTGGCGTGATATCAACCCCCAGGTCTTTCTCTCTCTCTGACTCTTGAAGTATTTCATCTCCCAAATGGTACCTTGTATCTGGTCTCCTGCTTCCGTGTGTGTATGTGTTTCAAGTCTTTGAGGATAAATGGTATTAAGACAACGATGTAAATCTCATCAACGTATCAGACATTACTTAAAATGCGAATTAGTTGTCTTAGACTTACTACGCAAAGAGATCAGTCATCTTGATGTCTGTTCGTACTAAATCATACTTACGTGTGACATTCGTATGACAGCCTACTACCTCCTGGGAGACATTCGTACCTAGGCCTCATACCAGGCACAAATTTCAACCCTTCGAAAACAGTACTTGTACTGGAGAGAGTGGGAAGACAGCACAGAAGAGAGTGGGAAGACAGCATAGAAGAGAGTGGGAAGACAGCATAGAAGAGAGTGGGAAGACAGTACGAGTGTGGGAAGACAACACAGGAGAGAGTGGGAAGACAGTGCAGAAGAGAGTGGGAAGACAGTGCAGAAGAGAGTGGGAAGACAGTACAAGTGTGGGAAGAGAGTACAGGAGAGAGTGGGAAGACAGTGCAGAAGAGAGTGGGAAGACAGTGCAGAAGAGAGTGGGAAGACAGTGCAGAAGAGAGTGGGAAGACAGTACAAGTGTGGGAAGAGAGTACAGGAGAGAGTGGGAAGACAGTGCAGAAGAGAGTGGGAAGACAGTGCAGAAGAGAGTGGGAAGACAGTACAAGTGTGGGAAAACAGCACAGGAGAGAGTGGGAAGACAGTACAAGTGTGGGAAGACAGCACAGGAGAGAGTGGGAAGACAGTACAAGTGTGGGAAGACAGCACAGGAGAGTGTGGGAAGACAGCACAGGAGAGAGTGGGAAGACAGCACAGGAGAGAGTGGGAAGACAGTACAAGTGTGGGAAGACAGTACAGGAGAGAGTGGGAAGACAGCACAGGAGAGAGTGGGAAGACAGTACAGGAGAGAGTGGGAAGACAGCACAGGAGAGAGTGGGAAGACAGCACAGGAGAGAGTGGGAAGACAGCACAGGAGAGAGTGGGAAGACAGTAAAAGAGCGAAAGATAACAACAACAAATGAGCAAGAGGGCTAGAGGGAAAAGACAGAGCGGACCTTCGCAGCAGCAGAAGCTGCCACATGCAGCAGCTGCCTCAGGAAGATTAGTCAGCAGGCAGCAGCTGCCTCAGGAAGATTAGTCAGCAGGCAGCAGCTGGACAAAAACTGGCTTAACAGCTCCCGTGAGAGTCATTCCTCAGGACGCGACTACGGTAAGGTGATTCACTTCCAACAATTATACCTTTTCGTTTTCTTTCACGGCACTTTCCGTGAGGAATAGCCAGAGTATGTGTGTGCTGACTGTCTGGGAGAGTTTGGGGGTACTGGTGACTGTCTGGGAGAGTTTGGGGGTACTGGTGACTGTCTGGGAGAGTTTGGGGGTACTGGCGACTGTCTGGGAGAGGTTGGGGGTACTGGTGACTGTCTGGGAGAGTTTGGGGGTACTGGCGACTGTCTGGGAGAGTTTGGGGGTACTGGCGACTGTCTGGGAGAGGTTGGGGGTACTGGCGACTGTCTGGGAGAGTTTGGGAGTACTGGTGACTGTCTGGGAGAGTTTTGGGGTACTGGCGACTGTCTGGGAGAGTTTGTGGGTACTGGTGACTGTCTGGGAGAGTTTGGGGGTACTGGCGACTGTCTGGGAGAGTTTGTGGGTACTGGCGACTGTCTGAGAGAGTTTGGGGGTACTGACGACTGTCTGGGAGAGTTTGGGGGTACTGACGACTGTCTGGGAGAGTTTGTGGGTACTGGTGACTGTCTGAGAGAGTTTGGGGGTACTGACGACTGTCTGGGAGAGTTTGGGGGTACTGGTGACTGTCTGAGAGAGTTTGGGGGTACTGACGACTGTCTGGGAGAGTTTGGGGGTACTGGTGACTGTCTGAGAGAGTTTGGGGGTACTGGTGACTGTTTGGGAGAGTTTGGGGGTACTGGTGACTGTCTGAGAGAGTTTGGGGGTACTGGTGACTGTCTGGGAGAGTTTGTGGGTACTGGTGACTGTCTGGGAGAGTTTGTGGGTACTGGTGACTGTTTGGGAGAGGTTGTGGGTACTGGTGACTGTCTGGGAGAGTTTGTGGGTACTGGTGACTGTCTGGGAGAGTTTGTGGGTACTGGTGACTGTCTGGGAGAGTTTGGGGGTACTGATGACTGTCTGGGAGAGGTTGTGGGTACTGGTGACTGTCTGGGAGAGTTTGTGGGTACTGGTGACTGTCTGGGAGAGTTTGTGGGTACTGATGACTGTCTGGGAGAGTTTGGGGGTACTGGTGACTGTCTGGGAGAGGTTGGGGGTACTGGTGACTGTCTGGGAGAGTTTGGGGGTACTGGTGACTGTCTGGGAGAGGTTGGGGGTACTGGTGACTGTCTGGGAGAGTTTGGGGGTACTGGCGACTGTCTGGGAGAGTTTGGGGGTACTGGTGACTGTCTGGGGGAGTTTGGGGGTACTGGTGACTGTCTGGGAGAGTTTGGGGGTACTGGTGACTGTCTGGGAGAGTTTGGGGGTACTGGTGACTGTCTGGGAGAGTTTGGGGGTACTGGTGACTGTCTGGGAGAGTTTGGGGGTACTGGTGACTGTCTGGGAGAGTTTGTGGGTACTGGTGACTGTCTGGGAGAGTTTGGGGGTACTGGTGACTGTCTGGGAGAGTTTGTGGGTACTGGTGACTGTCTGGGAGAGTTTGGGGGTACTGGTGACTGTCTGGGAGAGTTTGGGGGTACTGGTGACTGTCTGGGAGAGTTTGGGGGTACTGGTGACTGTCTGGGAGAGTTTGTGGGTACTGGTGACTGTCTGGGAGAGTTTGGGGGTACTGGCGACTGTCTGGGAGAGTTTGGGGGTACTGGTGACTGTCTGGGAGAGTTTGTGGGTACTGGTGACTGTCTGGGAGAGTTTGGGGGTACTGGTGACTGTCTGGGAGAGTTTGTGGGTACTGGTGACTGTCTGGGAGAGTTTGGGGGTACTGGTGAACGTCTGGGAGAGTTTGTGGGTACTGGTGAACGTCTGGGAGAGGTTGGGGGTACTGGTGACTGTCTGGGAGAGTTTGGGGGTACTGGTGAACGTCTGGGAGAGTTTGGGGGTACTGGCGACTGTCTGGGAGAGTTTGGGGGTACTGGTGACTGTCTGGGAGAGGTTGTGGGTACTGGTGACTGTCTGGGAGAGTTTGTGGGTACTGGTGAACGTCTGGGAGAGTTTGGGGGTACTAGTGACTGTCTGGGAGAGTTTGGGGGTACTGGTGAACGTCTGGGAGAGAGTGCTGGTGACTTTCTGGGAGAGGTTGAGGGTTGGGAGAGGTTGAGAGGTTGAGAAAGGCCTGAATACCGTAAACCATATCAACCTCTTCCTTATACTTCACCACTATGGAATCCGAGGCCACCATCTCTCAAGTGGCCTCGACGGGGACTGGAAGCCGGCGGCTTGCTGAAGGGCCCTATCTCGTTCCTGTGGGATTTTTACCAGCTGTATTTTGAACTGAAGTAATGACTTGACATTTATGGCTTCAGCGGGTAGGCGGTTCCATAAAGAAGTGGTCTGGATTAATATCTCTCAAACTTGTTCGGCAGTTAAAAGCTCTCTGATGACATCAGCCCTTCTTGAGGTTATCTTGAGATGATTTCGGGGCTTTAGTGTCCCCGCGGCCCGGTCCTCGACCAGGCCTCCACCCCCAGGAAGTAGCCCGTGACAGCTGACTAACTCCCAGGTACCTATTTTACTGCTAGGTAACAGGGTGAAAGAAACTCTGCCCATTGTTTCTCGCCGGCGCCCGGAATCGAACCCGGGACCGAACCCGGGACCACAGGATCACAAGTCCAGTGTGCTGTCCGCACGGCCGACCGGCTCTGTCCACATTTGGTTTGCAGTGTTGCTATTTAGAGTAAACCGGTGCTGGCAGTGAACGCTTTCTATCTAATTGCGAAAGGAAATATGAATTTTTACATGTAATTAGCATTTTTTCGAACGAAATCTTTGGCCTTAAGATGATTGTTCGATTGCCTTGTAAACATCTTATTTAAATAGCCCGCGCTGGTGCACTATCGTCTGCTCCAATCATCTTATGTTTGGCGGAAAAAGTATATTAATTGATTGATTGATGAAGATTAACCCACCCAAAAGGTGGCACGGGCATGAATAGCCCGTAAGTGATGGTATATTAATTGTGATGTGTGTGTATATATGTATGAACACGTTGTTCTAAACGGGGCGAGAATAGTTTAAGCTTCCTCATACCTTTGTGTGTATTTTACCTCAATAAACTCAATCACACATCACAAGCAATAAACGTATTACCGAACATTCTGAGAGATAAACATATACATTTCCTAATAATTGGTTAGGGGGGGGGTATATTGGCGGGAGATTTTCCCGCGTTTTCCGAGATCAACACAAGCCACAACAACACGCTGCTGTTGCTCCCTGCTGCTGCTCCCTGCTGCTGCTGTCATGTCTGTACGTTAAATTCCTCGCTCGAGGCTCATTGTCTTGCTGTGTTGACTATATAGAGATGTCAGGTCGTGCTTTACGGTGTGGTTGATGTCATGTATTCTGCCAGATCGTGGAGAGAGACAGAGAACACAGCTCCCGGAAGTGGTGGCGGCGGGCATTTAATAAATTTATTCTTTAGCTAAACCCATTTTAGAGTTAGTGATGGACGTAGATCTATATTGTGGGAGCGTAGTTTGTTGTATAGTACTGAGGCGTCTGTTACTCGTAGTAAATCTGGGATATTGTAGTTGTTACTACTGTCTGCCCGAAACGCTTTGCGTAATAGTGGCTTTAGGCATTGTATGTACTAGCTCTATCTATAAAGCCAACAAACTTTGTAAAATCTCCTTATGTATGTACCTTTACCTAAATAAAAATTATTATTATTATTATTATTACTGGATTTTGTCAACTCAAAAGACTTTTTCAAAGTTGTAGCTCATTATCAACAATAAATTTGTGTTGGTTTAAGATACTATATATTTGATCCCAGAGAAGCCCCTACCTCACCTAAGGTGTGGATATGGCTCCTATTGTACACAATACAGTTTACATACCGAGTGTTCATTTAATTATGCAACCAGCTGAGTATGGTTAAAATTTGACAAAGGCATTTCAACAAAGGGCATTTTCTTATTGTATAAAAACACGTATTTCATCACTTACAGCTATATTGTTAGGTTTGTTAGGCTCCAAAATCCGTCTTGGGTCCGAAGTGACCTGTATCTGGTTTGAGTCGGAGTTTGGGATAAGTTGGGTTCAGCTGGGCTGATAAGTCTTTGATTTGGTACCAACAAATATATTCATAATATATTTTAAAGATACAGTACTGCTAGGATTGGAGGAATAACACTCATTCCTCCTGTCATTTACCCAAAATCGTTCCAAACCCTGTAACTATTAGATTGTATTTTAGTGAATAAGTTAATAACTTTAATACCAAACATGTTTATATACAGTATATATATTGCACTCCTTTCTTTAGTGATATATTAGTATTTAACATGGTTATTAGAGCTACAGCTTCATACTGGGCAGTACTTGTACATTGGTACAGTACTCTGATCAACTAGAGCACAGTGAAAAGTTAAAATTTTAATGAACTTATATTTTAGCAGAATTTAAACCTTACCATAGCTCTATTCTAGGTATGAAGCTAGAATATTCCAAGTAATTGACAGTGTTCTTGAGATTGTAAGTATTTTAATTACTGCTGTATTTGCAGGACCAACCCACCTCCCCATCAGCTGCTATGAGCTCTCCTGAGCCTACCACGCCCAGCCGCTCCAGCGTGTCGGGTCGACGGCGTCGAAGATCCTCCAGGGCTTCAAATGTTGACCCCGTTACTTCCTCACCGGGCCGTGACCTTCCAGCTTTTGAAGACGAGAGTGACTTATTGGGGAATGACTTGCCCGTAGAAGAAGAAGATGACGGAGAAGAGCTATTTGGGGATAATATGGAAACGTAAGAGTTCGTGCAGACGATGATTCACAATAATGTGGCTGAAGATATGATGACCAAACCACACACCGAAAGATGAGACAACGACGACGTTTCGGCCCGTCCTGGACCATTATCAAGTCGACTGTCGACTTGATAATGGTCCAAGATGAACCGAAATGTCGTCTCCTCATCTTCTGGTGTGTGGGTTGGTCATTGTAAGGGTGCATGTTAAAATGTCTTGATATCACATAATGTAGTTCATTTGCTTGTACCTTTGTATCTAACCTTGTCTGGTCACCATTTTTTTTTTTTTTTATATAGAGTACATATATCATATACTTTTCCACATCTTTGTTAAAAGCAAATTAGTAACGTGCATTTGATTATTATAGAAGCAGTTCTCTTCGTCCCTTGCCTATCTTTTGTTTTTTTACGGGTTGGCACATGAGCAAATTACTTCTGAATCCAGTTATCAAGCTTTGAGTTTTCTCTTTCCGTTGCTCATCATTAGTCTTGCCTTGCTAGTTTTCCTGGAACATGACCCCTTCAGTCAGTTTGCAACCAGGTCCCTAATTCTTGCTGGGCGAATGGGTAAGGATCGGTGCCCAGTCGATCATCTGTCCAGAGCTTTAACCCAGTCAAAATTATTGCTCTCTCTCTCTCTCCCATGGGAATGACAAAAATAAAATACATTTTCTGTACGATTTCAAAGTGGATGCCTCAATGTTGTATCATTTTTTTTAGCAATGACTGCTCTCTGATTAGGTTATACTGTATACAGAACCCACTAGTCTGCAGTATCAACTATATCTAATATGCCCAAAGAAGTCACAAACGTACAAGCTGAGGGTAGTGATACCTCTATGCTACATAATCTCCCTGGCTTGGTGCCCTCTTTTGATAATTATTGTTCTGTACTTGTGCTAGGAGTCTTGTAGAGTAGTAGCGGGTATTGCCCGCCCACCATATAGTCACCTAAACTCCACCAATATGGAAAGGCAATTTCATTTTACAGCGACTACCGCCACATTCCCGAATTGGACGTGTACGACCGTGATAATCTCGATGATTCGGAGTACTCCATGTTGAGTGAAGGTGATCGTGTAGCTGCAGAGGCACAGATGAGGAAGAGAGATCGTGATGAGGGGCGTGTCACTGGAAGAATGCGAAGAGGGTTGATATATGGTGAGTTTTATCTAAAGGGAGCATTTGCATGCATACGAGTTCAGTCTGAACTCATTCTGAAGCATAATTTGAGGGATGGTGTTTTTTTTATTAATATTGTATCAAGATATTATTTCTTTAAAAGTTAAGATATTCAAAACCTAAATTTCTCCTTTAGGGATTTTTTTTTTTCAGGGATAATGCCAGATGGTAAGGCTTAGTTTATTAAGGGCTATGTGGCAATGAATATAGTTTTTTATTTGCAAATTTCATTATACCCTGTACTCGATATTCAAACTGGCACTTAATTTGAGGTATATTGTGTGGAATGTGGAAGGTATAAATGAACATATAGCACAATTTTTAATAAAGGGAAGTTTGATGTGTAAGGTTTGAGAAGCAAAACAAGAGTAAAGATTGAAGAGCAGATTGAATTAAATTATAAGAATTAACAAGAGTGTAAGAAACTACTGAGTATGCCTGGTAATGAATAGTTGTATGTGGCAGTGAATAATTTGTCTTTTGCAGTTCAAGGTGCATGTGTGTGAAATTCAAATTCAGGAGAGTAAAGGTGGTGACTGCCTGTACTGCACATGTATACCATGTGGCAATAGAACTGAGAATGAGATATAGTATTCTTGTTTGTCAATCTAAAAGATGATGCTGGTATAAGAGTTATAGAACAATTTTAATGGGTGATCTGGATGGTAAATCAGGAGTGGACCTCAAGAATTCGTCATTTTACCTCTGTAGAGCAACTAATATCATAATTGGTCACCTTGTTGAAATTGAAATAAGTTTATTGAGGTAAAATACACACAAAGGGATGAGGTAGCTCAAGCTATTCTCACCCCATTCAGTACAACGTGTTAATACATACATAGACACACATCACAAACAATAAACATATTACCAAACATTCTGAGAGATAAACATATACATTTCCTCCTTCACAAGTAGTATGTTATCAGACGTACACACAAATACTTTTATGACCTAGGTATACTGTATAGACAATTTGCAAGAGACATGCAGATAATTCAACAAAATATTACAGTCTTGGTGCAAAATTCTTATATCTCTCAAGAATATCATCAACCTTTCCGTTGTGACACATCCAGGCTATTTGTTCAGGAACAGTCCTTATCTCAGTGTTTCTATATACATTAATCAACGGACAATCAAGAACATAATGGGTAATGGGCCAGGGTGTGAGACCTTAACATACCACATAGTTTACACCTCGTGTCATTATCATGAACATCTATCCCATATTCCCAGTAATATTTGTACCCAAGCCTGAGCCGCATGTACACAGAGTCACTCCAAGCATTTCTCCTTTTACCATAAGTGAAATGGGTGTTTTGACTCACATACATGTAGTGTTGCATGGTTTGACTTCTCTCATACGTTATCTCTCTCCTCTCCACTCCTGCCTGTGCCTGAATATTTCTGATTTTGCTTCTTATTTGTCTCATTGTGAATTCGCATTCAATGTCAACTTGTGGTTTTGATGTGGCACGTTTGGCCAAGTCATCCGCCACCTCGTTGAGCACTATTCCAACATGAGATGGAATCCACATGAATTTCACACTATAACCTTTCAGCTGTATCTCAGTTATTCTTCTCTTACAGTCCTCAACTATAGACATGAAGACTGGGTTTCGACTGTTTAAGGACTCCAGTGCTCCTCGGCTATCGACAAATACAAAAACATTTTTGTCGTCATGACGTACTTCCTCCAAACACACCAGAATGGCCTGCAGTTCAGCTTGTGTGGATGATATATAATTACTAAGCCGGAGTTCAGTTATCCTGTCCACAGTCCCAAACTCCGTATATTCCCTTATTAGGACACCACACCCTGCCCTGCCATCCTCCGCCACCGACCCGTCGCAATATACATGTAAACTGTTGCCTCTTGGTAACCGAGATATCATGCTTCCATACAAACACCGTAATTGTCCCGGTTCATGATGAATCTTTTTCACCTTGAGGGGTACAATTTCGACGTCTATTTTCTGTACTTTCCAGGGAGCAGACATATTACACTGTCGAGAGGGTTTACAGCAGTCAAGTACATCGTATTCCCTGAGATCATGAGCTAATCCCCTCATGTAGCGTGTCTCCCTCAGTTTCCTGGAAGTGTGTACGTCACTCAAGCAGGTCTGAACACTCTCAAACAGCTTATCCCCTCCTTTTCTCCGCATGAAACGAATAGATACTCTAGTGTTAATGTCACGGACTCTATCACACACACTCTGTAAATTTAATTCCATTCTCATTATTTCAATCATTGCATTTCTTTGACATCCAAGAATAATCCTCATAGCCTCGTTCTGTATCAGCTCTATTTTTTGAATTCTGCCTTGGCCTGTGTAAGACATTACGGGTGCTGCGTAGTCTATCAGGGACTGAACAGTACTTATGTATAACATCCGCAAGATAGGTACCCCCAACACCTTTACCAGAAAAAGCCAGTGCTTTCAGAGGATGCAGATGGGCTTTACATAAGGTGCTGATATGATTTATTTCAGCATTTTTACTCTCACATGTGTATCCAACATACATGCCCAGATACTTGTACTTCTGAACACGGCTCAGTTCCACACCATTTAGAGTAAGTGTTATATTTCTTCATTTCCTATACTCGTATTTGGTTTTATCTGCATTTATAACTAAGCCTAACTTGTGACAGGTTGTACCAAGTATGTTAAGAGCAGTTTGAATTTTGTTCCCGGCAGTGCCTTGTATAAGAATGTCATCAGCATATATGATCGTCGTGACCCCTGGAGGATACATCTCTGATGCTAATCTGTTCGGTAGGAGCCGGTCGGCCGAGCGGACAGCACGCGGGACTTGTGATCCTGTGGTCCTGGGTTCGATCCCAGGTGCCGGCGAGAAACAATGGGCAGAGTTTCTTTCACCCTATGCCCCTGTTACCTAGCAGTAAATAGGTACCTGGGTGTTAGTCAGCTGTCACGGGCTGCTTCCTGGGGGTGGAGGCCTGGTCGAGGACCAGGCCGCGGGGACACTAAAAAGCCCCGAAATCATCTCAACATAACCTCAACATAACCTGTTCATTAATACATTGAATAAGGTGGGACTTAATACTCCCCCTTGTGGGGTACCTAACTGAAACCTCCGTTCCTCAGACATGTATCCCTGGTAATACACCTAACCTTTTCTGCCTTGTAGATAATCCCTTATCCAGTGTAGCAATCTCCCTGTTATTCCCAGATTGGCTAATTCGTATAAGATTACTTCCCCATTGGCTTTATCAAATGCTCCTTGTAGATCAACAAAAACTCTACAATTGTCATCCACATTAGACATACACTTTAAGAGACAATCCGCAGTACTTTTGCCTTTGATAAAACCAAAGAGATTACTGGACATGTTATCACCTATAAGGTAGAGTTGCCTATTTAACAAAATCCTTTCCATCATTTTACAAAAGCAGGATGTTAAGGAGACAGGTCTGTAGCCTCCGTTTGACTTAGGGATAGGAATGATGACAGCCTCTTTCCATTTTCTTGGTAACTTTCCCTCTCTATAACTCATATTAAACAAATCAAGTAAGGGACTAGGTTTCATACCAGCTAAATAATTAAGAATGTCATACGTTACTCCATCTTTTCCCGGAGCAGTAGAGCTGCCACTTTTTATAGCATCCAGTAGCTCATCGTGAGTTATCTCAGTGCATGTTATAGATCTTGTATTTAAGGCACATAAAGTTACTCCATTTCTAATATTTTCCCATGACTCAATGGTGACTCTCGTGTCTGCAGGTAAGGACTCCATACCTGCAACACTAGCCCATTTATCTACTAACTCATTAGCAACCTTCCCTGGATCTGAGTGAGCATTGAATTTGGTCTTACAACCCCTGATTTTGTTTACTGCTCTCCCTATGTCTTTAAGGTTCTTAGTATTACCAATGGACTGAGCAAAGTCTTGCCAGTATCTGTCCCGCGCCTCCTTCCTCACCTGACTGTATTCCCTAGCCACTTCCAACATTGTATTTTTCTCTTCATCCCTCATTCCATTTTTTAACCATTCTTTATGTGCACTCCGTAGCATTCTCTCCCACCCCTTGATTTGCTGATCATTGGGATATTTAAATTTCTTAGGTCCATGCGTCTTGCTTCCCCTGCCCCTGTTATTTTCCCTCTGTACTAATTTCTCTATGTTCTCGACCATGTCCTCGTAAAAACTATCAACGCAGAGCAGCGTGTATTGTTGATACCAATCTCCCATATTTTGAATAAAATAATTTTTCATATCTTTATTAATATTTAGCCTTGTCCTTTGAAAGTGGACTTGTTTTTTTCCCCAGTGGTAATTCAACGTTCAAGGCAAAGTGGTCACTAAGTAGTTCCCGAACAACCCAGACCTCCCCCATAATCCCCTGAGAATTTAAAATGCAGGCATAGTCAAGCCGTCCTCCCCTGATGTGAGTTGGTTCATTGTTTCCCAAGAGACAGGTATCTGGATGATCTTGTAGAAACTGTAACCACTTGACCCCATTAGTATTAATACTACTCACTGTCCCAAGGCTTGTGTGCCGAGCATTGCGACATTGCGATTCTCAAAAAAAAAGCGACATTGCGATTCTCAAGAGATTTTTTCAGCCCTGTGACGTCCATTATTGGCCCAAATGATTCCTTCATTTTATGTGTAATTATAGGGTTCTTCCTTTCACTACGACTATCATCATTCACACACACTTCCCTTTCCTTCATTTCATCACTCAATATTTCATTATTGCCCTCAACCACTATATCCTGATTATCCTTCACCGTTTTGTGATTTTCCTTGACCTCCTGAATGTTTAATTTCGCCTCGATGGACTCGATTCTCTGCCCAAGATTTCGGAGGAACTCGCCAACTTTTCTAAGTTCAGCCCACACTTCCTTGACCATATCATTATGGCCCTCTTTCTGAGCCACAGTAGCCACTTCACTCACCGTTACACTGTCACTGCCGGAGTCCTGAGTGGTGGCGTGGCTGCTTGTTGCTTGAGCCTGCCTAAGTAAAGGTGACTCCTTTACCCACGCATTCGTCCGGTTCACTGGCACTGTTTGGGGCAGACTGTTTTGCTGTGCTCCCGGTGTCTGGGTAAGAGCTCTTGCTTGCTCTGTAACATTCACCGGCCGGGGAACATCCATACTCGGTCTCTTGCTACACACAGCCGAGCTGGCATTGTGAACACCACAGTTGCAGCATCTGGGAACTATTTTCTCACCCAGATTAAGTCTGTCTCTACACACATTAGAGAGGTGAGACTTTCTGCAGAAACGACATCGTGGATCATTTTGACAGCTCCAGGATTTATGCCCCCATCTGCAGCATTTCGGGCATATTATGGGCTCTTCCACATACTTTGCTACATGCCTGTAGCCAGCCCCGGTGATGAACACTTTCTCGGGTACTTCACCTCTCACTAGAGCCACCACCTGACTCCTAGCTTCACCTTTAATAAGGTGACGCTTGGCCCACACAAATCGTTGGTCGTCGAGGATGAACTCGGGGTCTAGAATCTGAGGGTATTTGTAGATAATTACCTTCTTCAGCTTCTCGTTCCCCTCCGGTATTTCCATAACAATTCCATCATATCCTTGCTGGGTAAGATACTCCACTGCCTCCATAGAACCTACCGTTATGTAAGGTCTGTTTACACCTTCCTTCAGCAGGGGCTCGAACTTGCGGTGTTCTCTTCCAAGTCTGACTGTCCACAGCAGCTTCTGTTGATAGGCCAGCGTTCATGAGGCAGGGAAGAGAAGCCTCCATCTCCGCTGACCCTCACCTTCCTGACATCGTTCCGTCCGTTCGTCGGCATCAGTCTCGGCGTCGTTCTTCATTCTCTTGTCGTTTCCGTGAAGTGCACTATCACTGTCAACACTACGCCTTGCCTCCTGTCTTCTTCGTTTCTTCTGTTGCCTTGTTAGAACTTCTTGATACTCGCCCTCCTCGACTGACTGGCTGCTTTCAGAGTCCATATTAATATTTGCCGGGGGAAGTAGCCAGTTCTTCTGGTGACTGAGTCTCCATCTCAGTACCCAGCATGGGGGGAGGGGGGGGGAGGAAGGCAATTGATACGAGTCAGTCTCCTTATGTGTAGACTTAGCTAAAGACCACTATATAGACAGTGTTTCCTTACTCAAAATGTCTTCTCATATTATCCCTGTTTACCTTGTGACGGGAAAGTGTTGGAGTGTAGATGTTCGGCAGTCCTCCAATGGCAGGTGTCAATGCCTGTCACATTTACAAAAAAAAAAGATGTCACCTTGTTGGTGTGGTTATCTTGAGGTTATCTTGAAATGATTTCGGGGCTTTAGTGTCCCTGCGGCCCGGTCCTCGACCAGGCCTCCACCCCCAGGAAGCAGCCCGTGACAGCTGACTAACACCCAGGTACCTATTTTACTGCTAGGTAACAGGGGCATAGGGTGAAAGAAACTCTGCCCATTGTTTCTCACCGGCGCCTGGGATCGAACCCAGGACCACAGGATCACAAGTCCAGCGTACTGTCCGCTCGGCCGACCGGCTCCCTCCACTGACCGGTGTGGACAAGAAAACAAAAATTGTTTTTAGAATTTGTACTCGAGAAAGTAAGGAATAGGAAAAAAACACACACCTAAAGTCTTTTTCTGCTTGTGTGCACAGCAGAATTGAGCCATGTGAGGAAGTCATTTGTACCTGGCATGAGATAGTTATTATTGACATGTGGTGAAGGTTTCTGGGCTCTAAGGTTAAAGCTTAATGTTCTCCTTTATGTTTGCCGCTTCACTTTAGTTGACTTAATGTGTGGGATAACTTGAGTTATGTATGCATAATGAGTGAAATGGATGAAAGCTGTACTACTGATTAACCTAATTGGACTGAATAGTGAGAAAGAAGTACCGGTACTGTACATCCAACCTGTCCTTTTACAACCTGTCCTCCCAAAAACGTCGCTTTTCACTCGTTTGTGTTACGTAAGGCCGAAAATTATCGTATTAGAAAATGGAAGCGGCTAGTGAAAGTGACATACTGTCCAGTTTTCTGTTTTGGGTCCTCTGGCAGGTTAGGAGAGACCACTTTAAATTGACCGTTTTCTTGATGTTGGGAAACCTTAGGAGGACGGGCTGGTACATCAGCAAAACTGATAAGTGGGGAAAGTTGCTGGTGTTGATAAGGTACATAATGATATGTAGTGGAGAATAAAGAAGGAGTAGGTGTGGAGAATTGGCCATAAATCATGGAATAGCGGTTATTCTCCAGTGTAAGAGTTAGCAGGATTTTAGGACCTCTGAAGATTGGCCAAGTTCTTTACTTTGGTAATAGTTGATTCAGTTGGTAAAAACTCAAGGTGTCTTGAAGATGTATAAAATGGAACTAAAGAAAAATAGTACATTAATACTCGTGGCAGGGACTTTAGTGGAGAGCCTATACATCTCTGTCCTCACAAAAGATATGCTATCATTAGCAAAACAGCTAATTACAAATATTAATTAGGAATACTTTTATTATAAACTGAAATAAATTAAACAAATTAATATTTCTTTGAAGTAATTTTAATTGTATGCAGGAAATTAACAATGAAGATTGTTGTTTTTATTTTCAAAAAATATGAAAATAGTGTATTCACACAAATATCACTCATTTTTGCTCCAGTTATTGCCTGAATGGCTTCCAAACTAGAAAATATGGTTTATAATGGATACAGTACTAAAGAATTTACAAAAAGTATCACTGTAGATAAAAATTATAATAAGAAATAATAATAAAGTGTACACCATGTATATATATATATATATATATATATATATATAAATAAAAGGGGGTGGTAGAAGTGAACACTCATACGTATTCAGCGTTAAATGGCAAGTTTTTCTCTGAATGCTCTGTGTTCCCTTCTTTGAGGCTGTGGGGTCCCTACAATTGTGCCAGAGGTGGTACCCCCCCCTATAAGAAATAATATAATGTTTTTTTCCAAACAGAAAATGCACATGTTCCTTCCAATTAAAGAAAAGCTAGTTACACAGATTAATGTCGATTGTTATACGAACAGTGGGCTCGAGAAGAACCACAAGTACAGTCCCTAAGCAACTGGTACATGTGATAAGTTATTTTTCTAATTTGATCTATTTATCATGTACACCGTCCACCTCATCCAATGGGTAGCAATGGATAAGTTATAATCACCCACATTTACTACCTGCAGCTGGATAACTAAGGATAATTGACTAAAATATGTTAAATCATTTTGAATGAAATATTGACACATTTCTTGAACATTTGTTATGAGTTCTCTTTATGGTCATCCTATTGGGAAGATTCGCTTCTTCTGCTTACCACCTTCCGGTTATTCTGCTTGAATAGTGTAGTACTATTTTGACATTCTGCATTGATTACTCTTCCTTCTGATGTCTACTCTGTAAGTTGACACACTGCGTCTCGGTTTCAGTTTTGGCCTTTGAGTGCCCAGTTCAAACATTGTCCTTCAAACAAATTTGCTTGAATGTCCTTAATCTTATTAACTGATCTCATGATTAGCTGTATAGCTCTAGTGACATGTTGAATGTCTTACAGATGAAAGTGATGATGATGAGGATCGACCAGCCAGGAGGCGTCGTATGGCTGAGAGAGCTGTGGAAGGTGATGCTCCAGATGATGAAGAGGTAAGATTAAGGCGTCTGATGCTTGTTATCTGGTAGTTATATTCAAATTGGGCTGGGCGTTAGAGCGACGATCTCGCTTCATGCGGGTTGGCGTTCAATCCCCGACCATCCACCAAGTGGTTGGGCACCATTCCTTCCCCCCGTCCCATCCCAAATCCTTATCCTGACCCCCTTCCAAGTGCTATGTAGTCGTAATAGCTTGGCTCTTTCCCTGACAGTTCAATTCAATTGTTCCTAGGTATACCTGTCTTGTCGGTGATTCTGAGGATCAACGTCCTTGTGGCCTGGACTCTGACTACGCCCTGTGGATGGTCTGGTCGACCAGGCTGTTTGATGTGGTTGCTCGCAACCTGGTGTGAGAGTCACAGCCTGGTTGATCGGGTCTCCATTGAAGGTGTTTTATCAAGTACTATTTTGGACACTGCAAGAGGTTGACCAGTTATGCCTCATGTGTGTAGTATTGAAAAGGCTTGGGCCTTTAACAATGATCTAGTTCTGTGTGCCAATTGTACCTCAGCTTTTCAATGGGGCTGCTTTGCACATCTTGCCATACCTTCTGGCCTCGTGTGGAGGTTTGGAGCCAGTCCTAATAATTTCCAAGTGTAAATTATTATATATGTCACCTGCCTACACTCTAGGAAATAGATTTTTTTTATTAAGCAGTCCCAGTAATGTAGATGTTTTATTGAGTGAATTCTAGCAGTAAAGTTTATGAAATTTATCTTTTTCAGATGATTGAATCTATTGAAAATCTTGAGGATATGAAAGGCCACAGTGTACGCGAGTGGGTGTCCATGCTTGGACCCAGAACTGAAATTTACAATAGATTTAAAAATTTCCTTCGCACTTATGTAAACGACAAAGGCAACAACCTCTACAAGGATAAGGTTCGACACATGTGTGAAGAAAACAAGTCGTCATTTGAAGTGGATTACAACATCATTGCCTCCGAGGAGCAAGTTTTGGCCTACTTCCTTCCTGAAGCCCCAACAGAGATGCTGGAGATTATGGACTCTGCTGCTAAGGATGTCACACTCTCCATGTTTCCCCAATATGAGAGAATTACCAGAGAGATTCACGTAAGAATTACTGATCTGCCACTAATAGAAGAACTGCGATCTCTCAGGTGAGTAAGAGATTTGTATGATGAAACACGAGTAGTAAGAGTTGTTTTGAAAGGTAGGTAAGCAGGAGGCCTGGTCAGGGACCGGGCCATGGGGATGTTGAGCCCTGAAATCATCAAATCATCGCAAGGTAAGCAGAAAAAACTGGTTATACCTTGAGTGTACTTTGAAATATTGAGTATATCTGCCGTGAATTGCTTTTGGAGCTTAGCGTCCCCGTGACCCGGTCATTGCTCAGATCTCACAACACCCAGGCCCAGGGTACATGAAGAAGTAGGGGTGTGTATGTGATTGCCGAAGTGTAGCTACAAGATGAGAACTACATTTCAGACTGTCATCTGAGGTTTTGAAACTGCTGATGGTTTTGGCATCCACCACCACCTCACTTGTTCCAACCACCTATCACTGCTTGCAAAAGAAAATGTTTTAATATTTTATACAAGCCATCCTCAGGTCCCACAGTTCTTCCTTAGACATACCCCTTATAGTGCCCTGGCTGCTTTCTATAACAGTTGCTGTCATGTACTCAAGGCTCTGGCACAACCAGGGTCCCTTCCCCAGTCAGTCCCCAGGTCCAAAGTCCATCCTCCGTGCCATCCTTATGGTATCTTGACTGACTTAGCATGAATCAATGACCTCTTGTTTTTGAAGGTGCAGGTTTGAAGAATTCCTCTTTGTAAATTTTGTCAATTCCTGTTACAATTTTGTATGTAGTAATTATATCATGTGTAGGGGAGGGTGGGTTTAGTGTGGACTCGCCTATTTGTGCCTGCAGGATCGAGCATTGACTCTTGGATCCCGCCTTTCTAGCTGTCAGTTGTTTATAGCAATGACTCCTGTCCTATTTCCCTATCATATCTAGTTTTAAAATTATGTATAGAGTTTTCTTCCACAACCTGCTTCTTAAAGTTTATTCCCTTTTCCACTACTCTCACGCTAAAAGAAAACTTCCTAACATCTGTGACTCATCTGAGTTTCCAGCTTCCATCTATGTTCCCTTGTTCTGTTAGTATTCAGTGTGAACATTTTGTTTATTTCCACTCAGTCAATCCTCCTAAGTATTTTATGCTTATATCATATCCCGCCTCCCCTCCTTTTTTTCCTAGTGTTGTCAGCTTCCGTTCCTTCAGTCGTTCCTCATACCCCTTCCCTCGTAACTGGGACGAGCCTCATTGCAAACTTCTGAACCTTTTCTAGTTTCCTGATGTGTTTCTTCAAGTAGGGATGCCATGATGGGGCGGCATACTCTTAAGACTGGTCTCACGTAGGCAGTGTAAAGCACCCTAAAAACCTCCTTACTTAGGTTTCTGAATGATGTTCTAATGTTTGCCAGCATAGAGTATGCGGAGGTCATTATCCTGTTTATACTGTATGTGCCTCAGGAGTTAGATGTTACATCCACTCCTAGGTTTCTTTCTCGAATGTTACAGGTAGGTAGTTTACCTTCATTGTGTATAGTCCCTTTATGTGTGTAGGTGGTTGGATGGATGGATGGGAGTGTAGGTGGGTTCTCGCCTAATTGTACCTGACTAATAGTGCTTGCAGGGGGTTGAGCTTGGGCTCTTTGGTTCCACCTCTCAACTGTCGATCAACTGGTGTACAGGTTTCTGAGCCTACTGGGCTCTTTATATCTACATTTGAAACTGTGTATGGAGTCAGCCTCCATCACATCACTTCCTAATGCATTAGTTAGTGTGTTGGTGTTTGTTTATATATCATGATATATACAGTATATAGTATTATGACTTATAAGGAATAGACCAGAGATAAATACACCAGTATCAACAATTTTTGCTATATTTGATTCTTCTTCTGGTTGATGCCTTTCTACCCCCCATGGACATGAGAGGCAAAATAATGATGTATGTTGTATATGTATTTAAAGATGTACAGTATGTTGTATATGTATTTAAGGATGCATGTATGAGCCTTGTAATGTTGGCATTATGTAGTGTACATGTACACACTTTAGTGGCAAAATATTAAGCGTGTGTTTTCTTCTTCACAGACAACTTCATCTGAATCAACTAATCCGGACATCTGGAGTAGTATCTTCAACTACAGGCATTCTTCCTCAGCTCTCGATTGTCAAATATGATTGTAACAGATGTTCTTATGTCCTAGGACCATTTGTCCAATCTCAGAACTCTGAGGTAAAGCCGGGGTCTTGCCCAGAATGTCAGAGCAGAGGACCATTTACAATTAACATGGAACAGACAGTATACCAAAACTACCAAAGGATCACCCTTCAAGAGTCTCCGGGCAAGGTTAGCATGTAGGTTATCTTGAGATGATTTCGGGGCTTTAGTGTCCCCGCGGCCCGGTCCTCGACCAGGCCTCCACCCCCAGGAAGCAGCCCGTGACAGCTGACTAACACCCAGGTACCTATTTTACTGCTAGGTAACAGGGGCATAGGGTGAAAGAAACTCTGCCCATTGTTTCTCGCTGGCACCTGGGATTGAACCCAGGACCACAGGATCACAAGTCCAGCTTGCTGTCTGCTCGGCCGACCGGCTCCCAACTGTAAAGTTATACCAGTTCATGTCCTGAGACCTCTTACTGTTCACCATATTTAGTACACAAACATTTCATACTGGAATAAAGAGCAACATTGGTAAATTTTGATGAAATTTAGATATGCTGCAGTTTGTCACCGTCTGTGTGTGCCCAACTAGTTGGGCTGAATGGTAGAGCAACGGTCTTGCTTCATGCCGGTCTGTGTTCAATCCCCGACTGTCCAAGTGGTTGGGCACCATTCCTACCCCTCGTCCCATCCCAAATCCTTTCTCTTATCCCTTCCAAGTGCTATATAGTCGTAAAAGCTTGGCACTTTTCCCGATAGTTCCCTTCTGTGTGTGCACTTTTGGCCTTTTTAATTACAGAAAAGTTTAAAGAAAGTGATGATGGGTCATTTAGCAGCATTAGTGTGATTTTGCATCACACCAATACTGCTAAATTACATTGTAACTTACTCAGTGAATAAACTCTGTATTTATTCAGTGATTAACACTTTGGCATTCTGATGACTCTTGGCGTCGTCAAAACAATACACACAGTGCGAGGGATGACGCTCTCGGCGTCATGCATTAATTTTTGTGTAGTCTTATTAATAAGTATAAACATTGGGAGTGAGAGAGTTTAACATTTGGTTGTGTGCTGACGGGCAACGCCTGGCCTACCTTCCGGTGCAATGTGGGTGGCACCCCGGGCACACGAAAGCGTTAATATATGCACAGTACTACATATTGTGATTTTCTTGTCCCATTTGCTAATGTTCCTAAGAAGGTGTGTTCTACATAAATTAGAAAATTGCTTAGGCAGCATAACGTATGTATTCACTGAAGTAACAACATTTCTTTACTAGGTTGCAGCTGGTCGTCTTCCCCGGTCGAAGGATGTTATACTCCTGGGAGACCTTTGTGATTCTTGTAAGCCTGGGGATGAAATAGAAGTGACAGGAGTTTACACAAACAACTACGATGGGTCGCTCAACACCAATCATGGATTCCCAGTGTTTGCAACAATTATCATGGCAAACCACATTGCCAAGAAGGATAATGCTAATGCTATTAAAGGTTGGTTATATGAAGTGATTTCTTGTAACCCTTTTGTTTTAAGATTTCATGCATTGGCTTATCCACAACTAATGTCTTTGTGAACTGTGGCTGAACATTAAATGTAAACAATTTCCTCAAAGAAAAATTACAGGCTGGTGAGTATCTATGGTTTGCATTTGCACTGATCTTAAATGTTTGTGAAATTTTTCAAAATACTAATTATGGCTAGTCATCTTGGCTACATCAATCACCACACCTACATTCCCAATTTCCACATGCCCAACCACTTGGGCTGGACAGTAGAGCGATGGTCTCTTTTCATGCAGGTCGGTATTCAGTGTCCGACCGTGCAAGTCGTTGGGCACCATTCCTTCCCATCCCATCCTAAATCCTGACTCCTTCCAAGTGCTATATAATCGTAATGGCTTGGCACTTTCCCCTGATGATTCCCTCTCCTCCCAATTTCCACTTGCACACAGGGTTTTAGAGAACCCAGGCCGCTGGTTTGTTGCCCATCCTGCTCCAAAGGTTTTCTTGTAGATCTTGAGGTTATCTTGAGTTGATTTTGGGGCTTTAATGTCCCCGTGGCCCGGTCCTCGACCAGGCCTCCACCCCCAGGAAGCAGCCCGTGACAGCTGACTAACACCCAGGTACCTATTTACTGCTAGGTAACAGGGGCATAGGGTGAAAGAAACTCTGCCCATCGTTTCTCGCCGGCGCCCGGGATCGAACCCGAGACCACAGGATCATATGTCCAGCGTGCTGTCTGCTCGGCCGGCCGGCTTCCAGATATATCACATTATTTGGAGGTTGTCAAGAAGGCAAAATGTATTATAAATGGCACCCATCCTTTCACACGTGTCTTAACCCCTAAACAGCATCATTGAGAACTAGTGAGATTATCCAGCCTGTCTTCTTACAAAGAACGTAGCCTTTGAAGGTGCTTGTTCTCTTGACACTGCAAGAGGTCAGCCAGTTATGCCCTGAATGTGTAGGGGAAGTGTGTTGAAAAGTCTTGGATCTTTGACAAGACTCAATATTTATTTAAAATTTGTTTGAATAACACCAGTATGGACATAAAACAATGCTTCATAAGCCATGGAAGTGAGGAAAGAAATCTTGCTTGTGTAAAGGGCAGGTTATGCTGTATATAATATGTTTACACTATAACAAATGGGGTTGAACAACTCCACAAGAGCCGTGATGAGGGTTCAAACTTACGTCTGGTATGATTTGATGTATCATGCTATTGTCATTTCTGTGTGAAATGGGGTTAATGTTACTCTACACAAGTTTCAAAGCAAACACGTTGTACACGTGTTCAGACGATGAGTCACAATAATGTGGCTGAAAATATGATGACCAAACCACACACCAAAAGGTGAGGAGACGACAATGTTACGGTCCGTCCTGGACTGAATCTACTTGATAATGGTCCAGAACGGACCGAAACCCCGCCAAACACACATCGAAACTACGACGTTGGTACAACGTTCGAACAAGTTTTAGCACTTCCTAACCAGTTATAACAACCAATATAGCAAGTTGTAACAACGTTCTAATATGTCATAAACACGTTAAGCCAAGATGTAACAACTTTACAAGTTGTAACAAGCAGAAAATAGAGACGGTTTCGGTTTGTGTTTCCGGGGAATGTTGTCTCATTTTCTGGTGCGTGGTTTTGGTCACTATTTTCTAGTGTTTCTGTTTGCAGAGCAATAATACTCTTTATTTAAGTCGGCAGTGTATTTTAAAATAATTAATGTTTCTAGGTAATGCATATTAAAATATAACTGAATTTGCTTGTTAAGTATTGTGTTGCAATTTTATATATTCTTGTTCACCTATTGCAGCTTTGACTGATGAGGACATTAAAGCTATTGTTAGCCTGAGCAAGGATGAACGAATTGCTGAGAGAATTGTGGCGTCAATTGCCCCTTCGATATATGGCCACGAAGACATCAAGAGAGCTCTTGCTCTGTCCCTCTTTGGTGGGGAATCCAAAAATCCTGGTAAATTATTTGTTTGTTTAAATTTAATTATTGCTTAATTTATTTTCTTTAAGTAATAATCAACAAAAAGTTCCTGTGCTTTAAGATTAAATACTAATTTTGTTTTTCCAAGATTGTGATTGAAAACTGAATATCACATTTTGTCTTATGTACTGCGCAGTCCCATCACAGTACTGTATCACCCATCAGAGTAGTTAACACATGGGCAGTGATGTGGTGGAGGCTGACTCTATACTTTTAGTTTCAAATGTTGATTTGATAAGAGCCCAGTAGACTTTCATAGATGATAACAGAACTGAGTGAAATACTGAGGCTTCAGTACGATTCTGCTTTCAGTGATCCTCTGAGTATATTGAAGATCGATGATTCAATTTTTTTTATTTATTTATTTATATATACAAGAGTTCTTACATTCTTGTACAGCCACTAATACGCATAGCATTTCAGGCAGGTCCTTAATCCTATGTTCCCTGGAATACCACTACTCCACGGGGACTGCAAGTGGCTTCTTCATGAATGTGACACCAACATCGAAGGCCAAAACCGTCAGTAATTTCAAAGCGTTAATTGACAAAGAGTGCTGGGAAGACAGGACACCACGAGCGTAGCTCTCATCCTGTAACTACACTTAGGTAATTACATATCAGATGTCACCCTAACCCCACTGGACTTTGAAGTAGCCATAGACAGCATGCATATGCTCTCTGCACCAGGCCCCAGACTCATGGAATTCTATATTCATCAAGAAGTGCAAAACACCACTATCACAGGCCCTAAACAAATTTTGGAGACAGAGTCTTTATACTGGAGTCATTCCTGACTCCATTATAGGAATGGACATCTTCAAGAGAAAACTAAATCATTTTCTCCGTGGAGTGCCGGACCAACCGGGCTGTGGTGGATATGTGGGCCTGCAGGCTGCTGCAAGCAACAGCCTGGTGGACCAAACTCTCACAAGTCAAGCCTGGCCTCGGGCCAAGCTTGGGGAGTAGAAGAACTCCAAGAACCCCATCAACCAGGTATCAACCAGTGCTAAGTAGTAAGGTTACAAATTACATGGAATCACAATATTGACATAACCCCTGGACAAGATGGGTTCAAGAATAGGGCATTCCTGCCTCTCACAGTTGCTAGATCACTATGATATGGTCTTAGGTGCCATGGAAGACAGGCAAAATACAGATGTAATATACGCAGACTTTACAAAAAGTTTTTGACAAATGTGCAAATGTTATTGCGCACAAATGCGTGCAACAGGAATTACTGGCAAAGTAGGGAGATGGATCAAGGTACTGAGATGCATCAATCCCCCAAGGTTGCTCTGGTACTTTTTTTTGTCCTAATATCAGCTATTGACAAGGATACAAACTACAGCACTGTATCATCATTTGCAGATGACACTAGGATTTTCATGCGAGTAGACAATATAGAGGACACGGCAAACCTCCAATCGGATGTAAATCGGGTCTTTCAATGGACCACATATAACATGATGTTTAATGAAAATAAGTTCCAGCTTCTGCGCTATGAAAAACATAATTAAAAAATGGAAACCATATATAAAATGGAATCTAATCACATTATAGAACAAAAAAGCAATGTAAAGGATCTAGAAGTAATCATGTTAGAAGACTTTAGTTTTGCAGAACACCATAAAATTGCTGTCATGACTGCAAGAAAAATGACAGGTTGGATAACAAGGACCTTCCAAACAAGTGATACCTTTTAAGACACTAGTGCTCTCTAGGGTGGAATGTTGCTGCACTCCAACAGCCCCATTCAGAGCCAGAGAAATTGCTGACCTAGAGAGCATACAAAGATCCTTTACCACTAGAATTCACTCTATAAGTCATCTTAATTATTGTGATATACTAAAAGTTTTAAATCTGTATTCTCTAGAGCACAGGCAAGAGAGATACATAATAATCTACACGTGGAAGATATTAGAGGGACTGGTTCCAAATCTGCACCCAGAAATAACAAAACACAAGACTAGACAGCAGGGCAGGATGTGCAGAATAGCCCCACTGAAGAGTAAGGGTGCAATAGACACGCTGAAAGAGAACTTGATCAACATCAAAGGCCCAAGACTTTTAAACACTTTTCCCCACACATACGGGGACATAACTGGCCGAGCTGTCGCAGTGTTCAAAACAGAACTGAACAACCACCTTCAAAGGATACCTGATGAATCAGGCTGTGACTTGTGTCAGGCTGCGAGCAGCCGCATCAGATAGTTCTGTGGATTGGCCTGGCCAGAGACTGGGCTGTGGGGAATATTGATCCTCAGAACCTTCAACTGGTAGTCCATAAAAATTCATCGCATGCTCAAACAATTTTAAATAGACAGGGTTTTGGCCTAAGACCTCAGGCCGAAAGTGGGCAGTGCCCTCAAGGTTTAGGTGGGTAATAAAGTTCACAGGATTTGTGTGTAATTGGTTTTATGGGTACTGGGTTGTTTGGATATAGGTCCATATGGTGCTCTGGGTGTTTTAAATGTAAGATTATGTAACCTGTGTATTGCCGAAATGCTGTGCAGATTAGTGGCTTTAGGCATAATATATACTAGCTCTTATCTAGACATCCAACATTCTGCTTGTAACTCAATATGTATGTACATATTTTTACCTAAATAAATTATTTATTTAAAACATGTCGTAGACCATGTCGTAGCTAAGTCGATTAAGGCAGCGTCTGGGATGCTCTCGGACGCAGGTTCGAATCCTCGTCACGGCCCTTATGGATTTGTTTATTTATTTAAAGTTGATTCAAACTGCATAAACATAACCAATCCTTTCCTTACTCATTAATGCGCAATAACTTAACAAAAAATAGTTTGGCAGCAAATTATATGAAGATTCTCTTAACCTATTTGTGCTTTCACTGAGAGAAGAATAGCCTCATGGGGGGGGGGTGCTACTTTTTAACTTTTGGGCATCGCGTGTAACCTGATGATCAGTTTTCTCGCTGCCTCACCGTTTTTGCCGTCTTCATCCGAGTTGCCCATCTTTCAGGTTCCACTTCTTTATACTGTCAGGTAATATGTTAATTTACAACTGATTTTTTATGTATTGTGGTGATTTTAAACAACAACAAATATTTTTCAGTTATTTGCATTTTTGTTTTCTAGGACAAAAACACAAGGTTCGAGGAGACATCAATGTTCTAGCATGTGGTGACCCTGGCACAGCCAAGTCTCAGTTCCTGAAGTATATAGAGAAGATAGCACCCCGAGCTGTCTTCACAACTGGTAAGGTTCTCTATCTTGTAAAATCTACATCCTAATTTCAATACAATAATTTTTTTGTTTTTAATCTCACAGCTGGAAAGCAGTTGTTTTTCTTAATATATATAAATAATTTGAATGTTAAAACGGTTTCTTTTGGCTGTGTTTGGACCTCGGTGGATACAGGGCTGAAAATGTAGTTGCAGCAAGAGGGTTAAGGAAACGTTTGTAAATAAGTAAATCGTGAAAATGTGCGGGTAAACGGTGGGAGTTGATTGACTTCAACATTCTATGGACAACACATTCCCCCAATTTCATGTCCAACTTTATGAAAACTGCACAAGGGGGGGGGGTTCAGGCTATATTTCCCAAAGTCTTTAGACAAAGGCATTCTCTTTTATTGATATAGATTAGAACTATTCAATCCAGTATATTTGTGAAGATGTGGGGAGGGGGCAGACAGGAAATAGATATACTGTAACTCATTATAGATATACCAATTTGCTGCTTATGACAGAATGCCATTGTACAGATTGTTCTCTGCCCTTTTACAATGAACATTATGTGAGGGAGAGCTGGATGGATGGAAAGAGACCTGCTGGGTGAGGTTCTGGGAGTTCTTCTACTCCCCAAGCCCGCCCGAGGCCAGGCTTGACTTGTGAAGCCTGATAGGTTAATGAGTGGAAGTCCCAAAGATCACACTTAATTTTAAATAATATTTCCATGTTACCTGTTTTTTATCGTGGCATTTAGCTCTCATTTACTTGCTGCAAATATCCCTCCTGGCTCTTTAGGGTTGTGTAGTTATTCTTATGTTTAAGATTCCTGCTTAATATTTACTGAGAGACTTGCTTTTATTTTTTGGCAAACTTGGAAGGGCAGTGAAGAGTGACCCTACTGCCTATCTGAGAAGGTAATAGTTATGTTTGGTTTTTATTGCACTCTGTCATTAATTATTAAGCGCAATGCAAACTTTATTATGTGTAGTTCTGAACACATTTTTTTCCAACTCGTCGCCCTGTTTTGACTACTTTGTGTATCACTGTGGTCGATTGTACCAATATGTAGTAATCGAGACCCAGTAAGCCACTTTTTGTACTGTTTTCTTAATTGAAACTGGAAAAAATAAAGCTAAAGATCAAACTGAAATATTCCTAGGCCTAATATAGCACATATACGTACTATATTAGGCCATTGGTAGATTGTATTATGTCTATGAAGGTTAGGTTAGATATGATTAGCAACACAAATATATAAGCTTTTCTGGTTTGTCCAAATTCAATACTACATAATTCTACTTGCTGCTGGTCAATCTTGACATGTGTGTACTTTTGACCACATAAGTACTATAAGAAGTGCACTCTCATTTTAGCCGGATGGGCTCTTTTTTCATACAACCTCAAAGGGCAGTAAGGGTGAATGCTTTGAAATACCATTGTTGTCATATACAGCCATCTAAGGGGGAGATACAGCTTCACATTATAATGCTGTACAAATGTTGTATTAAGCACATCGTCGCAGGTCAAGGTGCCAGTGCCGTGGGTCTGACTGCGTATGTGCAGAAGTCACCAGTAACTCGGGAGTGGACGCTGGAGGCCGGAGCGCTCGTCTTGGCCGACAAGGGTGTCTGCCTCATTGATGAGTTTGATAAGGTTAGTCAGAATTACAGTATGCTTGTTAATTTTGTTCTAACATTCCAATAATTGTAATATTATGGATGAACAAATCCACAGGAGCCTTGATGAGGATTTGAACCTATGCTCTGGGTGTTCCCAGATGCACTCTTGTCGATTGCACCACGACATGGGAAAAGACTTGCAGCCTGGGGGGCTGCTGCACCCACAGTCTCCTGTGGATTTGTTCATTGATATACCATGTTAATGTGATTTTTCTGTGTATAGATGAAAATAGTAATAATTAGTTTGAGGAAGGCAGCAGTGGGTAACTTGGAAAGAAAAAAAAATGTTCCAATAAATGACTCGCAAGCCAAGCCTGGCCCTGTGCCAGGCTTGGAGAGTAGAACAACTCCCAGAACCCCATCCAGGTACAGTAATGTGATGTGCATAAAGTTAGTTGTGGCTGGTATGAAGGACCACCATGGCGATGTCTTCATGCATTCAAATTCAAAAACTTTATTAAGAAATGTGTATACATTTATAATTGAGTTTACACAAATTACAGTACCTTATTTATTTGAGATAATCATAATTACATTTTAAAAACTTACATTTTTTAAATGCTAGTCTGTGACTGGTTATATTAACTGGTATTGATAAGGTTTAGAATTAGAAATTGGAGAGGCAAGACTGATTGATATCATTATTGGTGTCTGAAAACCTTGGTCAGTTTGTACATGTTTCCACAGATGAATGATGCAGATCGTACAAGTATCCATGAAGCTATGGAGCAGCAGAGTATTTCAATCTCCAAAGCGGGCATTGTGACTTCCCTCCAAGCCCGCTGTGCTGTTATAGCAGCTGCTAACCCAATTGGGGGTAGATATGATCCCTCCATGACATTTGCTGAAAATGTAAGTACAATGTTGTAATACTTTTTGTATAATTGTATTGGAAGTGATTGTATGGTCTTGATATACACTACAAGCATAGTATTTTTATTTTGGCAAGTTTTCAGCTAACACATTTGTCTATATTCCAGGTTGAACTGTCGGAACCCATTCTCTCTCGTTTTGATATATTATGTGTAGTACGTGACACTGTTGATCCAGTCCAGGATGAGCACCTTGCACGGTTTGTGGTCGGGTCACACATCCGCCATCATCCAGGAGCAACTGCGGCCGATGTTGCAGCCATAACTGTGGTAGGTATTTGTTTCACTTATAAATGACTAGAGTGAATAAGGCATGGCTCTTTATGCCTCGTCTAGTTTTTTGCATCTGGCACATTTGTAAATTTTGATATTTGTGCTTTGTCATATTTGCTTTTGTTTTGAAGGTGTGGATGTAGTGGGCATGCACATCATCATCCTCTTTATTAATGCTAAAATGGTAGAATAATAGAATTTTAGGTATTGTGGGACATAATCTTTTTGACTTACAGCTACTGCAAAGAACATATTTTATTATCTCGCTGTCAAATGACATTATTTGTCGAGTCCAAACACTCAATTCAAAAAGCAAGATGTCGGTTGAATGTTGCAAAATGTGTATACTTTTTTTTTTAGATGCCTGGGATATACAGTTGTTGCAATAAATGACTTATGATTACATGTACTATAGTTCGATTGCTACTATCTCGGTGAAAGGGTTAATTGCCTCAACCCTTCAACTTCTCAGGGATACTGACTTAGCTCATTTTCTATATTGTAGGCTCCTTATAACTTTCAACTGATAAAGCTTAATCCTTGGATGTGCAACTATTAATAGCTGACAACGTTGTTGTGCACAAGAAAAACTAAAATAAAAAATAAAATATTGCTCCCTCTAAGATTGTTAAAATGTGTTCCCTGATCACGGGGGAGAAAAATCGTAGGTGACATGTTTTGGCCGCAAGAGGGCGAGGAAGTCTGGCAAGATACAGGCGCTGAAAGAGTACACGCCCGGGGTCAGTCTCCTCCACCCAAGCCGTCAGGAAAGAATTGTCTCAAAGATATTATTACCTAATTATTTCAATGTCTCTGATTTGTTTTCTATTTTTTTGTGGGGAGACTCCAGGGCTCGCCCAGAAAATGGCTTTTCATTACATTCAATGCTGGTTTTTTGCAGTAATATTATTCAATAGTGTGCAGTGCGATATATTTATACAATAAACTTACATTTATCAAAAGTATGATAATAAAAGTATGATGTGGTTGCAAAAATAATTTGCAACCACATCAAAAGTATGTTGTGCAAATTACTAATTCAATTATTATATTCATAAAACAACTAAAGAATATTTTTGCTGTTATGATGGTATATATACAAGTATCTACATTTTTGTTCACCGTAACAAACTACTAAGCTGGTATGGCAAGTCCAAACAGCATAGCACCACCACATGCCAGTTAGGTAATGACGCTACCTCAAATAGATTGGTTAGAAAGGCGGGGTCGAAGAGCTAATAGCTCGATTCCGCAGGCGCAAATAGTAAATACAGTACTGCGAAGATTCCTCCTCCTCCTCCCATTATACAACGCACATCACAAATTCTCACCACAATCCTGTTATTACCAGAATCTTGGTCACTAAATCTTTTAAATGAATTATTTTCCACAAGTTTATTTTGTAGAAGAACTTGAGAAGTCATTTCAAGATTCTTAGATGGGCCAAACAGTAGCAGTGTGCTGTGGCTACTATTGAGTTGCCTTTACCACTTAAATTCTTTGCCCATATTTATGTATAAAATTCTGACACTGGGAAAAGTTCCTAATATGTCTGTAGCTTATTTGAGTACTGTATTGAGTTGCCCTTGTTGCCTTGTTTTCCGGTCGGCTGAGCGGACAACAATGGGCACAGTTTCTTTCATCCTATGCCCCTGTTACCTAGCAGTAAAATAGGTACCTGGGTGTTAGTTAGCTGTCACGGGCTGCTTCCTGGGGGTGGAGGCCTGGTCGAGGACCGGGCCGTGGGGACACTAAAGCCCCGAAATCATCTCAAGATCTCTCAAGATTGTTTATGTACCACTGTCAAATATTGTCCCTGTGTGTAGTGAACATTTGTGTTCGTTTTCCAGTAACATTAGGTAGATTTATTTAGTGTTTGCACATAATTCATAGCTCTAGTTCCCGACTAGTCTGTTGACTGAGTGGTGTTGCAGGAAATCTGTATGAAGTCTGTTTATCCTTGTTAATGGTTTCATAATCCAGTGCCTTCAAGGGAACTGATTGGGTTCTCAAGTTAGGGTATTGATCATGTCTATTGGGTAATTTAGTAGACGTGGGATGACTTGATTGTTTCGAGTGTAGGTTAGACATATTATTATTATTATTATTATTGATATAGACAAGAGTTCTTACATTCTTGTACAATCACTAGTACACATAGCATTCATATGTATTTGAATAGTTTGGGTTGATATAAATAGCAGCTGCCTTCTGCAGTAAATATTTCTGATTTACTGAAATCAGTAAGTGTGTGTAATTATGAACCTTTATTGTACAATCTCTAAATGGTACTGTTGCCAGTTGTAACAGAATAGATTTAACAGATCCGCGGCCAGTGAGGCCAGGTGGGCTTGGGGAGTAGAATAACTCCCAGAACTCCATCCAACAGATAATTTATCATCTACACTTCCGTGGAAGTAATTCCATTCACCTGGGCTCTAGGTGGCTCAAAGTTTCCTTATTAAGACTACTTAATAGCTCGGTCGATAAGAGCTTGAGCCTCATGTGTGGCGTCCACGGTTTGAGTCTCCTATAGCCCAGGTGAATGGAAAATGTAACAGAATTTACATGTTATTTATATCTATAAGAGTGTTTCATGAAGCATGTTGGGTATAGGAGTACCATGGGCCAGTTGGGGTCAGCGGCACTTAAAAATTGTCTGAACCCACCCTCTTGACCCCCTTCCCTCTTGTTGCAATTTTCATGAAGTCAAATTTGAAATATTGGTTGTATTGTTCAGTTCTTTGTAACATTTTTTCTGGGAGAAAGAGGGAAGGAGAAGGGGTGAGCAGGATGTTTGAAGAGAGGGGTAAGATTGGGGAAGAGGGAAAGGGAGGAGACAGCTGGGTACCCCTTCTAGTATATTTACTCTTTGTGTCTGCAGAATCGAGCTATTTAACTCTTGACCCCACCTTTCTAGCCAATCTGTTTTTCCTCTTATTATGTCTTACTACATATATTTCTCTAACGCGTGCATGCACACACACTGAAATAACCTTTTCAATGTCAGAGTAGTTAGTAATGGAATGCACTAGGAAGTGATGTGGTGGAGGCTGACTCCATACACAGTTTCAAATGTAGATATGATAGAGCTCGAAGCTCAGCACTCTACACCAGTAGATTGGCTGTTGAGAGGCGGGACCAAAGAGCCAAAGCTCAACCCTTGCAAGCACATCTAGGTGAGTACATTCTCAGGAAGCAGCCCGTAGCAGATATCTAACTCGGGTACCTATTTCCTGCTAGGTGAACAAGCCATCAGGGTGAAAGAAACTGCCCATTTGTTTCCCCTTCCACGGGGAATAGAGTCCAGGCCCATAGGACTACTACCCCTGAGAGCTGTCCACTCAGCCACAAGATCCTCATATAGTGTACTCACCTAATTGTGCTTGCGGGAGTTGAGCTTTGTCTCTTTGGTCCCGCCTCTCAACTGTCAATCAACTGGTATACAGATTCCGGAGCCTACTGGGCCCTATCATTTCTACATTTGAAACTGTGTATGGAGTCAGCCTCCACCACATCACTGCCTAGTGCATTCCATTTATTAACTACTGACACTGAAATAATTCTTTCTAACATCTCTGTGGCTCATCTGGGTACTAAGTTTCCACCTGTGTCCCCTTGTTTGTGTCCCACCTGTGCTGAAGAGTTTGTTTTTGTCCACCCTGTCAATTCCCCTGAGAATTTTGTAGGTGGTTATCATGTCTCCTCTTACTCTTCTGTTTTCCAAGGACGTGAGGTTCAGCTCCTTTAGCCTTTCCTCGTAGCTCATACCTCTCGGTTCTGGGACGAAAAAGTGTACACAGGCAGCTGTGTACCTGTCAACTAGAGTAGTTGAGGCAGCAAGTCAGCTCATGCAGTCCTCTTAAAGTTAATGGTTTTGCAGGATGGATCTATGATGGGAGGATCAAATCTTTCTGGTTTAGAGAAGATTCCCCAAGACTTGCTGAAGAAATACATTATATACGGACGTGAAAAAGTTCGGCCCAAGCTGCATCAGATGGACCAGGACAAAGTGGCCAAAATGTACTCTGAGCTAAGACGAGAATCTATGGCAACTGGTAAACATTTTTCTTTGATTTTCAGATTGTTAAATAAAAATATACAGTATGATGTTGATGTATATTGTGAATGAAGGAGTGATATTTTATATTATATCTTATTATTTTACTCGCCAATCTTTATTTTTCTTCTTTAGTTAATGCCTACTTGCCCATAAAAAGTGGGAAGGGGGGGGGAAGAACAGGGTAATGATTATATATGTATAATTTATTGGAAGAAGTAGGGACAAAGTTGCTCAGTTTTGATGATACCTTAGATAATAAGATTGTGAGGGGGGAAAATCTTGAATTACTCTGTGGACTAATGAGTGCAATGACTAACATTATACAACCTTAATGATGTACAATGCATTCTTATACATGCCACATGTACTGTGATTGATATCTTTCATAACATTGAACAGGGAGTATCCCCATCACTGTGCGACACATTGAGAGCATGATCCGCATGGCAGAGTCTCACGCTCGAATGCATCTGAGGGAATATGTTCATGAAGATGATGTTAATATGGCCATTAGAGTCATGCTGGAGTCCTTTATTGATACTCAGAAGTTCTCTGTAATGAGACCCATGAAAAAGGTGAGTGCAAATAAATTCTATTCTTTATAGATGGTATGGTAAAAGTTGACGTTTAAGGTGTAGAGGAAATATTTGCTACAACACATTTTACCTCATACCTCTGCTGTCATCCTGAAGGTTTCCTGTTGTTTACTTCATTATGTCTGCAATTCATAACCATAGGGTAGGGAGCAAGTATGTGTACTGTCATTGTATTTTTTTCACATTCATAAAATAATTCTGCGTTTCATAATCCTTCCTAGATACAGTCAGTCTCCCTTGCACTGTTCTACCGTTTTCTCCTCCAGTGTGTCATCTTTGTACATTATCGATCCCAAACATTTAAACTATCTTTAATGTGCAGTATTTCAATCTCGTCATTTGATATGTTTAATGTGTGTGTTTGTCATTGCAGAGCTTTGCTCGGTACTTATCCTTCAAGCGCGACAACAATGAACTCTTGTTCTTCTTGCTACGGCAACTGGTGCATGAGCAGACTACCTACATGCATTCTCGTTATGGACCTGATCACGATGTTGTGCAAGTCTCGGAGAAGGATCTTCTTGATAGGGTAATGATGTTTGATTTATCAGGCCTGTTTGAGAGGGTAGATGAGAAGCATACCAATGTAATTCAGTATTTTTGTAGTATCAGTAAAAAATTCAGTTTATTGTTTTTTGGCCGAGTATAACTCCTGTAGCTTCAGCTTTGTTTAGAATTCCATTTGCACACATACACTACATAACTTAATAATAATCTCTTTATTTGATTGCTCTCATATAGCAATATAGGTTCTGATGCTCCAGTATCTATCGATTATACCTGGAGTTAATCTTCTAATTGAACATTATCTAGTTGGTAGTTTGTTGAATTATTAGTTATGGGACCTAATTGATGATTGTCCACAGGCACGGCAGATCAACATCATGAATCTACAGCCCTTCTTTGACAGTGACATCTTCAAAGCCAACAGTTTCACACATGATGCCAAGAGAAAGTTGATCGTTCAGACAGTCTAGGCTGGTTAATTTTAAGTTGTGTAAATTATGTGAAAGTAATATTTTATGTTCAAGGGATTAAGACTCAAATTTATTCTTATTCTGAATAGTTTAGGTTTGAATTCACCCAGGTGTTAATGTAAGAATCCAGTGATCTTGCATAAATGGATTTTTTTATAGTAGTGTTAGAAAAGAGAGATCACATTAACGTGATATATCAATGAACAAATCCACAGGAGCAGTGATGAGGGTTTGAGCCAATGCACCGAGTGTTTCCAGGCTCGCTCCAAATTGACTACGTCACGACATGGTCAAAAGAATTACAACCCGTGGGTGCAGTAGTACCCGATGTTGCAATTCTTTTGACCATGTCGTAGCATAGTCACCAGATCGAGCCTCGGAACACCCAGCGCATAGGTTCAAATCCTTCACACGGCTCCTCTGGATATATTCATAGTGTTAGGAAATTTTTGCCTGTAAGTAGCAGCATCTGCTTGTATTAAGATATTAAGTTTAAATTTTGTAATTGGTATAAGTATCATTTAATTTCACGTAAAGTTTGGAAATTCAGTTCACATTAAGATATTGGGAGGGAAAGTGTTTATTATCTTTCATTTGTCAAAAATATATAGGCTACCTTGAGGTGCTTCCGGGGCTTAGTGTCCCCGCGGCCCGGTCGTCGACCAGGCCTCCTGGTTCCTGGACTGATCAACCAGGCTGTTAGACGCGGCTGCTCGCAGCCTGACGTATGAGTCACAGCCTGGTTGATCAGGTATCCTTTGGAGGTGCTTATCCAGTTCTCTCTTGAACACTGTGAGGGGTTTGCCAGTTATGCCCCTTATGTGTAGTGGAAGCGTGTTGAACAGTCTCGGGCCTCTGATATTGATAGAGTTCTCTCTCAGAGTACCTGTTGCACCTCTATAGGTGTATAACATCGCTACAGTTGTATAAATACACTCAACTAATCATACTTTAAAAATTATAGTGTCATGTAAATTAAGGCCCTGGAATTGACTCTTGGGTATGTCTGTACAAATTCATTTTAATGTATAGCCTGCAATTTTTAGTAATAAAAATATTCTTTAATGCATGTATTAAATATATCCCTTCATGGTATACTGAACTAGAACTTATTCCCATTTAACTAGTAATAATGTAATTATATAAAAAAATAAAAAGGTGCCAATCTAGAAGGATTATGTAGCATCATCAGTGTTGGATATTCAAAAGGTGCTAAATATCAGAGGATGCCAATACAAGAACAAAAGCACATAAGGCAAGTGATATCAAAGGTATCGGACACCAAGGATTTGGTCGAGGGACATCATGGATGCAAGATATATGATCATCCTGAAAATCGCAGGTACACAATTATAGTGGGACAATTAGTCGTAGTTTGAACAATAGGGAGCAGGACGGCATTCCATTAAATGTCCAAGAGTTTAGTATGTATGGCCTATACATAACCTAGCCAAAGTCATTTCCCTTTACCTATTATGGTGGTGGGAGAAAAGCCAAGGGAAAAGGTTGCCTTTACGAGTACAGTTTACCAGTAACCTCAGATAAATGACCCTGCCAGCAGTCTGGAGTGAACGACTGGGCAGAAATCTGAATACAGAACCTTTATTTGGGAAATAGGAAAAGTGCAGATAGCCTCCTCAGCAGCAATGTCCAGATGTTCATTCAAGGCAATACCAATATCCCTGAGACCCAAGCAAAACTTGACTTAAGTAAAAAGTCTTAAATTTGGTAGAGATAAGAAACAGTATGTTGAATTTTTGACTACTACAGGATGCACAATGTCAAAAGACTAGGGCCCTGCAAGAATCAACTACAATGACAAAGGAACGTTGATATTGGGAAAATAGTTGAAAGTGCATACAAGAATGCATAAAATTATGTCATGAAAATGCTAGTTTCCAGGTACATGCAGCACATGTAGGTTTGGTCAAGAAAGACAACTGAGTAGCCTACACTGTCAGCAGACTTGGACCCATCTGTGAAGAGAGCAATGGGGCATAAGTGTAAAGAAAGGCATTTCAGAACTGAATGAGGGGTAGGAGCCTTTATCATGTGGGGTCAATGTCTTACAAAACTGTGCAAGTGGGATCCTCCATAAAGGGAAAGGATGGAATGAAAAATATTGCTAACATGAACCGAGGAGAATCTTGCAATCCGTACTGAAAAAGGAAGGAAATAGGACCCACATGAGGTATGATAGTCAAAGCACGAATAAGGATGACCATGGTAGATGCAAGATAGTGAAGGCAGTAACAATCATGAGGATCCTGTAGGAACAAGACTGCTTTCAGCATGCAGGGTAAGAGTAAGGGGATGAATAAAAGTTACCTGACACAAGGTGTAATCCAGTATGGTGCAAAGCATGATGACGACAAAGAGGCGGAACAGCCACACAGTAATCGAGTTTAAACAGCACAAGAGGAGCTGTATCAACCAGATATCAACCAGCACCTATCTGCTCTCTAGGAAGAATGGCCTAAGACCTTAAGTACGGTAAGGGCCTTACAGCAAACATGTCAAACATGTGGCCCTTTGCAAGCACATTTGCAGCCTGCACACAGGATACTGCATGCTGTATGTTTCCAAGTTTAAGTAATACAAATAGTCTGCAATAATTTTTATTAACATGACTTCAATTAGCTGTTGTGTGTGGCCCTCACGACAACACAAACATGACCCATATGGCCCTCGGGAAACCTTCAGTTTGACATGCCTGCCTTGGAGCAGTCAACTCAGAGGAAAGATATACAAGGTTACCAAAACAGTCAAAGATCAACCCCAAAAGTTTAGAAGAATCTTTATACAAAAGGGAACTATTACAGAGCGACAATAATGAACAAAGAATAACCCGAGTAAAACATCATAGAAGAAATCTTGATTGTAGAGAAATTGAAGCCATAATCGATGGCCCAGTATAACACGGCATCAATTGCAAGTTGAAGCTGTTTAACCCCTTAACTGCGTTGCCTCCAAATGTGACACCCCCGCAGTGCGCAGGAAATAAATTCTCTGGAAAAAATTCTTTTTTCTTTTTAAAGTGTCAAAAACCCTTCCCTCAGTATGGGTATGTAAAAAAAAAGTCGAAATTGTACTTACTTTGGCTGCTATGGGGTCCGGAAGTTGGGGCGTGACGTCATCATTCCCCGTGCGCCCGTGCCGTAAGCTCTCGGGGGCGGTGGGGCGCTCGGGGCGGGGCGCGCGAGTTGCCGCGAATATATTTTCGTTCATTTTTTGCGCACCTTTCCAAATACATTTTCATTGTTTTTATGTGCCAATCCAATGTATAATGAACACGTACACTATAATATCGCAGTACAACATCCGTACTGTCCGTAGACACTGTGTTACGTGCATGAAACTTGTGTACACATATGCAGCACATATTTACTATGTATCATGCTAATTTGTGTATATATACAATCTATTTACACACTATACACTGTCACACACTATATACATTCACCATCAACACATTCAGAACACCGCGTAGCAGCTGCTTCGTATGGGCCAATAGCAGCTGCCTCGTATGGGCCAATAGCAGCTGCCTCGTATGGGCCAATAGCAGCTGCCTCGTATGGGCCAATAGCAGCTGCCTCGTATGGGCCAACAGCAGCTGCCTCGTATGGGCCAATAGCAGCTGCCTCGTATGGGCCAATAGCAGCTGCCTCGTATGGGCCAACAGCAGCTGCCTCGTATGGGCCAACAGCAGCTGCCTCGTATGGGCCAATAGCAGCTGCCTCGTATGGGCCAATAGGAGCATTTGGCCATGAACACATTCAGAACACCTCGAGTGAGAGCAGCCACACCCAGCCAGTCTCCCTCACTCCAACATCTTACTCGCCAACATTGCTCCTCCCACCATATTGTTATAGTTCTTATTACACATGTTCTATATACCTATCTACATGTTTTATTTACCAGAACTATGCAAGTAAGCCGGTATTGTGTCCAAACAGTACAGTGGCCACCATACACTGCATGAAAAATCACACAGCAGACGACGCTACGATTACGTCACCTCCCTCACCAAAATAGCTCCTCTCAACATTCTCCTGTTGCTGTTCTTACACTATATACACACACTATATATACCCATGTACATATGTGTTGCCCATAGCGAACCACTAAGCTAGTATGGTGAGCAAAACAAGAGTGGCAGCCACACACACAATGAGGCTACCTCAATTCTCGCCCTCCCTCCCTCATCAAAATTCCTCCTTCCACAATACTACGCACAACGCTAATTATAACCACATTCCTGCTATTATCACAATCCTGGTCACTAATTCCTGTAAATGAATAATTGACCACACGTTTATTTTGAAAAGGAACCTAAGAAATCATTTGAAGATTCCTAGATGAACGAAATAATGCTGTGGTGCTGTGGCTAGCGCTGTGAACATCGTGAACAGCATTGAATCACTGATATTTGAACATTGTACCCAGTCATTATCACACTCAGGCTCTAATATAACACTATCATAGCTAAATAATACAAGTTATATATATATTTTGACATTATTAGGCGATGCTGTGGTCACATGCTGAACAGCAGTGCTGTGCGCTCATGCTGCGAGCGCCAGCCTTGGTTGCTCACACACTACTGAGGCTCCCACACCCGGGAATGTGGACCACGATTTTTTTTAAAGATGGCGTCTGTTTACAAGAGCCCTGAGGAAGCTGATGTGAACCCCATGTAGCCGCGGGAGTTTTGAATGGAACGTGAAAAATACAAATACCCGGAGGCGCGTTGCGCAAACCAGACGTGAGCCTGCAGGCGCGTTGCGCAGTTTAAGGGTTAAAAGGTTACAGACATTCAGCAAATACTGAAAAGTACACAGGGAAATGATGGAGCATCTCATAATGAATGTAGTGTGAGCCCACCACCATAGAACTGCAGATGGTCAGGGCAGGCTGGAGTTCCGAAAGAGAAAATAGGTCATTATAAGGGAGCTGTAGGAGTGCGCTCTACTCTGTGAGGAGTGTCTAAGGAATGAGATCCAATAAGGGATTTACGAGTAAGGAAAGTAGGAGCAAAAATGAGCACCAGAGCAACCTGTTGAAAAGTAGAACCCCAATTTGTTTTCATTGGGCTCACAATAGATATAGAAAAGCATGGAGGTGGAGAAGCGATGCAAATACAGCAAACAGAGAAAGGAGGGTGGAAACATATGCAGGAGAAACCAGAGGAATGCCCTCTTGTTTCAGATTGCAGAAGAGTGAGAAGGGGGAAACTAATGGAAGTGTTGGGGTTTAAGGCTTGGAAATTGTTGTGGAACCGTGGTAGGGATTCAAAACTGGAGAAATTACTGACCTGGAGAGTGCGCAAAGATCCTTTACTGCTAGAATTCACTCCATAAAAAATCTAAATTGTTGGGACCGCCTAAAGATTTTCAATCTGCATTCCCTGGAGCGCAGGCAGGAGAGATACATAATAATCTACACTTGGAAAATATTATGAGAACTGGTTCTAAATCTGCATACAGAAATATGGTTCTAAATCTGCATACAGAAATAAGACCATATGAGACCAGAAGGCATGGCAGGATGTGCAAAATAGCCCCAATGAAGACCACAGGTGCAATAGGCATGCTGAGAGAATGCGATCAACATCAAAGGCCCAATAACTGGCCAACCTCTCAGTGTTCAAAGAGAACTTGGCAAGCAGGTATCAAAGAATACCATAAGAACTCTTAACAAACATCTAAGATCTCGGAAATTATTTTTCTCATAAGAATTCTTTAACTCAAAATCTGAAATTTATAAGGAAACCCGACACGCCAGAGGCAAATGGGAAATTTACATGGAACCCCCGATAGTCCAGCGGCAAATGGCTCCCCAAAATTCTATTTGCCGTTGGACTGTCATCCCAACTACTGAGAAATTTATAAGGAAACCCGACATGCCAGAGGCAAATAGGAAATTTATAAGGAACCCTCGACAGTCCAGCAGCAAATGGCCCCATAAAATTCTATTTGCCGTTGGACTGTCAACCAAGCTGCGAGCAGCCTCCTTAAACAACTTTGTGGAACAGACCAGCAACCAGGAAGGCTGGTTAGAGTCTGGGCCACAGGGACATTAATCCCTGGAATCTTCAAAAGATAGTCAACAGGGAGGGACAATGGAAGGGGTAGAGGATTGTGATTCAATACATTAGCACAAGTCGTTTTGAAAAAGACATCAAACCACACGTTTAGCCATCAGAAAATGATGGCTTGCTCAAGTTTATAATGTATACAAGATCAGGAAAAGACAGGGTGGGGATCACTGCAGATTAATCTGACCTAGACTGGTTGGGGGGGCACCACACAGGCCAAAAGGACAATTGCACTTCAGGGTTCCATGTCCATATTTCCAGCACAAATTACAGAGGCATTTAAAGGGTATGCACTCCTGGATGGTACATCTGGTACCAAAAAGACTTACCAAAGATAAGTTCTGAATTTCGAAAGTAATCTTAATTCAAAGGGATTGGCAATGATGACAGTAAGTGAGCTCTTTGACGTCATCATTGATGATGACAGCAAGTTGACGTACCAACCTGGAAGATAAGATAATCATGTGCTTCGAGGATCTGTTTAAGCATGTTCCCTGTCCCCAGTCACAACATGGGGCAGGTGTACGATGGCGCTGACATTTAATTGGACATTTTTGGAGACCAAAACCAGGGTCTCACCAATGCGAGGAGTCGTCCTGCATAGATCATTCTCCAACAAAGGTCCCAAGAACTTTTCCCCCCCCCCTCCCCCATTTGTGCCCCAGCCAGAAAACCCAAACCTACCTCTAGAAAGCGGAGGCCCATGGGCAACACCTGCACCAGGTGGTTCGATGATCCCAAGCAGTCACCTTACACTGTTTCTTTGCACGTATAATGCCTAGATAAGGGCTGAGAAACGGCCACCATCCCCTGGGTGTTGTACACAAGTCCCCCTCACCTCGGCAAAGTGAAGCCCTTGAGGGAGCATGAGTAATAAAGTTTAGACCAATAATAATAAAGAAAAGTAAAAACTAGTGATTTTTCAATTTTATTAAAGAGTAAATAGAACTATTCATTGTTTCACCGAGTTAAAAAAAATTGCCCTAGGAAATTTGATAAAAACACGCCTAGTTAGAATGGAATGACATAATGAAGTACATAAGCCGTGTGTTCTTGGCATATACAGGTGTAAAAAATGCTCACTATAAGATATCTTCTAGGAAGACTTTGTAGTGTGCCATTTACAAAGGAAGTACAGTATTTTGACAAATTTACAGAAAGTTGAAAAACCTTGTGCATTTGGTTGGAAATACTTAAAATCCCTTAAGACTTGGTACTGGTTTAAAGCTTGTTTGAACACACAATATCACACAGAGCAGCTAAAATGTGTGAAAGAATCCTTATTTAATATCAACAACACTAAACAATGTTTCAAGTCTTTTTCACCACCTAAGGGAAATTGTCAAGACTTCTAACTGTGCACAAGAGGGAAAGTTATTAACACCTTCAAAATAGTACCTAATAAACTAGGTTTCAGAGCACCAACATCCCAGGTCAAGCAGCCAGTCTGTGGGGTTCAGACATTTGTTTCCCTAGCAACTACTTCTTTTTACTTACGTCTTAATATCACTGCTAATCTTGTAATGATTTACAACAATGTACAATGTTAGGCACATAGCTTTGATCATTTCTTTGAGTATTTATGAACAGCTTCAACAAATGCAGCCAAGTGTTCTGGATCCATATCAGGATACATCCCATGGCCTAGGTTAGCAATGTAGCGCTCCCTTCCAAACTTCTCCACCATTTCTTTCACGGCTGTATCAATGTGTTTCTGAAAGATAGAAACCATATTATTAACTTATTATGTGTGGGATTTTGTACAAAATTTATACCATAATCCAGACAACAGTTACTCTAATCTCTTACCAACCACAATAATAACCCCCCTAGGATTCAAGCTTAAGTTCTTCAATACTTAAAGTTGTGTCTGTGACTAATGTTATTAGTAGAAAGAAAGGTATGCAGACAGGAAGTCATAATAACATGGCTGAAAATTAGACACCCAACTCACACACATCTGAAAATAACAGAAGTGACTAAGTTTCAGTCCATCCTGGATTATTATCAATATAGGAAGAGAGAGAGGGAGAAAGACAGTAGGACCCTTAAAAGATGAGACTAACTAAATTATTAAACTAATTAATAATTATTAATTTACTAATAAACTAATTATTAGACTAATTAAACTAAGGGGCAACCAACTCTCTAAATAATGAAGGTTAAGGAAAGCCCAAATATATGTATAAATGTATTAAACACCAAATTTTTGGATATAATCAACATCCTTTTCTCAAGGTGCTGTATACAATGTTCTGAACAAGATTCTGGGAGTTTGGGTTTATAAATGTGGCAGAGCGCTTCACTTGGCGTCCATCATTAGATGTTATCGAGATTACGCTCCCCCAGGGATGTCGAAGTTTCAGAAGAATGCTCAATTATTCTGATTTATGGGAACTATGGGCAGGGTTCTGCAGAATCATTATTCCTACTCTGGACATCACAAGGTCTGTGGTTATGTGAATTAATGAGATTTAATTCACTTTTGCGAAGAGTGGTAGACAGTTGGAACAATTTAAGTGAGGTGGTGGTGGAGGGCAAAACCGTCAGTAGTTTCAAAGAGTTATACGAGTGTGTGCTGGGAAGACGGGACACCACAACTGTAGCTCTTATTCTGTAACTACACATAGGCAATTATACAAGAAGATAACCCTGAGCACAAGTGCAGCACTTAAGGAACACACAGGAAAGATGGCCCTTAGTACATGCAGCTCCAAGTGCACTAAACTCCTGGTTCAGGTAGCAGAAAAGTGCTCAGGAAGAGCCACAAAGGCAAAACCCCACTTGGCTAAAAACCGGATTCGTATTTTTACATTCACGCAAAGCCGCTAACATGCATAGCATTCCAGGCGTTTCGGGTAGAATCTCGACTACTATAAGCATAAGTACAATATTGAATTCTTCACTTTAAATGTAAATGATATTAGATACATATTCAGCACACTTGTATATGTATCCAATATCTTTAAAATACACCAAAGATTCAAAATACTGTATATACAATAGACTTACATTTTCTTTCACATGCTTCCTACAAATTTACGGGTCTGAATATATAGTGTGGTACATCTTTTTAAGCTTCCTTACCTTAACAATGCAATACAGATCAAACAGCAAATTCTGAATTCAGGAATTAGCCTTAATGTTGCTTCATATTTTCAAGCATCTTAAGACACTAAGTTAAAACTCTTGGTACCAAAGGGGGTAACATACCTTATCTGCATAAAGAGCACATGGATCCAAGTTTCCTTGAAGTGTTTTATTTGGGCCCACAATTTTCCGCGCTAAGACAGGATCCACCGTCCAATCAATGCCAATGACCTCGTACTTCAGAGCAGCAAGGTCCTTGAGTGCATAGTGGCCACCCTTGGGAAACACTGTCTGTAACAAAAAATATTTAGAATGAGAGGGACACAGGCAGTGACAGAACTCTATACAGTACGTTGAAGCAGTTTCATACCGACTAGTGGCCCCTATTTATAAATTTTTCAGGTTACGAGCTCTATTTATTCATAAAATTTGATTCGGTTTATGAGCTTTGTCTCGAGTTGCGAGTTTGTTGATACACATATGGGTCGACCAAGCGTGTGGTTCCTGGTAACACCACAAGACCAGAAGGCATGGCAGGATGTGTAAAATAGCCCCATTGAAAAGTAGAGGTGCTATAGACATACTGAGAGAGAGAACTTTATTAACATCAAGTTATTAACATTAACAGCCTAACGCTTTTCAACACTCTCCTCCTACATATACAGGGCATAACTGTCCAACCTCTTGCAGTGTTAAGAAATAAAACTTGATAACACCTTCAAAGGATATCTGATCAACCAGGAGTACTCACCATAGGAATATCTTTCAAGCCAAGCTTCAAGACACGCTCCTTAACCTCATCACATATTTGTTTCAAATATGGCAAGGAAAACTCTTGGAATAAATTTGGTCCTAGATGCTCTGCATGGGACTCGAACACCTGTAGCAACTGAAAGATAAAGTTGCAATTAAGTATAGTGAAAGTATGAACATAACTCATGCATTTTGAAATAGACATGAAACTATATAAATTATTAAGTTTTGCATTGTACTGTGCAACCCGTGATATCATGGGGAAAGTGGGTGTGCTGCCCAACATGTGATGTTTGTTAGTACAGTACATACAGTAGTAAGATTCAAAACTCGCGTGGGTACATTGGACTCGCATCCTGTTCCTCACGACTCCAGTAAACAGACACCAACTTGTAATAAAATTGTTTGCATCCCTCCTGGCAGAGAGAGCCTCAGTACTGCCACAGAGACCAAGGCTGGTGCATGCTACTGGTGCTCACAGCACAGCTGTGCCAGTCGGGGCGCCACAGCACCACTTTATAATGACGGGTAAATTAAATAACTGCAATTGATAGTGTCATAGATGATCCTGACTGTGATAAACACTATGTACAACATTTAGAAATCAGTGAACACAATGCTAGTTATAGTGCTCACAGTCTGATGTAGAGTGACAGCACCCAGCCATTGTTCCGTGTATCTACGCACCACGAAACAACCTCCTGCTCTTTTACAATATAACCTTATGGAAATGGATTCATATTCAGGATTTTGTGATAGGAATGTGATAATAATAGCAGTTTTGAGGCTAGTCATAGCGAAGTGTAGAATATTGGGGGGGTCCTGGTAGTACAGTCAGATTCATTCTCCATTCACAATCAAGAACTCCGGGTTCGAATCCCAGGCAGAACAGAAATGGTTGGGCAAATTCCCTATTACCTAATGCATCTGTTCACCTAGCAATAAGTAGGTATTCTGGAGTTAGTCAGCTTGTTGTGGGGTTGCATCCTGGGTGGGGTCAGTAATTTGCCATTTGGAACCTCAACATAAGCCTAATAAGTATGGATACACTCTGGCTGCCTGTCTCCCAAAACAAGGAATTATTATTATTATTATTATTATTATTATTATTATTATTATTGGAGAAATTTTCTTGCATCAGGTGATTACCTGATTGATACCAGGTTGATGGGGTTCTGGGAGTTCTTCTACTCCCCAAACCCGGCCCGAGGCCAGGCTTGACTTGTGAGAGTTTGGTCCACCAGGCTGTTGCTTGGAGCAGCCTGCAGGCCCACATCTCCACCACAGCCCGGTTGGTTCGGCACTCCTTGGAGGAATAAATCTAGTTTCCTCTTGAAGATGTCCACGGTTGTTCGCTAGTGTCATCTGCTCATATTGTGTAGCTCCGTGCCTTAACTTCATCACCACACCCACCAGAACTGCTTATTAGTTTGTTATGGTGCGCAAAAATGTAGATACCAGTAGTTGAAATTAACATGTGTGTGGTGACTAAACCACACACAATCGACTTGATAATGGTCCGGGACGGACCGAAATGACATCATCTGATCTTCTGGTGTGTGGTTTAGTCATCTTATCTTCAGCCACATTATTGTGAGTCCATCGTCTGCATGACATGTATATGTAATGTAATAACAGCAACAGTAGTGTTTTATTGTTCAAAGAATGTCACTATTGTCACTAATATGTCACAGGCACTAGATTTTTAAGCATAGCAATGTTTCACACATTAAATTACACACTATTGAATAATATTACTGCAAAAACTAGACAAAAAAACAGAGACATTGAAATATTTATGAAAAAAAGTATTTGCAGTAATCCCTGCCACACATCACAGCTGGAGGATACCCCAGCTGGAACACAGCTGTGATGTTCATAGAAGAAACTTTACACTGACCATTTTCTTGGCATTGGGAAACCTTAGGACAGGCAGCTCTGTGAGGGGACCCAGGATTTGGTCCCCAGAATTCAGCTGCGTCCAACAACCTGAGTGACCAGTCCAGCAACGAGGAGCAGGAATGGGGGGGGGCAATGACCGGGCCACGGGGACGCTAAGCCCCAAAACCAACACAAGGTAACCACAAAGGTAACCACAAGGTAACCGCTTGGCCAACCATGGGGCTGGGTGGCTGAGTGGACAGTGCTCTAGACTCGTGGACCTAGGGACCGGGATTCGATCCCCGCACTCGACGGAGACAGATAAGCAGAGTTTCCTTAACCCTGATGCCACTGTTACCTAGCAGTAAATAGGTACCTGGGAGTTAGACAGCTGCTATGGGCTGCTTCCTGGGGGGGGGGGGGGGGGGGTATGTGGAGGAAAAAAAAAGACAGTTGAGAGGCGGGCCGAAAGAGCAGAGCTCAACCCCCGCAAACACAAATATGTGAATACAAGGTAAGGTAACCCAGTAGGCTAAACAGAACTTTCAAGACTGTGCAACCTTTTAGTCTGGAGCAAAGCAATCTTTGCAAGGTAGCTTCAGGGAGCCACCAAGGGTACCCCTCCAAAAAAAGGTCACTGACAGCAAAAGTCAAAGTGGCTAGTATAACGACACATTGTGAAATGGTACCACACACTTTTCAAACTTAAGTACATATAACTCTTGTGTAGGCCAACTGAGCAAGATGGACCAATTGCTTATCTGTCAAGTCAAATTCTGATCCTCAGGAGCAACAAGATGCGTCACCACTGCCTGGCCAATAGTCAGAGACTGAAATTAAAGTGCAGAGTTGGTCAGCTGCTGACTGACCTGCCAACTGGCAGTGACAGTTTAAAATGTTAGATGTTAATAATCTAATGTTAGTTAATGTTAGATGTCAGATGTCAAGATGTTAATAATCATCAGATTTGTTTTGGTTTTCTAAGCACATTTCCAAAACATTCCCAAGATGCAATTTAGGGATTTTATGGGTATCATTATATTCAAAGTGGTCCAAAGGAAAAATGAACACCTTTTATCAAAGTGTGGCCATATTCACAATGGTGAATAAAGCTCTTCATGGTTGCCATTACTATGCACACGATGAGTCACAATAACATGGCTGAAGATATGATGACCAAAACCCACACACCAGAAGATGACGAAATGACAATGTTTCAGTCTGTCCTGGACCATTATCAATACACGCTACTTGATAATGGTCCTGGGATGGACCAAAACGTCGTCGTCGTTGCCATTACTGTACTGTACTTTTGAAAACACACAATATTGATGTGACTCTCCCACTCATGACATGAACTCCCGTTAGCTCATTTGCTTTTGTGTGTGAAACTGCATTTTTAATGCATTCCTTCAGGTGACTCATATTTTGTATCTTTTCCACATTTGCTCCCCGCATTCTTTGAGGCAACAAGGGGGTAGTTACTAAAGCCCACGTTTCGTGTAGGAAGTCAAAACCATTCTGAATACCTAGCTTCACATTGTCATATTCTGATAACCAGAGCTTAAGCTAGGGAAGTTATCGAGTGGAGGGAACAGACAGTACCTTTCTCGAAGTCAACTTCCCACGTCTTTCTACAGTTTAATAATGATACATATGCCTGAAAACAAAGAACAAAATAAAATATAACATTTTAAAGTAGATTTAAGCAAAACATCTTAATTTTCATAAGCATGTCCAGAAGCATATTCAAAACAGAATATTTTAATTTTTAATCAGCCAATTATGTATTATTAGATACCTTTCATATTTCAATATGTTATTGGAATATACTCAATAGTTCCTTTAATTTTGTTGGTTTTGTTCTGTCCAATGCTTTTATGTTTTTAGCTATAGTGGTTGGACACCGATGACCAGCCAGATACAGGAGACCTGACCTTACTAAATCAGCAGAATAAAAATGCTAAGACCAAAGCTTTACACAAAAAACCAGCGTTGAATGTAATGAAACGCCATTTTCTGGGTGAGCCCCGGAGGCTCCCTGGAGCTTATCGGGCTAATGTGTGTTATGTTAGACCGGGACATTAGCTATGGAGTTCAGACCTACCAGGGACCAGCGCCAGAACCTGGCCCCTTCAGAGAGGTTTCAGGGAGCAATGGCCCTGGAAAACCCCATATAGTTGGGGGTTTTCCTTATCTGCCATCGACCGGGGTTAGGCACCCAGAAAGGTAGGCGTAACAAAACAAACCCCACATGGTAAAAAACTACAACAAAAACCGAACAGAGAGGTAGAAAACTCCCTACAATCCCAAGGAAAACAATCAAACAATCAATTTACTGCCGCGCCGGTCGTCCGCGCAGCCCTCCCCTCCCCGGGAGGGGGAGGGGGGGGGGGGCCCCGGACCTCACCGCGCCGGCTGCCGTCAGTTCGGAAACTAGGCTTCAACCAACGCGAAAAATCCCGCCGACCGGATGGGAGGGAGGGTAACCAGGGAGCCTCCGGGGCTCACCCAGAAAATGGCGTTTCATTACATTCAACGCTGGTTTTCTGGGGGGAGCCCCTACGGCTCCCTGGAGCTACATACCCAAAGAGAAGGAAAATGGGACTTACCCGGGAGGCGGTGGCCACAAACTCCTCAACTCGAAGTCGAGACAACTGGCTGCAACCTGCGACCCAAAGCAACACAAGAACGACGAGGAGCAGGGACATTCACCAAATAACGGGCGGCCAGGACCCTGTTCGACTTCCAAAATCCACGCGCCCGAATATGAGCCCAAGACATATTACCAAACACGGCAGCCAAAGCCGCAAACTTCCTAACGTCATGGGCGCGAGGATAGACCGCAGGCTGGCTAGATTTAATAACCCTGCGGACAACCTGGGAGACCCGAGCCCTGGAACAGGGAACGAGGGAAACCGGATCAACCCAAAGCGCATCCCCAGCCACTCCGGCCGAAGCGCGCAGGTAACGGCGAAGTGCAGCAACAGGACACAACACATGATGCACCCCCGGCCGAACCAACCAAGCATCAATGACCCACGGACCCCTCCGGAAAGCAGCCGTCTCGTTCTTTGCCAGAAAGGACGGAGAAGGCTGCAAACGGACAAACCTACCCCCAGGACCAAAAGAGCAGTAACCCCTGCGCCGGAGGAGAGCATGAAGCTCCCCTACCCGGCCCCCAGAGGCCAATGCCAACAAAAACAAAGCCTTGGAAAAACAATCAGGAACCGAAGGGGCCACCACAAACCGAGGAGAGGAAAGATAGGAGAGCACCCTGTCCAAGGACCAGGACGGCTCAGGCGGCGCATGAGCAGGCCGGAGGTGAAACATAGCACGGGAAAGCTTACGAAACGGGGCGGATGTGACGTCCACCCCGAAAGCGAGCTGGAGCGGCTCCGCCAGCGCCGCACGATACGAGGCGACAGTATTAGGCATCAAATGACGGTCCTGAAAAAGCCAAGTAAGGAAGGACAAAACAACCCGATCCGAGAGAAAAGACAACCTACGAAGAGCCAGAAAATGGCGAAAGGAACGCCAGGAAACTTCATACTGTCGCCTAGACGAAGCTCTCAGGTGGGACACCATCAAAGAAGCCACCTGATCACCATAGAAATGGTGATACACCCGCGTCAAAAAGACCAGACGCGAAGAGCAGAGGAGAAGGTCGAACCAGCCCCGTACCGGATCGGGCCGACCTGCTGAAAGAGGCGGAGCCGCGGGAAACGTCCCGGGTTCGGGCACCGAGCCAGAAGCACCGGAAACCAAGGCTGGGCCGGCCACCAAGGGGCCACGAGGACTACTCTCCCCGGGAATGTCTCTAACCGAACCAGAACCCGAAGCAACAGCTGGACCGGAGGAAAAAGGTACAGGTAACCCCACCTCGACCAGTCCTGCCGAAAAGCATCCACCGCGAACGCCTCGCAGTCGGGGAAGGGCGTCACATATAGAGGGAGACGCCGGGACCACGCCGACGCGAAGAGGTCCACATCTGGGAGACCGTACGTCTGGCAGATCCAACGAAACGAGTCGTCGTCGACCGTCCATTCCGTGGACAGGGGAAGGAAGCGAGACAGACCGTCCGCCAGAACGTTGGACACTCCCCGGACGTGAACCGCACGGAGAGCCAAACCCCGAGAATCCAGCAGACGAACCACTCGAAGGGACCAACCCCAAAGAGCCAAGGACCGAAGAGAACCCCCGCGGTTCAGGCAATGAACCACCGGAGAACAGTCCGAATGGAGGCGAATGGTCGATCCCCGAGCGACCCGAACCCTCCGAAGCGCGAACCAGACAGCCGCGAACTCCCGAACCGTGCTGTGAGCCCGATGGAAGGACGGACCCCACCGTCCCTGGCCTGCCTGGTGAGCACTGGTCACAAAGCCCCAGCCGAGAGACGACGCGTCCGTGAACACATCGAGCGAGGGCTCGGGAAGGCGCCAAGGCACCGAACCCCGAAAAATCCGAAGAGGAAGACGGTGACGCAGCAACCGACATAAGACCCCCGGAGGGCGAACCCAACGATCGCGAGAGAGGCGGAAAGGACGTCCCCGAAGGAACCAAAACAGACGCCGAAGCCAAACCCGACCCGGCGGGTAGACTAGCATGGCGAAGTTCAGACTCCCGCACAACCGCTCGAGCAACCGCCGAGTGACCCGGGACCCTCGCAGAAACAGCAAACGGCGGTCCCGCAGCCGCCGCAACGCCACCGGAGGTAGAGACAAGGAAGCGGTCCGAGAATCCCAAACAAGACCCAGCCAGGTCCGAACCTGGGACGGAACCAGATGGGACTTCCTCCAGTTCACCAGGAACCCGAACCTGGCGAGCTGGGAAAGAACCAAATCCCTGGCGAGCAGACAAGCTGACCGACTGGGAGCCCACACCAGCCAGTCGTCGAGGTAGGCCAAAACCCGAATCCCTAGAAGACGCAGACGGGTCACCACAACTCGGGTCAGACGCGTGAAAACGCGAGGTGCCAGATTCAGGCCAAAAGGTAGGCAACGAAAACGGTAAGCGTGACGCCCTACCACGAAGCCTAACCAGTCCCTGAACCCCGGATGAATAGGAACGTGCCAATACGCGTCCTTTAGGTCCAGGGACACCATCCAGGCACCCGGCTCCAACAGAAGCCGGACCTGAGACAGAGTAGTCATCCGAAAGGAGGGGCAAGGAATCCAGGGGTTCAGACGGGACAAGTCCAGAATGAACCTCAGATCCGCACAGTCCCGTTTCGGCACTGGAAACAGGCGGGAAACCCACCTGAGGGACGTAGTCGGTTCGACCACGCCCAAGCGCACCCACTCCAAGATGACTTGACGAAGCGCCGGAGAAGAGACCTGCCCTGTCAGCCCCGAACCCCCCAAAGGAGGACGAGGCGCCCAACGCCACCGCAGGCCGGATGACACGACCGAAAAGGCCCACAAATCGTGGGACCAAGCGTGGGCAAACAGAGCGAGCCTCCCCCCCATCGCCCCGTCAACGGGGCAAACTGCGAAAGGGCCGACGCCCCGCACGAGAACCCAACCGTCGAACAGGGCGAACACTGCGCCGCCCAGACGACGCTGGCCCCAAAGGGAACAACGGCTCAGAAACCGGCACCAAAGGCCCACCTCGACCAGCGGAAACCGAAACCCTGGCACGACCCCTCCGAAACTGCCGAGAACGACTGCTCCGGAGAATCAACAAGTCCGCCATAGGACGACAACTAGCCGAAGCCGCATGCAGAAACTGGGACACCGCAGACTCTGCAAACAGCAACGGACAAAAAGGAGATGAAAACCTAAGAGCCAGGGCCCAAGCGGAATCCAAAGAGAGGGCGAGCACAGCCTGACGGCACGCGAGGCGAGAAGCAAAAAACAGAGACACCGCTTCCTTCAGGATGGGCGCAAAGAGCTTCAACAGTGCAGCCGACGCCCTAGCTGCCGAAGAAAGCGCCCCGGACGAAGGCCCTTCAGCCAACGCTCCCACATCCTCCTCGAGCCAAGCAGAAGAGAGCTCGAGAAGGGAAAAGAAACGCAAGACCGAAGCCAAATGCCCACGGGAGCGCAACTCCTCCGCAACCAATGAAGCCGAAAGCTGAGGAACCTGCACGTGAAGCTGGAAAAGGCCAACATCCCGAGAAAGCACAGGAGCGAATAAGCACGCATTAAGGTGCTCAAACTCGCCCCCCAGGTAAACCTGCATAAAAGTAGCAGTCTCGCGCCAATCAAGCGTGCGGGTCCGACAGAACCCATGCCACGCCCCCAACGAAAAGAAAGGGCAGTCTGCCAGCCAGGAAGACCCCGGAACCTCCAAACGTACCCAAAAACGGGAAGAAGAACCGAACTCAAACGAGGACGGATCCATCGGGGAGGCATAACCCGGGTCTCGCAAGAGGTATGCAGCAAGAGCTTCCCGAGCCACCTTCGCGGAGAGACGGGAAGTAGCAAACCCCTGTAAAGACGGAGCCGAGGTACCCAAAGGCGCCCGGAACCGAACACGGGGAGGAGCCGAACCCAAATCATACTCATACAGGGAGGGAGGATAAGAAAACCCCTCCCCCTGCAACAATAAACCCCGTGGGGAAGGCAAAAGCACCCAAGCGGGGTCACAGGGGGCCCAAGGCCCCCAGGTCGACTCCTCCCCAGCCCCAGGATCCCTTACGTCGGGACCCGGGGCAGAGCCGTCCTCCAAACCCTCTACCCCTGAAGAAAAGGTAGAGTCCAAGGGAAAGGCAGACAAGGGGGCCTGCTGGTGGGACCCAGAAGCCTCGGCAGGAGGAACCGGCTCAAATGCCTCCGTCCCCGACCCGGATGGGGCAGCCCCCGAAGCAGCCCGAGTCTCACCACCAACTAAATCGTGTGCCAAGGCCGAAAGCCGCATACGTTTCGGAGCCGGACACAGGGGGGGTGGTGCAGGAAGAACCACAGGGGAAGGACCAGAGGGCGTAGGAGTCAAAGCCATAGCAATCAACGCCCCCAGATCAGGGTCCCTAAAGCAAAAACGGGGCAGCCTCGGGGCATCCAGGCGGGAAACCAACCTAGCGCGTTGCAATAACCTAAATCTACCATGCAACGCTGATGCTGCCTGTACTCTAATAGGAACATCCTCAGAGTAAAACCTGAGCACAAGCAGAGAACAGGACTCGCAAGACTCCGGGTCAAAGGTGTCATTGACCCAACAGGCAGCATGACGGAGGCAAAACAGGTGACTGTCACCCTGAGACAAGGGCACACTGCAACCTTCAAACCCGCACAAGGCAGGCTGGAACTCGGGAGACGCCTCCATGGGTCCCCGAGCCCCGACAGGGGTTTCCAGGGCCCGTAGGTTAGCAACTACGGGAAGCCCGGGCAAGGTGTTGCTAACCGGTTAAGAAACCCAAACAAAACACGGGTAATTGATAATACTGAAAACCCCTGGGACGTGTACAAGCACGGGGGCCTAGCAGAGGGCCACCAAAACAATACCAGGGGAACTATGGGCCCACGAGGCAGCACCTCCACCAGGCAACCAAAAACAAAACAAAAGAAAAACCCCGCAAAAGTACACCGTCCCCAGAGCAACAGGAACCGGTCGCCGCTTAGGTGGCAGGCCGCGCAACACCTTGACGCCCTAACCAGCACAATACCACTCCCTACCCAAGGCCAAACAAGGGCCCCAAGCCCCAGCTGGCCCCAAGGGCGAGGCAAATGCCGAGCAGCAAAAACCTCTACGGGAGCGGTTCCCGAACGCCCCAGAGAAGATAACCCTGACACGCAAGGGCAGTACTCACAGGGCGCCTAGGGAAGGAAGCCCTAGACGCATGCAGCCCCGGCACTGATGAAGTACTCCTGGCCACCGCACACCACGACAACAGCAGAGAACGCCACACGAGGCAAACACCGCCAAGGAATTTGAGGCCAGAGAAGCGTCTATCCCGGTTGACACTAGCTTGCGAACTGACGGCAGCCGGCGCGGTGAGGTCCGGGGCCCCCCCCCCTCCCCCTCCCGGGGAGGGGAGGGCTGCGCGGACGACCGGCGCGGCAGTAAATTGATTGTTTGATTGTTTTCCTTGGGATTGTAGGGAGTTTTCTACCTCTCTGTTCGGTTTTTGTTGTAGTTTTTTACCATGTGGGGTTTGTTTTGTTACGCCTACCTTTCTGGGTGCCTAACCCCGGTCGATGGCAGATAAGGAAAACCCCCAACTATATGGGGTTTTCCAGGGCCATTGCTCCCTGAAACCTCTCTGAAGGGGCCAGGTTCTGGCGCTGGTCCCTGGTAGGTCTGAACTCCATAGCTAATGTCCCGGTCTAACATAACACACATTAGCCCGATAAGCTCCAGGGAGCCGTAGGGGCTCCCCCCAGAAAAAATAAATAATGCTATTGTGAAATAAGGCATCTCTCATATTTAACCCTCAAAAAGCAGCCATCACCACCTATAATAGTAATAAAATAATAATAATAATAATAATAAGTACTGTAATGATAATGTCTTCTCACAGACATTATCATTTTTATTTTTCTCACATAGGAAAAAAATAACACAGGAAAAAATAACATAGGAAAAAAAATAACAAAAAAAATAACATAGGAAAAAATAACATAGGATTCGATTAGACGTTGAGATGTAAGTCTCGTCCTCATCACACACTCAGACCTTGACAATGCACTCAGGAGAGTGCGAAAGACTTGGTGCAAATTCTTTACATAAATTTCACAAATAATAATAATAATAATAATAATAATAATAATAATAATAATAATAATAATAATAATAATAATAATAATAATAATAATAAAATTTATTCAGTTAAAAGTCCATACTACAGTACATACAAAATGAGTTACAAAGAGAAAGTTGGATTTCTAGAAAGAACTAGTACAGTACAGTATATACTAATCTTAAAGCCACTAATACCCATTGATCCTCTTATGCAGGGGTGTTGAACCTGCGACCTTCTATAGTACTGTACTGTACTCAGTATGGTCTTTGAAAGCAATTTAAATTAATGAAACTATCTGTAAGTTTATTTTTGACTTATCTGAATGTACAGTGCATAATACAATGTGCAATCTTATGAAATCTTCACTAAGTCAAATATAGTTTTTGTGTGGTGAAAGGTTCCCACCCCCTGGTCTAGTGCTCTGCTTTCATCATCAATTGACTATCTCCATTTTGCATCAATATTTGAATAACAATGTTGCCCATGTGGTTCCAATAGCACAGGGGAGCCGAGCGGACAGCACATTGGTCTTGTGATCCTGTGGTCCTGGGTTCGATCCCAGGCACCGGCGAGAAACAATGGGCAGAGTTTCTTTCACCCTATGCCCCTGTTACCTAGCAGTAAAATAGGTACCTGGGTGTTAGTCAGCTGTCACGGGCTGCTTCCTGGGGGTGGAAGCCTGGTCGAAGACCGGGCCGCGGGGACACTAAAAGCCCCGAAATCATCTCAAGATAACCTCAAGATGGTGTCTAAATCCACAGGAGCCGTGATGAGGTTTCGAACCTATGTACTGGGTGTTCCCAGACGCATGCTCTAAACGACTACTTCACAACATACATGGTTCCACAGGTTCGAATCCTCATCACGGCTCCTGTGGATTTTCTCATTGATATATCATGTTACAAGTAATGTGATTTCTGTGTATACAATGGTGTCTTCCAGCACCCATGTTAGACCACAAAATAGTTTGGAGTCAGGCAGACATTGGCTCCTGGATCCCCATTTTATAATGATCATAACACTTCCCTTGATTCCCTTGACTAACATAGATCTGTAGCTCCCTTGTGGCTCCTTGCCTCCTCCTCTCAGTTATACACTGAAATAGTTCCCTTCTACTAGGTCGAATCTGCTGTGGAGTTCTTAGGCCTACCAGGGACCAGAGCTAGAACCTGGCCCTCTCAAAGGTGCAAGGAGTGGTGACATTTCATCACCTCACTGGGGTAGGCACCCAAAAAGTCAGCGAGTCAAAAACAAACCACTGCTGAATTCAAAAGAAACCAAAGCCTCAAAACTTGACTAATGAACTTCCCCCAGCTATGTAAACAAATGGTCAAATCTCTTGAAATTAGCATGAGCTCGTTCATCACACTTCCACAAAGAACATGATGCACGTCCGGTCAAACCAACCAAGCATCAATCACTAATGGACCTATTCGAAAGCCAAGTGAGTCATTCTTTGCCAGAAAAGAAAAAACCAATGTGTCACCGGACCGATCTTCTGAAAGAGGTGGAGTCGCGGAAAAATGGTTAGGTTCAGACACCGAGCAAGAAGCAGGTGAAACCAAGACTGGGCCAGCCACCAGGGAGCCAGAAGAATCAATCACCCCCTGGAGGACTCCAATTTCGTCAGGATCTGGAGAAAGAGTTGAACCGGGGTAAAGAGGTACAGGAACCCCCCTGTATTGAATAGTCCAGCCAGAAGGCATCTATCGCAAGAGCCTTGCAGTCAGAAAACGGTGCCACGTAAAGAGAAAGGCACTGCTACCACGCAAATGCAAAGAGGTTTGGGAGCCCGAACATCCGGCAAAGCCAAAGAAAGGAATCGGCATTGACGATCCACTCCATGGAGATGCGACAGAACCATGAAAGATCATTAGCCAGGACATTGGATACTCCGTGGATGCTAACGGCTTGGAGAGTCAAACCCCATGACATCAGAAGACGAACTACATGTAGAATCCAGCTCCATAAAAGACAGGGACTGAAGAGAACCCTATGGTTGAGACAATGATCCACAGGGAGTCAGTCCGAATGGAGACAGATTATGTAGCCCAGAAAGATTCGAACCCTCCGCAGTGTATGCCACACGGCCATAATCTCCTGCTCGGTACTGTAAGTCCAACTACGGTGAGGGTGACTATGGCCCCTGACCATCTTGAAGAGTGCTGGTCACAAAGTCCCAACCGAGATCAGAAGCACCCATGAAGGCAGAGGAAGGCGCCAGGGAACCGAACCCCGAAAAACCCAAAGAGAAAGCCAGTGACACAGTACTGTAGCTGGCAAAATGCTCCCAGAGGTTGCACCCAGTGGTCGTAGCCACTGTGGAAGAGCATGCTCAGAAAAAAAAAAACAGCTTCCAAAGCCAAACCCTGCCCAAGAGGCAAACAAGTTTGGCAAAGTTGAGGCTTCTGCACAGCTACTCGAATAACTGCCGAGTCACCCGGTGCCTCAGATTCCACTATATCCCGAGATGAATTGATTTTCAAGTGGTACATCTTCCTGTTCAGTTTCCTAGTCACTTCCTCCAATTCAATGTCGGGAGCGTGTGGTGTGGCTCCACCCACGCAGCCACCCATGCTGCAACTGAGTACAGGTAGTTCATCATTGATACTGTCCTTTTCCAAGTCAGAATTCCCACTTGAGGGCTGAAGTTCATGATCAATGAATGATAAATGTTTCTTCTCATTACTAAGCAACACTTTCTTGTCCAACTCTGCAATAATTTTGGCCTGGGAGAGATATACTTCCTTCCTGTGTTGACGCAGCATTTTGGAGCTGGATGACAGTGCGTCAGTCATAGTTGTAAGAATGATGCCCTAGGCAGGCACATGATCTTGCTCAATTTTTTTCTTCAAAAACAAAGGATATCCTCTCGAGGCTCGAAGGAGCCAATAACATATCCATAAAACCGGCAGAACTTTCGAGTATGATGTACTTTAAATCGTCTCTAGGTACATAGCCCATGAGCCAAATGCTCTCAAGCAATTGAAGCAGTGTAAGGTTAATGTAACACAGATGTTGGGAATCAATTTGTGTATCTATCAGCAGCACAACTGATGTAAACAGTGATTTATTTTTTAATTACCAACCAGCCACCATTTTTCTTCAGAGGGAACATCAGTGAATGTAGCTGATAATTGTGTAGGGGTGATAAGTAGAGACTAAACTGGCCTGCAAACTTTTATATCTAACCCGTATTGTGGATATATGATGAGCTGTTATTGTCCATTTTTGTTACACTTGACAAAACATTGAGGAAAGAGTTCTATGCTTTTCTTACTAACAATTTATCTAGTCCATACATCAATTTGCTAATCTATTACTCATCAATCCTGTATATGGTTAACCTTTCTTCCAGCCCTCTAAGTACTCATGTTATTTCCAATATGTATTTTAAATATTTTGCTCCATGCTGCCACTTAGTCCAAAAATGAAAAAGAAACAGATTCTCAGCACCAAATTCAATCTACAGTATTTGAAAATTCAAGCTTTTTATTAACATTAATATAGTAGCTCTTGCTTTTTTCTATCCCCAATCTTTAAGTTATGTGGCTAAAAGAAAAAAACAATATTTAGTTATATTTGTGCATACTGTACAGTACCTTATTTTCAACACACAAACTTGTCAATCCATAAAACACTTACCGGAGCACCACTAAAGCCAATAAGGGGAGCTTTTCCCTCAAGCTTCTTACGTGTAAGAGTGAGGGCATCAAACACATACTGAAGCTTGGAACACACATCTGCTGGTGATGCAAGCTTGGCCAGATCTTCCGGGCCACGGAGAGGAGATGGGAAGACAGGACCCTACACATGGAAGAAAATTGCACGTTGGATATTTATCAAGCTTCAGCATTATGTTACCAGATTATGAAACATACAAGAATATTTTAGGAATGTGCATTACATTTATAATTAAATTTATGATTCTTCAGACTTCAGGTGACCTTGATAGTGACCTTGGGATTGAACTTGAGTGACCTTGATGGGTGGATTCACACAAAACCATTTCAGACATTTCCAATGCTTTAAAGTGTTAAAGACTGAAAACGAATGATTGCAAAATTTGCAAAAAGAGTTGCAGGCAGGTTTGGCTATGAGAGGAGTGAAGCTTTAACACTTTCGCCCGGGCATGACGCAGCATTGCGTCATCCGTTTACTGTCGGTAATGCCGGGGATGACGCAGCATTGCGTCATCCACTTTAAATAATCGCCAAAAATCAGGTTTTTATCCGATTTTCTGGGGACTGGTTTTAAAATGCGCGCCGATGTCTTCCCATTTTCCTTGTTGCGCCTCGTGGCCCACAGGTGGCTCGGCACACGCCGTCGGCCCATTGTTTTCGCTCCACTGTTGTGACCAATGTCGCCTCCCCTCGCATCTCAAATGTGTGAACATTTCGGCTATTTTCCGTGGCTATATTTCTTACTGCGGCTTTAGAAACTATCTACGCTTACTCCACGATGGATAGTGATCATGAACAAGGCCCTTCCAGGAAGAAATTTGCGAAAGAAAGGCTTGAAAAGGGCGGGAATTGGGAGTGTAGCTGGAAGGCGTCTGAGCGCTCACGCGCGGCTAACGCGTGGCCCGTCTTCAACTCGTCGGCGGTTGGAGCGTGACCAGGTTTTTTATTTTATATGCAAATGTTCCTCTAGAGAATTCTATTGCGAACCCATTGAGACCAAAATGAAAGACCTAGGACGAAAATTGAGGTGACCAGAGTGAAAATAGTGAAAACATTTTATCGCGTTTGCTCGCTCCTGGGTAACTCGTTCGCACTTTCTCTGTTTGCTGCGGGTAATTAGCCGGGCTTTTGGAGTTTATATGCATTTAGTGCCGTAGAGAATTCTATTGCGAACACAATGATACCAAATTTAATCTCGTAGGACGAGAATTAAGGTGACAAAGTTGAAGAGAGTATACACTTTTCAGAATTTACGCGTGCTCCCGTGACACCCTGGGGCTCAAATCGCACAGTTGAGGGGTGGCGCGCGGGGTACGCCAAAGTGTTAAACTGTAAAATCTGGATCAATAAGTCTGTGGGTCTCTGGGTTAGAAAATAATGGCCTCACAGACCATACAATCACCAGGAAGGCTGACCACAGGCCAGGCCGTGGTAGTAGGAAAACTCTCAAAGTCATCAACAGGTAAACTTCCTGCAAATCGTATTTTGTCTTAATTTTGCTGGTCTTGTAAATTCTTATTATTCAGTGTGGGTCAGAGTTTACATCCGTGGAAGTGATAGAAATGTTATTCTGAAAATTATTATGAAACCATCTGAATTATTAAGTGAAACAGGTTCCTAAGATATTTCATGAGTGAACTTGATGATGATAAAAATTGGGCATAGGAAAAATTGGATAGGCCCATTCGAAAATGATCATAGGGCTAATTTTCATTTTATAAGTGATGAGTTCTGATAAATTTTGTTCTGTAAATTTGCCTCAGTGGTGGGGCCAGAAATGTTATTCTGAAAATGGTCATGAGACCATATCTCTAATTTATTGGAACAGATTTCCAATATATTTCATTGAAACGTTCAGCCAAAGAAAGAGTTGGGCACAGGAAAATCAATGGATCCTAGAAAATACTAATTCTGAGGGTGAAATCTTTATTTTTATTATTTATATATTTATATATACAAGAGTTCTTACATTCTTGTACTGTACAGCCACTAGCACGCATAGCGTTTCGGGCAAGTCCTTAATCCTAATACTCCTCGGAATACGACCTCGCCAGATCGTCTAACAACCAGGGTACCCATTTTATTGTTGGGGTAAACAGAAGCTACAGTTAAGGATTGACACCCAGTAAATCTTCCCCAGCCAGGATACAAACCCAGGACAAAGCGCTCATGAAACACCAGGCGAGCAACTTGCCACTACACTATGGGAACTGTACTGGGTGATCACCATGTACACCACGGTACACCACAGGGATCTCTCTCTTTACAGTTAAAATCTCCTGGAAAAGGCCCAAAACATGGCAAGTACTGTACCAATTAAAATTTTGCTTAAATCTCTTAAGCCTGGTGAATTTTGCTCAAGGAGTGGGATAAATTTGGGTATACAGTAAATGGTAACTCCTTTAACCCTTAGACAGCGACTATGCAGAAATGGTCATACAAAAAGTATGCACTATGCTATGCACAAAAAGTAAAAAAGTAAAAAAATATATTTTCATTATAGAATTAGTAATTTATATGCAAAATGTAAGAACATCATAAAAATAAGTGAATATTTATCATTTCACTAGGTGGAGGCACTCTGCTAGGCTTCATCAGGTACTTGTCAACCCTTGATGCTCGCCTTTGCTGACGCTTTTGTTTTATCCTCAGATGTTTCACTTATTGTTTTATCACTTTTTTTTTCTTTTTTTTTACAACCAAGGAGAGCTATTATATCCATATTTGCATCATACATGTAAAACCCAGACAATAATTGTTTAAGTCATCATATGACAGCATCCACATTTCACCACGGTCGGCCGAGCGAACAGCACACTGTACTTGTGATCCTGTGGTCCTGGGTTCGATCCCGGGCGCTGCCGAGAAACAATGGGCAGAGTTTCTTTCACCCTATGCCCCTGTTACCTAGCAGTAAAATAGGTACCTGGGTGTTAGTCAGCTGTCATGGGCTGCTTCCCGGGGTGGAGGCCTGGTCGAGAACCGGGCCGCGGGGACTCTAAAGCCCCAAAATCATCTCAAGATAACCATGAATCAATAATTGACAATAATCGCTGCCTAAGGGTTAACATTGCTCCGATCACTTTAACAATTTCCATATATGAGCTCAACATTAAAATGAACACTTGGTGCTGGGTAGAGTCCATTAAATTTTCATTAACCCTCAATGTGCAACATTGAGGGTTAAATTGTTGAACATTGTGCAACAATTTAGACCATACCTGCCTATGTGCAAACAAATTTAAAACAAATTTCAAAACAAATTTTTCTCGTAGAAATATACAGCATTCTTCGTCAATCTCAGAAAAATTAACATAATATATGTTATCAGATATTATGTTATCAGAACAGAGGGGGAATGAATCCCAAGTATGGTTTGTCCCTACTTATACCTGGCATGAGCATAGGTAAGATTCCAGCTGGCGGTAATTCGTCAGGGTAGAGAGACGTGGGCATGAAAGATGCAAGTTGTAGTAACTTAAATGTAATGAAAGGAAGTTGCTACAAGCTCTATAGGAAGTCATCACTTCAAAGAAATAGTGTGTGCTCTCAGAGGAAATAAGGAGTTAGGATATAGATAAAGAAAAGAACCCAGTCTGGAATTTCACAGCAAACCTTGTAAAATTTAATAATACTGTATACTGTAACAATAATAAATTATAATTTGTTGTGCTGGGGGATAGGAACCCTGGTTATACATACAGTACATGTTAAGCTTATACAGAGGCCCTCCCTTAGGGTCAAAAGTGATACTGTAGGACAGTGAAATTAATGAAACAGTGACAGCACCCATGACAAAAACTTACTCCACCACTGTCACTGCGGTAGTCGTGTGTCTGCGCCACAAGCTGAGGTACCTGATGTTCATTTGGCCCCTTGACCACGTGGATGATGACTCATTTTTCAGATTTAGTGACCAGAATTCTGATACTAGTTGTAGCAGTTTTTGCAGTTACAAGGTGGAGCTTTGCTGCATCACCAGTTTACCTACATAACTACACATAAGGGGCATAACTGGCCGACCCCTCACAGTGTTCAAGAGAGAACTGGATAAGCACCTCCAAAGGATACCTGATCAACCAGGCTGTGACTCATACGTCAGGCTGCGAGCAGCCGCGTCCAACAGCCTGGTTGATCAGTCCGGCAACCAGGAGGCCTGGTCGACGACCGGGCCGCGGGGACGCTAAGCCCCGGAAGCACCTCAAGGTAACCTCAAGGTAAGGTACCCTGCAAAATGACTCCATATCATGTAGCATGGGAAAATTGAAGGAAGAGTGGCTTCATGTAAAAGAATTGTGGCTGCCCTGTGCATATGAGAATAGCTTTATCTCCCAGTGTGAACATAGTTTTGGTGGCAGTAGGATTCATGACCATGGTGATGGTATTGGAGGGGGGGGGGGGGGATGGCGCCAACATTGTTCCGCAAATACCTACATTTCACGATACAGATGTAGGTGTTAAAAGATCTATTCCCGTGTATTGGTGAAGCTGTGCATGAAAGTGACTGTTTTACAGGAAATGAAGAGATATGCTGGTAAACTTATTGAAAATGAGAGCATATCACCACGTTCATGTTTGCAGTATTGGAAAGACACCACTAACTGAAATGAATGTATGTATTTCTTGACCTACATATGATGAAATATTCAGTGAAACACATCACCCAGAATTATTGGAACAAAGACTTTCAACAACATTTTAGAGAAATACACATCTCTCAACAGGTATCTTCTACCTCTGTGGTGTATTCATTTTGAGAATAGTAATAACCAGACTGCAAATGACAGACTGGAAAGTGAGGCCACCGACCACAATGGAAAGTACTGTACAAAAATTTCTATGTACCAGGTCAGAAGTTGAAGATAGAAGAATCAGTTTGCTTTTTAACGGTTGTGTTGCTTTCAAGCAGTATATCCCCTCCAAACTTCACAGATTTGGACTTGAATTCTTCATTCTATGTGACTGAGAAGGGAATGGTCACAGACATGATACATTATTCTGGCACCGAGAGAGTTGTCATACTAAAACAGGTGTAAAGTGCAGAGGTTAAACACAGCTTCATATTCAAACTAGGAGCTCTAGACGGATCTTACCTCACCAAAGTGCAGAGGTTAAACAAAGCTTCATATTCAAACTAGGAGCTCTAGACGGATCTTACCTCACCAGCTCGCATTTCTACTTCCATTCCGAGTGCTTGTGGGATCACTAGAATATCGGAGAAAATAATAGCAGCATCCAAGGGAAATCTATTCAGAGGCTGAAGAGTCACCTTGCATGACAATTCAGGTGTCTGACACATTGTGAAGAAATCACATTTTGCACGTTCTTCTCGAAATTCTGAAAATGAACAGAATATCTTGTAACTTGTGATATAATAATACAGTACAAATATTTTCTTTAGGTGAAATCATTTAAAATTGCAAATTTCTTTTAACTTCAATTCAACAATCATCTATGAAGAACAAAAAGAATTTGCAGCTTGTTGCTTCAGATGTTTAAAAACCTGGGGCCAGATTCACGAAAGCACTTACGCAAGCACTTATGAACGTGTACATCTTTCCTCAATCTTTGACGGCTTTGATTGCATTTATTAAACAGTTTACAAGCATGAAAACTTCCCATTCAACTGTTGTTATTGTTATAAACAGCCTCCTGGTGCTTCGGAGCTCATCAACTGTTTAATAATTGGAAACAAAGCCGCCAAAGATTGAGAAAAGATCTACAGGTTCGTAAGTGCTTGCGTAAGTGCTTTTGTGAATCTGGCCCCAGATATGAATACTGTATCTTAAAAACAACAGTATTCAACAAGGTGCAGTTAAAAAAAAACACTAATCAAATGACTTTACTTCACATCAACAAGACTCATGAGAATGGCTAGCAAAATTAAAGTATATACCATTCACACCTTTTTCCCACGCTCCATAGGTGAAGTTTACCAAGCAAAATCTAAAGTTCAACCTGTCACACGATGGATTTCTACCAGCAGAACCTAACTGTAAACATTTTTTGTCAATCACCTCCCACATCCCTGGTCCCCCGAACATGAGTAATCTGTGTGAAAGTTTCCCTATTCACAGGTTCATTATTAAGAGCTTCCTTTCTATGGTAATGGGTTGCCTCCTCCTTGGTAATGAGGCATGATCAACCTTTTATTCTAATGGGTTATTATTAAAATTAATTCCCAAATTAGACTTCTCAAATAGTTCATAAGACTACACTGGACATAAGAACACTACTGACTCGGTTAGCCACAGTGGCAGGGAGAGCCAGAGCAAGGGTCCTAATACTTGGGTATTTTAGCCACAAGGAAATAGAGTGGTCAACAAAGGATCCTCATGGTGGAGATGAAACATGACGACCAAATGCAGACGATGAGTCACGTGGCTGAAGATATGATGACCAAACCACACACCAGAAGAGTGGGAGACAACAATGTTTCGGTCCATCCTGGATCATTGATAATGAATATATCAATTGATTTGATAATGGTCCAGGATAGATCGAAACACCTTCGACTCCTACTCTTCTGCCGTGTGGCTTGGTCCTCATGAAGACCATAGACCGTCCGGTCTATATGAGCCTCTGCTAGTATCACAAATTTTCAGCAGTTGGTTTGCATGGTTGGGGGAATTGTTTTAGCAATTTGGAGGCGCCAATTTTCCTTCTAACCAGCAATAAGAAGCAAGATCTGTTTTGTTTTGCTAACTTTCTGGTTGTTTCCCTGGTGGTGGCACACATGATTCAAATTCAGACAATTTTATCATAGTGCCACTGCTCTGTGCATCTTAGAGAGGGTCAGGTTCTGACTCATGATCATCAGTTGGTCTAAAAGTCACCTGTCACAGTGGTTGGTCATGGCACCTTGTAGTCTGGCATTATATCAGCATTGTAGCTTCAGGAACCCACCAGGGCTCACCCAGAAATAGGCATTTCATTACATTCAACACAGTTTTTGTATATTTTTTCTTAAAGTAACATCCCATAGTATTTTGTATCAATACATAAGAGTAGATATATTACAGATAAGCTTTTTCTATGATAGATCGGATAATGTAAAATTTTCTTAAAGTTAAGTTAAAGTTAAGCCGCATGCAATAGCCTGATTGACCAGTCCAGCAACCAGGAGGACTGGTTGAGGACCGGGCCACGAGGACGTTGAGCCCTGAAATCATCGCAAGGAAACCGCAAGGTAAGTTGAAGGTTAAAAGTTTAATAGTTGTACTCAAATTGTTACTTACCAGGTAGGTATCGTCCAGCTTGCCTCATTGCCCACACAGGAACCACGTCTACATCTTCTCCCCGGGCAGCCCGCAACAACCTGTCATTCTTCATAACGGGAAATCCATCCTGGGAGAGAGGCAACCACTCTCATGTTGGTTATTTATACATTAATAAGACAAATGCTTAGAAAGCTAACAATAGGGAAACTGTCAGTTACCATAAACCTAGTGACTAACGTTCATGGTTGACTAAAAATGAGAACATAAGAATAAATGTAACTGCAGAAGACCTATTGGCCTGTATGAGGCAGCTCCTATTTATATCCACCCAAACTCATTCATATATACTGTATGTCTAACTAACGCTTGAAACAATCAAGGGATCCTACTTCTATTATGTTACGCGGTAATTGGTTCCACAAATCGACAACCCTGTTACCAAACCAGTATTCATCCATGTCTTTCCTAAATCTATTCTTATCCAACTTGCATCTATTGTTTTGAGTTCTATTCTGTGTTAATATATTCAATACCGTATTAATATCCCCTCTATTATGCCTATTCATCAACTAATACACTTCAGTCATGTCTCCCATAACTCTTCGCTTTTCTGGAGAATGTAAGTGATATTCAGGGTTTAGGGGTTAACCCTAAAGATACCCTTAAGTTTGGTGTCCTGGTAGTACAGTCGGATTCGTTTTCGACGCACAATCAAGAATTTTGGGTTCGAATCCCGAGTGGGACAGAAATGGTTGGGCACATTTCCTTTCCTTTGGGCACAATGCCTCTGTTCACCTAGCAGTGAGAAGGTAATCAGCTTGTTGTGGGGTTGCATCCTGGGAGGGGTCAGAAATTCAGCCATGGGAGGGAACCTCGATACAAACCTAATGTGAATGAATACACTCTGGCTTCCTGTCCCTCAACACAATGAATTATTATAAATATGATATCACTTTTCTAGAGTAATATAGCTTTTTCAATCTATCTTCATGAAGAAGATTTTTAATTTGTGGTATTAACTTTGTCATACTACACCAGATGCATTCTACTGAATTTATGTTCATTCTATAATATGGCAACCAAAACTGTACTACATAGTCTAAATGGGGCCGAACAAGAGCAAGATATAGCTGAAGAATAACACCAGGTGTTTTATTGCTAACACTTCTAGAAATAAATCCCAGTGTCCTGTTTGCCTTATTTCAAACATTAAAACATTGATTTTTTTGGCTTTAAATTCTTATTAATCATAACTCCCAGATACCTTTTGCAATCAGACTTCGTGATCTCAACTTCATCCAGCTGATATCTTGTGACTAGCATCATCACCAGGTCATTGCCAAGTTCAATCATTCTGCCTCTGCCATGCTGCCTGTTGGATCAGTGACACCTTTGACCTTGGATTTTACCTGGATGGGGTTCTGGGAGTTCTTCTACTCCCCAAGCTCTGCCTGGGGACAGGCTTGACTTGTGAGAGCTTGGTCCAATAGGCTGTTGCTTGGAGTCATGCGGGGAATGCTTCAGTCACGTTACACTTCTCACTAGCCCTCCTGATGATGCTCGGGCTTATCAAGGAGTGACTGCTCTTCATAATTACCCAAGTGTAATTACCTTAGTGTAGTTACTGGATGAGAGCTACGCTCATAGTGTCCTGTCTTCCTAGCACTCTGTCATATAACGCAATATGTTACATGAAGTTAACATAATTTCATGCGAGGTTTTCTATGCTACAGCAGTCTACAGTGCTTTAACAGGTGAGTGCCCATTTAGAAGCCCTGGAGCTGCCCCATTTGGTGTTTAGGGACCACGATTTGAAGGCATTGGTGAATTCGACCTTGGCTCAGCCTGCACCTCCTCTTTCTTCCTCTTTGGGCATGATTCACTTTCCTAGTCTTTTTCCCTGCTCCCAGCACTGAAGCATCTGAGGTTTAGTTCAGTAAGTGGCTCTGATGGCTTCAGGGGGGTCACCTATTCTGATTCAGCCATGGAGGCAATTGACCTTCTTGGTCATGCCAAGACATCTGCCCTTTTTACCAGCCAGCCCCTTCCTTACACTCCACTGGTCGTTCTAAGGAGGTTGGCATGGACGGGGGCTCTGCCCCAAGAACCCTCAACTGCGGTTTCGGGGCTTGGGGGATGTTGGAATTGGGGCTGTAGGTCACCCCCCTTTCCACCTCACTGCTTTCAGCAAGTTAGTTTAGTTTATTTATTAAGAGCCTCAAATTCATCCTGTTAGTGGTGGTGGAAAAGTTACAAGGCTCATAATGGTACACAAATTGAACCACAAGATTTAATATTTAACTAAGAAAATTAAGGCACCAATTAACCAGTTAATTTATTAAGATATTCACCAAGAATCTATTAAGTTTTAATTTTAACAATTTTATTTTGCTTATTTTAAACCAATTATATTTTACAATACTGGTAGGCTACATTGCAATGTTATTCCATATCCAACTAGTGCAACACCCTTCCCTCAGGGCGTACACTTTTTCACCCATAGGGTTGTAAACCCGTGGAACCGTCTCCTGCCGAAGCGGTAAACGCCAACACACTGCTGGGTTTTAAAATACAGTACAGCTGGAAAAGATCATCAGGGCAAATGGGGAGGATCTTTGAAAAGCCGCCAGCTTTCTGTCCTCGTTGAGGCCACTAGTATTAGTGGCCCTCAGGTAAATACATCCATACATCCAAAGAACACTGTGAGGCTACAAATGGCAATGCTCCCCCTCCCCCTCCTTCCCACCCCCCAAAAAAACTAATTCACAATCCTGGTTACAGTAATGAACAATTAAGCATATAACCACTATTAGTCTCAGTTCTCAACAAAAATAATGTTCACACATACTTCCTCAGCCATGATGATTAAGGCTGATCCGGTTTAGACTGTTGGTCAATTCACAGTCACCGCAGTTCCCTGAAGGTTACAGGCAATCACTGCTGGTCAATGGAGGTAGCAGGCAGTCACTGTTGGTCACTTGGAGCTTATAGTCACTGCAAACAATTAGAGGCAAGATATAATATTGGTAATTACATGTAATCATTACTAGCCAGAAGGTGACAAATGGCCTCTAGTAATATGTACGTTAAATATAGAGAATGGCTGAAAATATATAATCCAAGACATGAAAATAAAAGTGACAACGTTTCATTGTCCATGACCCTTATTACAATTTCCAACGTGATAAGCACCCAGGGTGGGTTGAAAGGTCGTCACTTTCATTTTCATATCTGTGGGTTGGTTTATCTATTACTGTACATATATATTAATGGCAGGTATTTAAAGAAATTTAATAAGTGTAAGTACAGAACGATATAGAACAAATTTTCAAAGTTGAACAGGCATGAGGTGTTTCTTTATACAGTACAAGAGCTCGTGGACCACTACAAAACAGTGTTTAGATACAGGGATAACATAACATTATAGTATAAAATTACAAAGTGATCTAGTATTTTAATACAAAAGCAACACAAAACCACTGTCACTGTATAGTAAAAACTGCTTACACTACAATACAGAACTATATTTGGTTGAATTTAAGGTACCTATTTAATGTTAGATGAACAGAGGCATTGTGCATAAGGAAAGGATAGAAGTCACATCGTACACAAGACGATTCGCCAACAAATTTTGAAACCTACCTAATCTAGCCTAACTCAACTCAACCTAACCTAACCTAACCAAACCGAGCCAAGCCAATTATAGCCTAAGCTAATACATCCTAGCATAACAATATATTACACGGTTTTAACAAACAGAAAACGAGCTTCGTCAAATCGTCTCGTGTCCAAAAAACCATACCCCTATGGAAACACGCCGACTATACCTGTGAACACAAGACCAATATGGTTAGGCTACAACACCTCAGGTTAGCTTTGATTAAAGTGTGGATTTTTACATAGCCTAACTAAGCTATATTTAACCCGAATTTGCCCTTGAGCTCCTCTCAAATTCTTTAGCTTGACAGAGGGAAGAGAATATTAAAGCCGTGTTCAGTAGATCCTGCCAACTTTAAGACATCTCCCGAGTTTACCCCGAGAGCCACTAACACTAGTGGCCTCGACGAGGATAGGAAGCCGGCGGCTTGTCGAAAGTCCCCTTCCCCCCCAATTGCTGATCTTTTCCAGCTGTATTTTAGCAGTTAACAGAGTTTTGTCATCTCTCACAAGGTCCAAATATGCTGCGGAGCAGGTTATCTATCTTGTAAGGAACTCTCCTGCTATAGTTCTCTGAACACTTACAAGGAGATTTGTTCACTATAATAGTCGCCGGAGAGGTCCAAACACCTGGCAATTACTGTGGAGCTCAACCACGCAAACACCTGCCAATTACTGTGGAGCTTGACCATGCAAACACCTGCCAAATCACGGTGGAGCTCGCCCAAACACCTGGCAATCACACTGGAGCTCGAGCATGCAAACACCTGCCAATCATGATGGAGCTCGTCCAAACACCTGGCAATCACGGTAGAGCATGACCAAGCAAACACCTGCCAATCACGGTGGAGCTCGCCCAAACACCTGGCAATCACACTGGAGCTCGAGCATGCAAACATCTGCCAATCACGCAAACACCTGTCAATCAGAGTGGAGTTCAACACTGCAGACGCGCCACACCTGCCTCACCCAGCACACACCCGACTCCCGAGGGTGTAGTCTCCTGAGGACAGGTGTTCCTTGCCACAGGGAGCGAGCGGCCAAGACACTGTCAAGAGCTTCCAAGACTGGCGCAGTGACGGTCACCCCCCACCTGCCTGCCATCCCCGGCCCTCACCCCCACCTGCCTGCCATCCCCGGCCCTCACCCCCCACCTGCCTGCCATCCCCGGCCCTCACCCCCCACCTGCCTGCCATCCCCGGCCCTCACCCCCCACCTGCCTGCCATCCCCGGCCCTCACCCCCCACCTGCCTGCCATCCCCGGCCCTCACCCCCACCTGCCTGCCATCCCCGGCCCTCACCCCCCACCTGCCTGCCATCCCCGGCCCTCACCCCCACCTGCCTGCCATCCCCGGCCCTCACCCCCCACCTGCCTGCCATCCCCGGCCCTAACCCCCCACCTGCCTGCCATCCCCGGCCCTCACCCCCCACCTGCCTGCCATCCCCGGCCCTCACCCCCCACCTGCCTGCCATCCCCGGCCCTCACCCCCCACCTGCCTGCCATCCCCGGCCCTCACCCCCCCATCCCCGGCCCTCACCCCCCACCTGCCTGCCATCCCCGGCCCTCACCCCCCACCTGCCTGCCATCCCCGGCCCTCACCCCCCCACCTGCCTGCCATCCCCGGCCCTCACCCCCCACCTGCCTGCCATCCCCGGCCCTCACCCCCCACCTGCCTGCCATCCCCGGCCCTCACCCCCCACCTGCCTGCCATCCCCGGCCCTCACCCCCCACCTGCCTGCCATCCCCGGCCCTCACCCCCCACCTGCCTGCCATCCCCGGCCCTCACCCCCCCACCTGCCTGCCATCCCCCCACCTGCCCTGCCTGCCATCCCCGGCCCTCACCCCCACCTGCCTGCCATCCCCGGCCCTCACCCCCCACCTGCCTGCCATCCCCGGCCCTCACCCCCCCCACCTGCCTGCCATCCCCGGCCCTCACCCCCCACCTGCCTGCCATCCCCGGCCCTCACCCCCCCCACCTGCCTGCCATCCCCGGCCCTCACCCCCCACCTGCCTGCCTGCCATCCCCGGCCCTCACCCCCCCCACCTGCCTGCCATCCCCGGCCCTCACCCCCCACCTGCCTGCCATCCCCGGCCCTCACCCCCCACCTGCCTGCCATCCCCGGCCCTCACCCCCCACCTGCCTGCCATCCCCGGCCCTCACCCCCCCACCTGCCTGCCATCCCCGGCCCTCACCCCCCCACCTGCCTGCCATCCCCGGCCCTCACCCCCCACCTGCCTGCCATCCCCGGCCCTCACCCCCCCACCTGCCTGCCATCCCCGGCCCTCACCCCCCACCTGCCTGCCATCCCCGGCCCTCACCCCCCACCTGCCTGCCATCCCCGGCCCTCCCCACCTGCCCCATCACCCCCTCACCCCCCACCTGCCTGCCATCCCCGGCCCTCACCCCCCACCTGCCTGCCATCCCCGGCCCTCACCCCCCCCCTGCCTGCCATCCCCGGCCCTCACCCCCCCCCACCTGCCTGCCATCCCCGGCCCTCACCCCCCACCTGCCTGCCATCCCCGGCCCTCACCCCCCCACCTGCCTGCCATCCCCGGCCCTCACCCCCCACCTGCCTGCCATCCCCGGCCCTCACCCCCCACCTGCCTGCCATCCCCGGCCCACCCCCCACCTGCCTGCCATCCCCGGCCCTCACCCCCCACCTGCCTGCCATCCCCGGCCCTCACCCCCCACCTGCCTGCCATCCCCGGCCCTCACCCCCCACCTGCCTGCCATCCCCGGCCCTCACCCCCCACCTGCCTGCCATCCCCGGCCCTCACCCCCCACCTGCCTGCCATCCCCGGCCCTCACCCCCCACCTGCCTGCCATCCCCGGCCCTCACCCCCCCACCTGCCTGCCATCCCCGGCCCTCACCCCCCACCTGCCTGCCATCCCCGGCCCTCACCCCCCACCTGCCTGCCATCCCCGGCCCTCACCCCCCACCTGCCTGCCATCCCCGGCCCTCACCCCCCACCTGCCTGCCATCCCCGGCCCTCACCCCCACCTGCCTGCCATCCCCGGCCCTCACCCCCCACCTGCCTGCCATCCCCGGCCCTCACCCCCCCACCTGCCTGCCATCCCCGGCCCTCACCCCCCCACCTGCCTGCCATCCCCGGCCCTCACCCCCCACCTGCCTGCCATCCCCGGCCCTCACCCCCCCACCTGCCTGCCATCCCCGGCCCTCACCCCCCCACCTGCCTGCCATCCCCGGCCCTCACCCCCACCTGCCTGCCATCCCCGGCCCTCACCCCCCACCTGCCTGCCATCCCCGGCCCTCACCCCCCACCTGCCTGCCATCCCCGGCCCTCACCCCCCACCTGCCTGCCATCCCCGGCCCTCACCCCCCCACCTGCCTGCCATCCCCGGCCCTCACCCCCCATCTGCCTGCCATCCCCGGCCCTCACCCCCCACCTGCCTGCCATCCCCAGCCCTCACCCCCCACCTGCCTGCCATTACCGGCCCTCACCCCCCACCTGCCTGCCATCCCTGGCCCTCACCCCCCCCACCTGCCATTCCCGGCCCTCACCCCCCCACCTGCCTGCCATCCCCGGCCCTCACCCCCCCCCCACCTGCCTGCCATCCCCGGCCCTCACCCCCCTACCTGCCTGCCATCCCCGGCCCTCACCCCCCCACCTGCCTGCCATCCCCGGCCCTCACCCCCCACCTGCCTGCCATCCCCGGCCCTCACCCCCCACCTGCCTGCCATCCCCGGCCCTCACCCCCCACCTGCCTGCCATCCCCGGCCCTCACCCCCCACCTGCCTGCCATCCCCGGCCCTCACCCCCCCACCTGCCTGCCATCCCCGGCCCTCACCCCCCATCTGCCTGCCATCCCCGGCCCTCACCCCCCACCTGCCTGCCATCCCCAGCCCTCACCCCCCACCTGCCTGCCATTACCGGCCCTCACCCCCCACCTGCCTGCCATCCCTGGCCCTCACCCCCCCCCCCACCTGCCATTCCCGGCCCTCACCCCCCCACCTGCCTGCCATCCCCGGCCCTCACCCCCCCCCCACCTGCCTGCCATCCCCGGCCCTCACCCCCCTACCTGCCTGCCATCCCCGGCCCTCACCCCCCCACCTGCCTGCCATCCCCGGCCCTCACCCCCCACCTGCCTGCCATCCCCGGCCCTCACCCCCCACCTGCCTGCCATCCCCGGCCCTCACCCCCCACCTGCCTGCCATCCCCGGCCCTCACCCCCCACCTGCCTGCCATCCCTGGGGGCGACCCCTCAACCCCACCTGAAGATGAGCCCATGTTAAGAAACATCTATATTAAATGTTTCTCTGCTTGTTAATTAACGTTCATCATAATAAAACGTTATTCTTACTTATTATTTATAGTTTGACGTTTTATAATTAAGTTTAAAAGTGTGTATTCATAGAAAAACGCAGGAGGGTAGAGCTCTGGTTCTTTGTGCCCGCCTCTCAACTGTCAATCAATTAACTGATTTGTTTTGTTCCCCAGGAAGCAGCCTGTAGCAGCTATCTAGCTCCCAGGTACCTATTTTCTGCTAGGTGAACAGGAGCATTAGTGTGAAAGAAACTTTACCCATTTGTTTTCGCCTTCGCCGGAGATCGATCCCCGAACCCTAGGACTATGAATCGCGAGTACTGTCCACTCATTTGTCAGGCCGAAGCCCTGTACATGTGTGTACAGCTGCAGGTGCACGCATACTCACCTAGTTGTGCTTGCGGGGGTTGAGCTTTGGTTCTTTGGTCCCGCCTCTCAACTGCCAATCAACTGGTGTACAGTCATATCTACACTTGAAACTGTGCATGGAGTTTGCCTCCACCACGTCACTTCCTAGTGCATTCCATCTGTTAACTAACCTGACACTGAAAAAAAATCTAATGTCTCTGTGGCTCATCTGGGTACTAAGTTAAAACCCGTGTCCCCTTGTTCGTGTTCCACCCGTGCTAAAGAGTTTGTCTTTGTCTACCCTGTCAATTTCCCTGAGAATTTTGTAAGTGGTTATCATGTCTCCCCTTACTGTTCTGTTTTCCAGGAACGTGAGGTACAGCTCCTTATTTAGCCTTTCCTCGTAGCTCATACCTCTCAATTCCGGGACGAGTTTGGTGGCATACCGCTGAATCTTCTCAATGTCTTGTGTTTAACTAGGGATGGACTCCAGGCTGGAGCTGCATATTCCAGGATTGGTCTGACATAAGTGGTATACAGGGTCCTGAACGATTCCTTACACAAGTTTTTAAAGGCAGTTCTTATGTTGGCCAAACTAGCATATGCCACTGATGATATCAGATAATACATGTACAGCTGCAGATGCAGGCGTCTACCCCTCCTATGGTTATGAAATGCCATTTCCTTTAACACTTTTTCACACTAACACTCTATTGTCCTTTTCACAGGTGGGTCTAAGTATCGATCCCGACGGTGTAAGCTACTCCGTTGTCTTTCCTGACCAAACTACACGTGCCGCCTGTCTTCCAAGACTAGCGTCTTTACAGCTGAACTTCGAGCTATTTTGTATGCACTTTGTCAACTGCTTTCCAGATGTTAATGTTCCTTTGGCATTGTGGTTAACTTCTGCAGTGCCCTCATGGTCCTGTTGTCATTTAACCCTATACTGTACATCCTGTGGTTGTCGAAATTCAACACTGGCTATTTCTTATCGCTAGCAGATTTTAGACAGTTGAGTTTTGTTGGGTTTCCAGCCCTATTGGTATTACTTTAAATAAACATGCAGACAATGCCACAATGCCAACTAGGTGAATACAAAGGAGGTTACCCAAACTTGCCCTATTTCCAAAAAAGGAATGCCTTATTCGGACATCTACCCTTTCATTCATTCCCCAATCTGAGACCGTTGGCAGAGTCGCTGGTCTGAGGTTATAGGTAACAAACTGTGCACTCTCAAGAGTAACATATCCCCTTTTGCCTTCCTCTTACCAGTGTAATAGATGCTGGGAAACAGCTTTGGCTTGGTTACGTATTGTCCATACATGCTTAACTAATGGACATTCAATGGAACACTCCTCCTGCTCCTGTCTAAACTGCAATGTTCCACTTACAGTCGTGCGCCTCCTTGGAAATGTCCCAATTTTCAGGACGATTATATATCTTGCTTTCCTAATGTCCCTCGACAAAATCCTTGGTGAATCTGATAGCTTTGATATCGCTCTCATTACGTGTTTTTGTTCTCATATTGGCATCCTCACTGATATTTAGCAATACTGATAGTGCTACATAGTCTCCTGGGCTTAGTGCCTTCCTTTGATAATTACCTATGTCCTGGCTGAGTCCGTACTAGGTCCCAGCTGAGAGTTCATGCTAGGTCCTGGCCAAGAGTCCCTACTTGGTCCTGGCAGAGTTTTCCTGCTAGGTACTGGCTCAATGTGTGTTAATTATAAGAGAAATATACATGTATATTTTGTTTAAGTCTACAGCAAGGTTCAAATAAGCCCCCACTGTCATCTATACTGCAGCAGAATGCCTGCTGCTGCTGCCTTGATTGGTTTATGGCAAACTGAACCACTATTTGAGTGCCAGTGGGAGCAAACGAGTTCTGTCTAATCAGTGTCTGCTGGTTCCTATTCTAACTTATAGTAGCCCAGGCTCAAATCTCCTACATTACATTGTGTCCACTGCTGTGACCTCCATTTAATGTAGGTATATCCCCATTAACTGGCTGGATGTCCAGTTAATGGGGATGGAGAACTGGATATTTGTGTATGGAAAACCAGATTATACACACAACAACAATCAGGATAATGAGGGTTGCACTATATTGCATTTCTGACAAATCCTTTTTTTTGTCAGAAACGTACTTTTTTAACATGTAACATTCCAAAATACAATCATTATCCCACTTTCTTAGTTTCATTCAACATACTGTATCTCATACTAGTGTCATGAAAACTTGGCAACTCTCACTCTAGCAAAATCCTTCTTTGCAGTAGGCCAGCACTAAGAAATTTCAGAGTTTAGTGTACAGGGTCCTCATGAACTGTGTTATTCAAACAATCACTCCCTTTTATAAACTGCTGCCACCTAATCTTATTCTCAACTGTGTTCTGAGAACACGGTTCAGAACAAGAATTCTCACTCAATTCTTGCTCCATCATTTACTAAATGTGCATGCCTTCTTGATCTTCTCCTCATACCCGTAATATCACTTGAAAGCACACTTCACCGGTCTCCATCAAACATTCGTTGAATATAATCAAACTCTTGCTATACTCTTCTCACACTTACACTTTATTACCATGTGTGCTCTATATCACAGCTTCCCACGACACTCGTGTATCAGTAATGAGATTAATAAAATATCAAGGTTTTCTTTGCTCATTTATATTGACACAAGGAAATGTCCAATGATCAAATACAAAATGTCTTCAAATTATAATTAAAGTTTCCTAAAAGAAAAAAATGTATTTACATATAGAAATTCTCAAAAATTCATTATGCATATACTGTACCTTCTCACAGTTGTCTCTGCATATATTCAGAGCGATACACATAATCCTTTTAAGTATACAACACGGTAATGTGGCATCTCTCACCTGCAAGCTGGATTTGCTCAAGTGATACATATACAACAATTAATGTTGTAATTTAAGATAATGTAATGAGTCGGTATTTTATGAAGCTATTGTATTATGCAACAATATTAATTATCACAATTTATTACACAAGCATGGCTATAACTTTCTTAATCCTCATAGGTTGTATATTACATAAATGTATTTACAAGGATATGACTAGCTTTCTAGCTGGGTGGTGCCCGTGTCCGTATTACATTACACAATCTCAAACTGCTGCCGGGCCACAGTTATTCTCGCAATACAGTATATGCAATAAGCTTCCGTAATTAAAATGCAAAATACAGTATATGCAATAAGATTCCATAATAAAAATGCAAAATTAAAATGGTTTATCATAGAAATACTGCATACAAAAAAGGGGGATCAGTTTTATGTACCACAGCATGAAAAGGTAATGTGGAAGCAAGAGCAACAAGAACAAAAGTGACCACTGCCAAAACTTGAATGAGTAACAATGTGTATCACACCACTGAATATCTCAAGAATGTTTGGTAATATGTTTATTGTTTGTGATGTGTGTATATGTATGTATTAACACGATGTACTGAACGGGGTGAGAATAGCTTGAGCTACCTCATCCCTTTGTGCGTATTTTACCTCAATAAACTTATTTCAATTTCAATCACTGAATATTCTGAAGTGTTAATGAGGCCGGTGTAAGGCGAACGTGCCTAACGCTGAGAACACTATGTTAAGAGTGTTGGAGAACAATACTAGTGGTGTTCTCTAACATAAATGTGACCAGTATAAGGAATGCATAAATATGCAGCACACTACTGCACTGTGAATGGAAATAAAGTACTGTAGAACAAAAACAAAACAAAAAAACAAAAAAAATAACATCCTGCTTCTTATGACAAGTTTAGAAATAAGTATCAACATAACTTGAATACACTAAAATGGCAAAATATTCTTGGACATTAGTAAGCATTGAAATTATAATGCACCAGGATAATGACAAACACAAGAAACAAACGATGCACTCATGCTATCAGGCTGTGGAGGGCAAATATAATTATGCCTTTTAGGAAAATAGTTGGTAACACTTTTATATTGCTAAAAATAACTATCCAAAAAAGAAATTCAAATAGAGTAAACTGGACGAAATGCATTCAAAAAAAGAACAAGAAGAACACTTTGTTAGGATTTGATCCAGCATACAAGACCAGGAGGTGTTGAGACGTAATGCGTCTTGACAAGGAAAGCAAGTACTGTACATAACACGATACTTCAAAACAAAGACAACTCGTCAAGGATGCGGGATGATCATACCAAGTGTCACAGTTTTGCAAGAGGGAGTACTGCCGTGTACAACTCTGGAGAGCAAAGGCAGACACACTCGCCATGGAAAGAAAAACTAAAAAAAAAAAAAAAAAAAGCTAACTTTAGTGTATACAAATAAATCTGAGAGCCACAAATATACAATGGTGGAAAAGGAAATACAGGAGTTAATCTGTTCTCAGGTTTGCATATACAAATGCAAAGTTCAATATCTGAAGCACATATGATACATAGTTCTGTAATCAAATATTAATTATATCAGATACTGTATTTAAAAAGAGAAAAGTGGGTGTGGGAAGAGACATTGGGTGTGAGAAGAGACATTGGGTGTGAGAAGAGACATTGGGTTTGAGGAGAGACATTGGGTGTGGGAAGAGACATTGGGTGTGGGAAGAGACATTGGGTGTGGAAAGTGACAGTGGGTGTGGAAAGTGACACTGGGTGTGGAAAGTGACACTGGGTGTGGAAAGTGACATTGGGTGTGGAAAGTGACACTGGGTGTGGAAAGTGACATTGGGTGTGGAAAGTGACACTGGTTGTGGAAAGTGACATTGGGTGTGGAAAGTGACACTGGGTGTGGAAAGTGACATTGGGTGTGGAAAGTGACACTGGGTGTGGAAAGTGACATTGGGTGTGGAAAGTGACACTGGGTGTGGAAAGTGACATTGGGTGTGGAAAGTGACACTGGGTGTGGAAAGTGACACTGGTTGTGGAAAGTGACATTGGGTGTGGAAAGTGACACTGGGTGTGGGAAGAGAGAAGAGACAGCAGGTGTGGGGAAAAGACAGACAGTACATAACAATTATCTATAAATACAGTTATCACCAGAAGGGGGTGGGGGGAGGATATATGTGTATGTGTGGAGGGGGGAGGCAAAAAGGGGGGTGGGAGGGGCTGGGTAATCATCGTCAAGGTCAGACACACTCACGCAGTAACAATGGCAGATGGCAGATATTATAGTTACAATCAGAAATTATATTAAATAAACCAATCAAAATAATCATAAAATAAATACACTACAATAAACGTAATGCAGGGATCCATAATAAAGCAAGGAAATTTAGTTTATTAAAGAAAGAACAAAACTGTTATACTGTGTATTGGGTACAGGAAAAAGTTACAGTCTGCACAATTCAGTGCTGTGAACCTTCAGTCAACAATGACAGGGGGGTTCAGAGGCATTTTGGGGTGGTTTAGTTACGGTCTTTCTCCAATTATTAATTTACTTAATATACATGTAGGCTATAATATGTAAGCCATCTGATACAGACCCTATGACATTCACAAATGGACTAAACAAGAATCATTTTCTATTAAAAAAAACTGTATATGTATATACAGTAGTAGTAGTAGTAAGCATCCCCCAGTCTCGGGAGACCATGGAGTTGCGCCCTAGTTGTCAATCCTGGTGCAGCGTCTGGTGTGACTGATGAGGCCAATCCAATATACAGTAGTAAGATTGTGCTAACAAATATAATGACAGAGATCTCATATCCAGACATAAACAAGCAACTATTTATTCGGGTAAGTGGAGTTTTATTTATAGTATATTGGATTTATATTTGAGGAGTTACAATTGCTTTTTTCTGCATCATTGATGAGTGTATTAATCTATTTTTTAAAGTATTAAAGTATTACAGTATTAATCTGTAGTTGAGAAGTAACACAAGTCAGTACAAACAGTAATGATATTCAAATAGTACTGTATTTTAATACTAGTTAAAAAAAAGTCATACTTTAGGTCTAAAAGATATTCCTATTTTATAGATATTGCCTTAAATTTCCATATTTATCATTCTGCCCAGAAACTTCAACTGTAGAGGGTATTTAGTGACCATTGAATGTGTCGATTTTCAGCAATTTCATAATTTCATTGGCATTAAGTTTCAAATGTATGTATGTATGTATGTATGTATGTATGTATGTATGTATGTATGTATGTGTGTGTGTGTTTGTTTTTGACTTCAGTTGTAGTCCAATTGTGAAAACAAAGCATTTCCTAAGGTCATCACCCTTGCAGCAAAAGCTTTACCTATGTAGGGGAAAACTAAATAAAACCCAAACATTAACAGTGAATGTATGCTTTTCATTGGTTAAATCATAAATAACTACAGTACAGTATATTTAAAAAGTAAACTCGATTCCTAACCATATACTGCGGTGTTCATAAATGAGAGAGAGGATTACCGTACACATGTTTAATATACTGTATATGAAATAGATTGTTAAACTGAAATGCATTTAGAAATAACTAGAGAAATTATTTGAAATACAGAGTGAACATTTAATTTCACAAAAAGTGACAGATGGTTAGATTTGGAGAAGAGTGACAGACGGTTGGGTCTGAAAGAGCAGTGGCAGATGGTTGGATACGGTAGAGGACCATGGCAGATGGCTGGGACTGCAGAAAACACCGTGACAGATGGCTAAGACTGGAGGAATGTAATTACAGATTGTTTAAAGGACGATGAAGAAAACAATGAAGAAGCTCAAAAAAATTAAAGTGAGAAATATTTATGATAAAAATTGATAAGAAAGTATACATATATTTCTCAGAGTAAAGCAGAAATTGTTTGTGATGGAAGGAACTGCTATGACTGGAGAAGAAGGTCAAAACAAGCAGTGAAAAAAGCTGCACATATTAAACATCTGCAACTAAATGATCTGAATGAAAACTGAAAGAAATATAAAAAAAGAAGAGTACAAAAAGTATAAAGTGATTTTTTATATTTAAAATGACTGATTTAGAGGGGGCAAAGAAAAAAGCAGACGAGGATATGGGAAGAAATTAAATGTTGAATGTAATGAAACCCCCTCTTCTGGACGTTCTCAGTAGCTTCCTGGGGCACTGACTCGGGTACCACACAGGACAACGAAAAACTTGAAACCGGCAGGCAGAGTACCAGATAAAACTGAAATCTCCATCAGTCTGATAATACCGACTCTCATTACTGAAAGTTACAAGCAGCAGAAGTTGAATCACAGATGAATAATATGAAGCCTCACAAAACAACCTACGAAGTGATAAAAGGCATACAAAATCATATCAAATATGCTATGATTATATTGATATATTCTAGTAAAGAATATAATATAGTATGTTAGAGAATATATGACAAGCAAGCCACCTAGTCCAAATGGTAACTGGCCATCTGATCTGTTAATGGTCATATAAACCAGATGCATAGATAGGAAGGTTGAATCCTCATGCAGATGCCTGAAAAGTATGGATTGAGGGGGGGGGGAGATGTGTACTGTGTCACTGAATTAAACTGAAATATTCCTTATTCAACACATAAGCAAAATCTCAAACAAGCAAGGCATACCTATGAATAACATAGCCAAGCACAAAAAAAATATATATATATATACTGTATACAGTGTGTATGTATGAATGTAAGGCTGCACGAACATATGAGCCATAAATCGCTAAGAACTCTTTTTGACCAAACTAGGATTCGAACCCCCCAAGCGCACAGGGTACTGTAACTACTTCACCAATGATCAATGAGGCTGGTTACAATACCCTGCACAATTGGGGTGATCCTGGGCAGCGGGGAGTCGAATCCTAGTCAGGTCAAAAAGATTTCTTAGTGATTTCTGCAGGACAACCCAAGGCATGAGAGTAAGGCAGGCAGGCAAGCAGGTTGAATCCATGGATGACCTGAGCTACCAGGTGCATGTGTTGAGATTGTTTACATTTTCTCTCTCTTTCTTCAAGACATCAAGACATGTAGTTTGTTTTGCTTTGCCTATATTTTCTAGGTAGTTTATCTTTGATCACAATATACTACTATCTTTGATTACTATGCACTAAGTCCAAAGGTCTTAAGAGTTTTCCAGATGCCTCTATGGTCCAGAGGTAAGGCACTGTGAAGCTACTGAAAGCCAGAAGAGAAATTGTTTTGTTAAAGGGTAGTGAGAAAGAAAACAGAATACAGAAGTTATAAAATAGAAGATGGAAATAGAGGGCATATTCAAATGTACTGAAATTCCAGAGTAATGTAAAGTATATTTTGAAGAGCTTATCACATAAAACACAATAGTTCAAGCAATTGAAACAATGCATTAGGGACTAACACTGTGCAATCATACAACACTGCACCAAGAAATAATTAGGAAAATAATAGTTTTACAGAGGCCTTGAAAGTATCAGTGCACAGTGGAGGTGGTGTGATTTACCTTCCAGCTCTGACCACTGGAAGTGTTACATGGACTATGTTGCCATCCAGCCCTGACCACTGGAAGTGTTACATGGACTATGTTGCCTTCCAGCTCTGACCACTGGAAGTGTTACATGGACTATGTTGCCATCCAGCCCTGACCACTGCAAGTGTTACATGGACTATGTTACCATCCAGCCCTGACCACTGGAAGTGTTACATGGACTATGTTACCATCCAGCCCTGACCACTGGAAGTGTTACATGGACTATGTTACCATCCAGCCCTGACCACTGGAAGTGTTACATGGACTATGTTACCATCCAGCCCTGACCACTGGAAGTATTACATGGACTATGTTACCATCCAGCCCTGACCACTGCAAGTGTTACATGGACTATGTTGCCATCCAGCCCTGACCACTGGAAGTGTTACATGGACTATGTTGCCATCCAGCCCTGACCACTGCAAGTGTTACATGGACTATGTTACCATCCAGCCCTGACCACTGCAAGTGTTACATGGACTATGTTGCCATCCAGCCCTGACCACTGCAAGTGTTACATGGACTATGTTACCATCCAGCCCTGACCACTGGAAGTGTTACATGGACTATGTTGCCATCCAGCCCTGACCACTGGAAGTGTTACATGGACTATGTTGCCATCCAGCCCTGACCACTGCAAGTGTTACATGGACTATGTTACCATCCAGCCCTGACCACTGCAAGTGTTACATGGACTATGTTACCATCCAGCCCTGACCACTGGAAGTGTTACATGGACTATGTTGCCATCCAGCCCTGACCACTGCAAGTGTTACATGAATTAGAAGACAAATAAATCTAGAAATTAGGTTGTAAAAATGAAACATTGAAGAAATACTGTACATGTGGTATACATAAGATGGGAGGGATAAATAACATGATCCGGGGGATGGTAGAGGCGAGTGACAAAACAAGCACAGGATAAAGCAAACTGCAGGCATCCATCATGGAAAGTAACAGGCCTACACATAGGACATATCCCATAATGGCATAAAGGGAACAGTGTAGGTGTGCACGAGGATCGGTGCACTGTGCAGTGAGAGAATGGTCTCTCAAGATTCTCCCACAGTAGGTTAGTGTTTTGTTTAAAATAGACTACTTGGAACAATTATAAAAGAAAAGTTATAATAATACTCAGGTTCATATCTTATTACTAAGGCTTTGTACAAAAATTCTAATATGCTTAACAATCCTCATTAAACCAGATGACAGTATACTGCAGGTTACAGAACAATGAGCCGGAGCTGTAGATAACACACTGTACGTTATCTTCCCCCATGAAACCAATCCTCATAAATTACTCCTCATGAGATATAAATTGCTAAAAACTCTTTTTTTTGACCAAACTATGATTTGCACCCCCACTGCCCAGGATCACCCCCAAGCATGCAGGGTACTGTAAGCTGCAAGCAATTGCAGCCATTCAACATTTATTAATATGCTCAGGAAAATTGGTAAACCTAGAAAAATTGGGCTGAGATATAGTCGTAACAATTAATAAGCACAGGAGGGTAGAAATATCCTATGCTATCCTTTTGCATTTTATGGTCTTTATGGTCTCAATAAATGTACCTGGACTTAATAAGCATCGTTTACTACATACAGGCAAACTGTATCTTCTCAAAATGAGCACCATCATGGAGGTTTAACCAGGTCTTCTGAGCCCCCAAGAATTTAAGTTTTGGAAGGAAATTACACTGTCTCCGATGCACAATATTATCATCCCTTATAAATCATATGAAAAATTGAACTGAAGTCTGATGCAGAAAGTGATTAATATAACTTCACAACTCCACTTTTCACCTCTACATGCCAAGAAAAGTTTTGCGGAGGAATACCTGCCGTTATGACCTAAGGCACACCTCAGTCTGGAAAAATAAAAGTTAATGCATTTATTATTTGTGACAAATTTACATGAATTTAATTTTAAGACAACTTTTATGCATAATAAACATAAGGTGGCTTTATTGATATACAGTATATTAAAACATCATAAGCCATGCATATAACTTTGATCAAGAGTCATCATGTGATGAATGAACACTACCTGGCGATACATGAGAGGTGGAGGACGTGTCAGATAATATCATAGTCTTTCTTGCTCTTTTCCTCGACCCAATCTCTATGGACTCGGACTCAGATCTAGAAGAGCTATCTGCTAGTCTACGTTTTCTCTTCTTTTGTCTCTTAGAGCTTTGCTCTGAAAAATCGGTCTCTGAATCTGAAGAACTACACTTGTAAACTGATTTTTTAGATTTTCCTTTTTTTTTATGCTTACTTTTCTTGCTCTTTTTGCTTTTTTCACTCTTTCGTCTGTCTTTACTCTTTCTTTTCCTCTTTTTATTGGAATGCTTCGATTTAGAGCTGCTGTGTTCATCTTTCCATTCCCTGAAGCATGAATCCTTCGAGTCACCCGATGATTGCTTGCTGTGGCTGTCCCAACATTGATCTTGAGACGATGATCCTTCTGTTTTGTTAGACGGTGGTGTCCAAAGGCGGTCTGAGGGGCACCATGATTCTTCAGAGCTTTCTGAGGAATTAGAAGGTGTGAAGCTGTTTCTTGCATGGGCATCATGACATGAACTGAACCTCGACGAACTCTTAATCTTTGATCTGTGGTCCTTTTTCATTCGTTTAGGTGATGCATTTAGTTCTCTTGATGGGGATTTCATCCTATTCCGAGAGGAGAGAGACCCAACCGTATTGCCAGTACTCCTACTCTTTGCCGTAAGGTTTCTTTTATTGCTAGCCTTTTTGCCTTTGTCTTTTTGCTTACGTTTTTTACAATATAAATTTGGCAAACTAGAATCATCATTTGAGGAGCTCGCATCTGTCAGACTTGCACACTGCTTATCCTTTTTTTTCACACTAAATGTCGAGTCATGATTCTTAGAGCTTTTATGCCACTTTAGTGAAATTTCAATGGAGGAAGTCTGAATTGAGCCATTATGATCATTTGAGCTAGATGCTTCAATACTTGCTGAGTCATGTTCATTGCAGTAACTATGATCTTCTTTGGCCGATTTTCTATTGGAAGTGCTGCTGCAGCTGGATTGACTAATATGTAGAGGAAAATTTGTTCGCTTAAGGGTGGGCTTTTGTTTTTCTTTAACTTTATGTTGGCGAGAAGAAACACTCGATACACTGCTATTTTTGTCCTTTATGAAATCTTTACTAAGCTTTTTCTTCCAATGATTATCATTTTCTTTTAATGGTGGTGCATGTTGCTCACCTTCATCACTATCTAGATTAATTATTTCTGGAGTCTTGTGTCTTTTCTTCACTTCTTCAATAACAATACAAGCATCAGACTGTTCACTGTCTGAGGAGACTTCTGTTTTCAATGTGCTATTTGCAGCACTTTGCATTCCAGAGCTTCCCGCAGGTCTAGACGTTGATGCTCCCTCATTAATGGTACTGAGAAAGTCCCTGGCACGACCTATCAAGCGATTCATGTAAAGTGATTCAGGCGGCTCTGGATTATGAGTCTCGGAAAAATCTGGCTGCGTCTGTGCTAACCCTGACATCAGGCTTGTTGGTTCATTACTCTCACTACTGGAAAAGTTGTCACTGCTGATTACTACAGAACCTTCGTGTGTTAAAGTTTCTTCTCTCTCAACCGCTCCAGGTGTAGTGGTACCCTGGCGGGCTTCTCCTGCCGAGACAATGACAGGGTTCCCACTCATGTCCACCTCTACTACAGCATCACTGTCATCTGAACTGCTGGTGCTACTGTCTTCATTATTAAATCCATATCTTGGAACATACTGAGCTGCATTGTCATGGCCAACCATGTCATAAGGTGAGCGAGCAAAATGGTAAAACTCATGAACAAAATGATTTGTTCGTCTTCCAAGATGTTCTTGCATGGCACGTCGAAATTCTCGAGAATTAATGGCATATCTTTCAATAAGATCCATAACTTCTCCAAGAACAACCCCAATTCTGGATGATGGTAAAAGTGCTGCCAGCTCACGATTTACCCAGGGCACCAAACGGTGTGTGAGTGCAGGTTGCTCTCGATATAAATCCGGAGAGCTTTGTCTGTAGCGACCAGTAATATCTGCTATAGGTTGCACCCAAACGTTATTGAGGTAAACACTAAGGCGAAACATAGATGAACCTCTAAGATAATATCTGGAGTGTCTGCGTTCACGAGGCCCAGAAGGAATGGCATCAGGAATGGCATGTGTTCGTCCAGGATGCTGTCGGCGCAGTGTGGCAGCACCAGGAAAATTTGTTGTGCGATATCCGAAGAACCTTCGCCTTTCGGCATCAAGAAACTCCTGAAAATTGGCAATGCCCTGACTTCTTTCCAATGGCTCTGGTCTTGGAACCTTCCATTCTTTATATTCTGATTCAGATTTGATGTCATACATTATAGTTGTGAAGCTCAGTTTACAAAGAGGACATACTGCTTTTTGCTTAGACCATTCTTTGAGACACACCAAACAAAAACCATGAAGGCATGAATTGGCCACACACTTATCAGTAATATGGCTAAGACAGATTGGACATGTATCATCTGAAATGGGTGAATTATCACTTGGAGGCCTCTCTGGAGTGCGAGAACCAGAGGGACTCTTCTTTTCAGAAGTACATGCAGACATGCTGGAGTTCATCACCGGGCATGCATCAGCCCCTTGTAGTTTTTCCCTTGGAGAGGACATCTTGTAGAACCTGAAAAGCCAAAAGTAACAATATTATTTCTAAACTTGTGCCTCATTAATTTAGATAATCTGTCTACATTGTACACAAAAATACTTTAAAACACTGCATACCTTGTTAATTCCATTCAGAACAATTTGTTACTATTAGATTGGGGTACCCAGCAGTACCCCATAACACATCTCCCCTCCCCCTCTCTTCCCCTATCCTCCCTATCTCCCCTCCCCCTCTCTTCCCCTATCCTCCCTATCTCCTCTCCTCTTACCCCAGTGCTAGTTAAAAATGTCAAGATGAGCCTGGCCTTAGGCCTGACTTGGGGAGCAGAACTCCCAGAACCCTCTCCAAGTAAGACTGTACCACCAACTTGGTCAGATGCTAGACAGGAAACAGAGCAGCACCTAGTACTGTTACTTTCACAAATATAGCATCATATTTATTTCCCAACATTCAAGGTAAAAAACATGAAAATCAAACAGTCCACTTTATAACTTACCTCCTAATTGTGGCAAATGCAGTGTTTTGCAGTCCAAACTGAAACTATCACAAAGGATTACAGTGTATCCTTGCTTGAACAAACTATATGGGGCAAGGCTAATTCATTCCATAAGGGATGACACAACTATCGATCGATATTTGTGTTGGGACGATCTAACACGTCAGATCCCAGGAAATGTCTCACTTCCAAGAAAAAACAAAACAGCATTGAATGTCATGAAATGCCTATTTATAGGTTAGCCCTGGTGACTCCCTAAAGCTACAATGTTGATAACAGTGCAAAACTACAAAGTTCCGTCAGCCATAGAGCTCTTTTAGGCCTACCGGGGACCATGAGCCAAACACTGGCCTTAAGTGCTTAATTGCACACTAGTTTCTTTATCAGCTATCTCACCCTGTCAGAGTAAATGAGACAAATGTATGTGAATGCATGTGTGTGTATATATGTATGGGTATAAAGTATATATGGAAGCTGATCAGAATTACATTTCACCTTTGTGAATGTACATTAATGACACTATGTAAAAGACACATCAAACACTTTATGTAGGGCATACGTAAATCTGTGTATCTATGTATTTACGTATGTAGGTTAGCTTAGCATTTTAAAAGCACCGAATCACCTTCTGTGGTTGAGTGTTTAATAAACCCTTGAACTATATGTTTAACACTTCTCTAACCCTGTCCATGGAGGACAGAAGAAAATGTATATATGCTGGTTAGCATTGTAAATGTGTGGCCACGTCTGTGGTAGAAAATAATATAAAAAAAAAAAAAACTGACCCCTCTAAAGAGACAGAAAGAGCAGTAGCACTACGATAAAAATTGTGTGAATTTTAATTGTGTCCACCACCACCAGGGCAGTATTCAGAAAGTTGGCAAAACAAAACAGATTAATCCAATTTACATTATTCCTTACGGAAAAAAATTATTCAGTACTCGAACAGATCGGCACTCAAACGGCCTTCTGAAACCAATTAAGTTTGAGTACCGAGGTTCCACTGCATCTGCGTTGGAGGAAGCTCAACACAGTTACAAAAATTATTCCAGAGCTAAGTAAACTCATACCTGGTAAATGCATGGTTAAGGGTCACATGACTAACAACACAACAAACCAAACATGACACATGACAGGACTCATCTCATCAAGCCCTTTAAAATACTAAACAAGTTGGAGGATATTAAGCCAGATCACTTCTTTAAAAAGGTCTTAAATAATGCAAACATGGGATAACTGCACAAAGAAATCACATTAACATGAAGTATCAATGAATAAATCAATAGGACTCATGAGGAGGATTTGACCCTATGCTCTGGGTACTCCCAGGCAAATGCTCTAGACCACTGGCTCCTGGTTACCTAGCAGTAAAATAGGTACCTGGGTGTTAGTCAGCTGTCACAGGCTGCTTCCTGGGGGTGGAGGCCTGGTCGAGGACCGGGCCGTGGGGACACAAAAAAGCCCCCAAATCATCTTAGGATAACCTCAAGATAACTACACCGCAACATGGTCAAAAGCGTTGCAACCTGGGATTCAACTGCATCCTCTAGGGTTCCTGAGGCTTCCACTGAAGCCTAATCAGGGCCTTGGACAAGCTCCTGGTTTCCTTTCTCCACTGAAGCCATTACAGAGATGACAGGTCTCATAAATTTAGGTAAAATACGTGTCCAGACACCTGCAGCTTTACCCTATGGAACTTCTGGGTCATGTTAGTTCACAAGATTCTCCTACACCAAAAGTAGGTTTGTGATTTCTACAAAAGACTTCTGAGACTAAGGAACTACAGTATATACCAACCAAATGGTGGCTGCCCAGGTCAGAAGGCAGTGCAAAATTGAAAGGATAAGCAGACTAAGGTTCATTTTCCTGCATTCATCACAGAATTTGGAAATGTTTCCCAGAGTTCATCACGGTATTCTTTGTAAAACAATCTTTTCTATTACTAAACGAGTTAGGCATTGTGCATCAGAACATATGGGGCATAAATACTTAAATCCTTAATTAAAACTTTGAAACATGTTAGATATCAAGTCATTACACATCCTCTCATGTATGTATGTATGTATGTATGTATGTATGTATGTATGTGTGCAGCTTTTGACCATGTAGTGGTCTAGAGCATTTGCCTGGGAGTACCCAGAACATAGGGTCATATTTATATATATACAGCTGTACTGTATATATATGCCCGTGGGTTGGTATGGTACAGCCTTCTAGGGAGCGTCTGAGTTATTTATTTATTATATATACTGTATATGTAATATTATATACTGCACTGTTGATCCTGACCTTAAACGCTTCCTAGAAGGCTGTAACAACCCACAGGCATACCTGGAGCACAACTTGGAAGGGTTTTGAGAGTTCTGGTTGATGCCTGGTTGATGGGGTTCTGGAAGTTCTTCTACTTCCCAAGCCCAGCGCAAGGCCAGGCTCGACTTGTGAGAGTTTGGTCCATTAGGCTGTTGCTTGGAGCGGCCCGCAGGCCCACATACCCACCACAGCCCGGTTGGTCAGGCACTCCTTGGAGGCAACATTCTAGGTTCCTCTTGAAGATATCCACTGTTGTTCCGGTAATATTTCTTATGCTCGCTGGGAGGATGTTGAACAACCGAGGACCTCTGATGTTCATACAGTGTTCTCTGATTGTGCCTATGGCACCTCTGCTCTTCAATGGTTCTATTCTGCATTTTCTTCCATATCGTTCACTCCAGTATGTTGTTATTTTACTGTGTAGATTTGGGACCTGGCTCTCCAGTATTTTCCATGTGTATATTATTTGGTATCTCTCTCGTCTCCTTTCTAATGAGTACATTTGGAGAGCTTTGAGACGATCCCAATAATTTAGGTGCTTTATCTCCTCTATGCGTACCGTATATGTTCTCTGTATTCCCTCTATTTCAGCAATCTTTCCTGCTCTGAAGGGGGAAGTGAGTACTGAGCAGTACTCAAGACGGGACAACACAAGTGATTTGAAGAGTACAACAATTGTGATGGGATCTCTAGATTTGAAAGTTCTCGTAATCCATCCTATCATTTTTCTGGCTGAGTTCAAATATTTATTTGATATTCCAAGACTGCAACTTAACCAAAGCAGAAATGCTTTGTAAATCAAGGGCCCCAAAACCTGGAATAATTCCTCTTATCACATCAAAGGCTGTCCCTCTCTCAACCAGTTTAAAAGAGAAACTAAGAACTAAGAAACTAAGACCAGATAAACTCTATGTAACCTACATTCCTACATTTAAGGGTCCCGGTAGTACAGTCGGGTTCATTCTGGATGTCCAATCGAGAATTCCAGGTTTGAATCCCGAATGCGGCAGATATGGTTGGGCAAATTTCCTTTCACCTAATGCCTCTATTCACCTAGCAGCAAGCAGGTACTCTGGAGTTAGTCAACTTGTTGTGGGGTTGCATCCTGGGCGGGGTCAGTAATTTGACCCGAAGGGGGGAGGGTATTAATTAGGATAAAAGCCTAACGTGTATGAATTCACTGGCTTCCTGCCCCCCGCCCCCCCCGGCACAGTGAATTATTCATAAATGTTAACCAATGTGATGTTATTGAAATTTGTTTACTGAACCTGTACTATAGCTGTTGTCTATCATGTAAAAATTTAATAAAAAAAAAAATATTCCTTCTGTTTATGCTGTAAAAGTAATGTTCTGTTGCAATTTTTGCTGTTCCAATCATCATGTAATCATTACTTTATTTCTTTTTCTCAACCTTAATTCATTATTACTTTTGATCTCATTTAGTTTTAAGTCTTTAGTTTTTACCATTTTATTCCTGAAATGCAACACACATTAGTGGCTTTTGGCACTGTACCTGTCCTACCCCATGATTCATACAATCTTCTCATTTTCTATGTATTTAAATACTTTTGCTTCAATAAAAATTATTATTATTAATGTTATTTGGAGGAAATCTTATGGTTGTTCTTTCAAATTAACGAAAGGGCAATTTCTTACACCTTCTGGGGATTTGGCAGTAGGAAAGCCATTGGCATTAACATGGCTGCAATTCTGGGAAGTTATTCTTCTAAGAAGGTAGGAACTATCGGGGGAAAGTGATAAGCCAATATGACTATATAGCACTTGGAAGGGATCAGGATAGGGATTAGGAATTGGATGGGGGAAGGGGTGAGGAATGGTGCCCAACCACTTGAGGACGGTCGGAGACTGAACGCCGACCTGTTGCCGGAACAACACTTGGACATCTTCAAGAGGAAACTAGATTGTTTCCTCCAAGGAGTGCCAGACCAACCGGGCTGTGGTGGGTATGTGGGCCTGTGGGCCGCTCCAAGCAGCTGCCTAGTGAACCAAACTCTCACAAGTCAAGCCTGGCCTCGGGCCAGGCTTGGGGAGTAGAAGAATAATTAATATATTATATATAATATATTATAATAAATATAATAAAATATGTAATATATAATAAAATAAATAATAATAAAATAAAACATAATATGTTTCTGTGAATAATTCAATTTCTCCCACCCTACCCATCAACAATGGTGTTCCTCAGGGCAGCATACTTGGCCTTCTCCTCTTTCTCATCTATATTAATGACCTTTCAAATGCCTCCCAACACCTCAAACCAATTCTATTTGCTGACGACACAACCTTCATTTACTCCAGTCATGACCCCCTTGCTTTAAATGTTACAGTAAATACTGAGCTAAATAAAGTCCATCTTTGGCTAACTGTTAACAAACTCACCCTCAACATTGACAAAACTTTCTATATTTTGTTTGGCAATAAATCCTCAAATCAAATAAATCTCAGGATAAACAATACCCAAATTTGTAACAAAGTAGATGGCAAATTCCTTGGCATTCTCATTGACCACAAGCTGAATTTCCAGGGACACATTCTAAATATATCAAAAGAAGTTTAAAAAAACTGTTGGTATTCTTTCTAAGATCAGATATTATGTACCGCGCCCTGCTCTGGTGACACACTATTACTCTCTCATCTATCCTTATCTCAACTATGGTATTTGTGCTTGGGGTTCCACTACCCAAAATCATTTACGTCCTCTAATTACTCAACACAAAGCTGCTGTTAGGACAATATCCACCTCTGGCCCCAGACATCACTCGGTACCCCTACTCAAATCTCTGAATATGTTAGATATTAAGTCACTGCACATCCTCTCATGTGTATTATATCACATGAGTGATATACCACACATCCTATTATATATATATATATATATATATATATATATATATATATATATATATATATATATATATATATATATATATATATGTATATATATATGTATGTATATATATATATATATATATATATATATATATATATATATATATATATATATATATATATATATATATATATATATATATATATATATATATATATATATATATATATTATATATATATATATTCAATATATAAATAAATTAGTGAATTAGTTACCGTACCTGGTAAAGTGAGTCTCCAAATAGCAGGTAAACCTCCCCTGAAGACAGGATCACTGAGTTTCAAGTGAACTGTGAAGGCGCGGGTGTAGTAGACCTCAGGTCTTGACCTCTCCAACAGGTCCAAGCTAGAGTAGTCATTGGGCCCATCAGATATCTTTATGAGGTTATCTTACTCAACGGGTGTGGGAGAGGGGGCTGGTGTTACAATAACAAGAGGCCACACAGAGGAGGCACAACACTGCTCAAGTGTCAAGTATCTCTCAAGAGGGACAACACTTCGTCACAACACAAAAAAAAAGTTCCTGCGAGACACCCCTCTAAAAAAAAAAAAAAAAATTCATCAATCACCAACGGTGTGCCGGAACATTTGCATCTGGCCGAGGCACTTTTCTGCTTCAGTGGCACTCCCCAACGAGGCACTTGATCACTGCAGCGTGTGAGGGCGACCTGGAAGTGGCTAGAAAGCAAGTTTGGTGGTGTAATGTAGGAGCAAAGTCAGCAGTGGCCGCCAGCTGCTCCAGCCACAGCTTTGTTTACCTCGCCTTCACCCTCCCTCCTCTCCCATCCCATCACCCACCCTATTTATTTATTTATTTTATTTTATATATAAGGAAATGTAGATGTTTATCTCTCGGAATGTTTGGTAATATGTTTATTGTTTGTGATGTGTGTATATGTATGTATTAGCACGATGTACTGAACGGGGTGAGAATAGCTTGAGCTACCTCATCCCTTTGTGTGTATTTTACATCAATAAACTTATTTCAATTTCAATTCAATTTACATATATATACAAGAAGGTACATTGGGATTGTGAGGATACATAGGATAGTAATTACAATCTTGTAAAGCCACTAGTAAGCGCAGCGTTTCCCTTTTACCTGAATTTCAAAATCAAAATGTTTATTCGAGACTTTTGTAACTAGCTCATCAAGATTGTAACTTACTTAGCTAAATGAATTGTGGGGGTTCAGTCCCTGAGCCCATTATGTGCCTCTGTAACCCTATCCACTACCGCCCACAGAATGGGTATGGGGTGCATAATAAATGAACTAACTAACTCAAACAATTATGTATTAGCGATAAGACCTACCATTAATGTACTTAATGTATAATGACTTACTGTAAATATATAGCTCTTGAAATAGAACATTCTCTGTAACTAGCTGACATGTAACTATAAGATGTGAAGGATAGATGAAATTGTTTATGTAATAATCTAAGATGAGGTCTGATAAAGACCTTTTGTGCCCTCTGTAATGCTTTTTGCGCTACCGCCCACAGGATGAGTATGGGGTGCATAATAAACTAGCCGCCTCCGGCGGCAACAATCAAAATCTAGTACAGACAATACCTAAAGCCACTAATACTCATAGCGTTTCGGGGAAGGTGTGGGAAAACCCCCCCACTTAGACTAAAGCTTAATACTAATTGAGACTTAAGTATAAATTGTGCAGAAAAAGGAAAATAGGGGGGGGGGGAAGACCGTGGAGAATTCAGCAATTATACAACTTGGTCAAACAGCATTGTTTGTAAATAGCAAGATATTGATGATGTGACGACTTATACTGAATTTTGTAACTAGCCCATCAAGACTGTAACATGCTTAGCTAAATGAATTGTGGGGTTCAGTCCCTGAGTCCATTATGTGCCTCTGTAACCCTTTCCACTACCGCCCACAAGATGGGTATGGGGTGCATAATAAATGAACTAAATTAACTATGAATTGACAATTTGGGGGTAAGGTAGGTTACATGGAGTTTATTAAGTAGTACTTAGTTTTTCTCTTAAAAAGATAGGTACGTGATACGTACGTGATAGATCATTCCACATTTTGGGTCCCTTGATTTGTAGAGCATTTTTAGTTTGGTTAAGGCGCACTCTTGGAATATCAAATAGGTATTCGTTTCTGGTGTTGTGCCCCATGAGTTCTGTTACAACCTTCTAGGAAGCGTTTAAGGTCAGGATTGGCATTACTGTTCAGAGTTTTAAATATATAGAGTACACATGAGAGGATGTGCAGTGACTTAATATCTAACATGTATCTCTATAGGCTATCTCTAGCGGCCTCGCCGAGGAATATTAGAAGACATTATTGCTGGTTTTTTATCTACACTGTAATCTTTTTTTTTTTTTGAGATATATACAAGAGTTGTTACATTCTTGTAGAGCCACTAGTACGCGTAGCGTTTCGGGTAGGTCCCTGGAATACGATCCCCTGCCGCGAAGAATCGTTTTTTCATCCAAGTACACATTTTACTGTTGCGTTAAACAGAGGCTACAGTTAAGGAATTGCGCCCAGTAAATCCTCCCCGGCCAGGATACGAACCCATGACATAGCGCTCGCGGAACGCCAGGCGAGTGTCTTACCACTACACCACGGAGACTATCTTTCATATAGAATAAGGTAGCAGCCTATTACTGTGTATAATAATAATAATGTTTATTCAAGGACAAGTACATACATTCAAAATTAGTTACAAACAGAATGTTGGATTTCTAGATAGAGGTAGTACATACTATACCTAAAGTCACTAATACGCACACTATTTCGGGCAAAACGAAATATACATAAACTTGTTAATAAACAAAAATTGTACATACATTCTGATCCCTTCAGCTCCCAGATGAACAAAAATCCAACGACAGCACTGCTCAGCCAAAGTCGCAGGCAAAGAAAAAACGGAAAACCTAGAGGTCCACACTAATCCCACCAGCTCCCCAGGCTGAAAACCATCATGAAGACCTCCATCCATCGCCAGATCTCTAGACCAAAGAGCCTCCACTAACGTAGCTCCAAAGTAGCCTCCACTATGGTGAGCCCTCCACGGGCTCACCATAGCCCGTGCTACTGGAACTTATTGTTCTGAGTAGCGAATCTTAAACAACAAATCTCCCACCTCGCCAACCAGTGTCGGCACCCTGTCCATTAGTACAGCCTCTGCGCCCTGGACTATCACTACTCCATATGTAATCCCTACTCCATATGTAATCCCCAGCAATTTCCTGCCGCTGTCCCCACAGACAGGAAAACATCAAGGCCCAGGTTGAAGCCACGAGAAACAACCCTTCTACCTCCTCGAACAGAGCGCCAGCCGCTCAACCCACCACCTCAGCTCCCACCAACCGACCAGAAATTCATCCAACCAGGTGACCCAGCCTTCACAATGGGGACCCAAGGCCCCACAGGCTCCTTCGCAGCCACCTGTGCAGGCATTATTCATTGTCTTATTAGACTAGCAGATGGATCAGACGACCACCAGCGTTTTGTCAGTGAACTGAACATATTATACCTAGCCAGTGGCCTGGAACCCATCATAGCCCCTGGCGCGAGTCCCAATGCCTCCACTACCACTCCGGAGAGCACCACGAGGTCGATTTCAACACCGACTCCAGAACCACCCATGACCCGGGCGGCACAAACAGATTATTCCCTCTCCAGCTCCTAACACTCCTAACATCACCATCTCGGCAGCCGCGCTAGCAGACGTGTTGTCTACAAATGCTAACCAACGCCCCTTAAATAGCTTCTACCACCAATCCACGACACCTGAGCCTACATAAGACTGCGAGGCTGTGAAAGACGAAAACACCAACTAAGGAAGTTACGGACACCTCGGACAAGGAAGTCTTAGGAGGAGCTCCGCCGCCGCACCGCAAATACGACACCTACTCGGTTCAAGACTTCCTCATGTCACCTCACCAAATGACAGCACGGCTCAGCAAAAGTCTCGGTCAAAGAAAAAACGGAAAACCTAGAGGTCTACACTAACTCCACCAGCTCCATAACTGGTACAGCCAGCCCAGTGTAAGAATGTACAACTACCAATCTTACGTAATCTCACCAACTCATTTATTCTTGTGAATAAATTAGTATAACTTCGTTTAATACACCTTAAGGGTATTGTTATTGTGTAGTAATAGAAACTAATTTTTTTCAAATATCTTTATTCTGTCATAAAACATCATAAAGAAATAACACAATTGAGTTTTCATCTCTATTTATTGTTATAATCTACAACAGTGTATGTTCGAAAATTGTATATTTTCGAACATACATCATATGTATGATGTATGTTTCGAACATATTTTCGAACATCAAGAAACTCGTTAGAAAGTCTTAAGCTGTAAAAGCAAATGGCACAGTTCATTCACGTTAAAGTCTGCCAGACTCTCGAAGATGTTGTCATCTGTCTCATCTGACTCCGACGACTCGCTGTCGGAGTCATCACTAGAGCCAGACTCATCACTACTGTTGATGTCGATGGCACTCAGAGTAGCGCTAGTGTCCACGTCACTCGTATTGCTGTTATCATCGTCACTGCCTCTCTCGATGCTATTGTTATCACTGCCTCTCTCGATGCTATTGTTATCACTGCCTCTCTCGATGCTATTGTTATCACTGCCTCTCTCGATGCTATTGTTATCACTGCCTCTCTCGATGCTATTGTTATCACTGCCTCTCTCGATGCTATTGTTATCATTACTGCCTCTCTCGATGCTATTGTTATCATTACTGCCTCTCTCGATGCTATTGTTATCATCACTGCCTCTCGCGATGCCATTGTTATCATCACTGCCTCTCGCGATGCCATTGTTATCATCACTGCCTCTCGCGATGATGACGTTGTTATCAATGCCACTCGTGATGTTGCTACTACTGCTGCTGCTGTTATCGTCGAGACTATTGAAGGTGTTCTTCCACTCAACAATCTCAGCCTGGAGTTCCGGGAGGCGACTGTAGGAGCCATCTTGCAGAGGGCACCGTGTGAAAGGGTCGAAGGGGGACGTGAGCAGCAGATGGACCAGCGTCGACTCGTCTATCACCATCTTGGAGGAATGCAGGAGCACCGGCGTCTCCATCGCAGCCCGTGTCAAGATGTCTGTAAATTTCTCCGGGTACTCGTCCACTGACTCATAAGGCGTAGGCAAGTAATGGAAATGACAGCCAGAAACTGCTGTCTGCTGATGGGTGTATGACAGAACCCCGGCGTGATGGAGACGCAGAACTCTCAGGATAGACCTTGATTCTTCTTGGGAGGTTAATGTCTGGAAAATTTCATCTAAACTGGAGACGAGGCAGGTATAACTATTTGTGGCAAATTTGAACCTCATGGAAGGTAGACACAATGTTATTTTGCTCAGTGAAGATACGGCTACGTGAGCCATGCCCGGAATGGCGTATACAGCCATGGTAGGTGGAGTCATAACTAACATTCTAAACAGACGAAGGATATCAACGTACAACTCTTGAGCAACTATATAACCCAAGGAGCCGACCGCATATCTATCACTCATGTTTTCAGCCATTTGGCCTAAGAGCTCCACAAGACCGTAGAAGAGGTGTGCTGCACGTCCAACCTTGAGGGCCTTGACCTGGTCGAGGGCCGCGGCAGCAGCATAATCTAGGTGGCCATATTTATTTAGGCTGTGCAACACCTTCACGAGAAAGTAAAAGAGGCTCTTGTATGGGCCAGTGGGCTCGAGGTGGATCGGGTTTATGTATGTACAACTGTCCATCAATCCTGCAACTATTTGCATG